GCACCGTCCTGCAAACCTAAAGGTCACTGGCTGGATTCCCAGTCAGGGCACATGCCTGGATTGCAGGCCAGGTCCCCAGTCGCGGGTGTGCAGGAGGCAACGGATCACTGTGTCTCTCCCCACTCTTTTTCTCCACCCTCCCCTTCTCTCTAAAAATAAGTAAGTAAAATCTTTTGTTAATCTTAAAAAAAAAAGAATTATCAATTAAGTTTCTGAACATGAAATTAATTCTATTTTAAATGACTGTCAATAAAATGTTGAAAATGCATGGGTATGAAAAATATGTTGGCCCAGGTTATAACTTATACCTCTTCAACTTCTCTGAAAATTTATACATTTAGGGAAAAAATGACTTCCTAATCAATGGTATTGGAAATAAGCTGAATTTTCTGTTTTGCTTTGTTTTGCTTGAGGACAGATGGCTCCTTGTATGTTAGGCTCTAAGCTTAACTACAGTCTGTAAAGGAAAAAAAACCCACAATTAGAGCTTAATTGAATAAAACACACCAAAGAATGCTTCTATTTCCACACATGAAAAAGTTCATAGGCTCACATCCACTTCTCTTCGTTGTTTACAACTATTTCCAGGTTATCTGGAAAATGTAGTGTTTGGTGGTTTTAGCATTTGTTAACATAAGACTTAACAGCAGGGAATTCACAGTATTAAGTTAACAAAACACTCTCTTCCATGCAAACATCACACCCTATGAAGCAGCTAAATCATTAGTGGGTCTGCAAAGCAGCTCCGACTGCAGGTTCCTTTAACCAGAAGTCATGTGTGGTTATGCCAACTTCTGTTTTGTTCTTGCGTTAAAACAGAGTAAGAGAGTAGCAGGAAAATTCAGTTTTTAGAGGCTTAATAAGCAAAATATATGTAACAAACACATAAAATTCCAAGCTTCATGCACTATAACTGTGTTTAGAAAAACAGTTCCATAAAGTATCTCAAAGCAAAGCCACGGCAGCATAAGGGAGTTTACTGTACTTTGGAAGATAATGAAAGCCTTTGAAGAGGATAAAAACGAATCACCTTTCTTTCCTAAATACAAGCAGAAGTCTCATTTCCCAAAACCACGTTCTATGGTCGGGCACCAATGCCCACGCACAATGCGATCATATCCAACATACGTCACCTCTTCTACACCAGGCAGCTCACCATCTACTTCACTGACACAAAAACATACTTAAAACTCTCTCATTGTCGGTTTGAAGATCAGCTTTCACGGAGAAGCCGCATACATTCATACTATGCCTCAGTTGGAACACATCACCTGTTCAGTCAACTCTGTGGACAGGCCCGTTCAAGCACAAGGCATCCAGACATTTAACATTTTCTGATATGTGTACACGTAGAACTATTCTTACTTTTAGAATTTGCCATATGACTCTTCATTGAAAACTTCATAATCTCTGGCTGCTCTGCCTGTGAAGTTGCCTGCTCTGTCTCATTGCTTCACTAATAGACTCACTTTCATTTGAAAAAAAAGAACCCTATAATCTTTTATACATTAAGAGAAAGGCTTTTGTGATACTGGGAGTAGTAACCTGATCTAGACCGAACTTTACTAAAATGCAAAATGAATCTAGGAAATACTGACCTAAAAAAAACTTAAAACACTTTTGTCTACGTGCAGAGTATTGACCCTGTTTTTACAGTGTTTATATAAAGAAAGCACTGACAAAGGTGCACGAATTATACATGTAAATGGAAAGATGAGAAAGAGAGAAGCAATCGCTAAACAATAGCAAGGGAGTTAATTCCCTCGCCCAGCCAAGAAGAAAGTGTGCAGAAAGTGTGGCAATCAGCAATGTCCCTACCCCTATAACTTTTCCAGAATTAGGTATTCTGCTCACAAATGTGTAACTGTAAGGGCAAGTGCAATCTTAACTTACCACGATCATGTTTAGAAACTCACTAAAATTGAAATACATATTTTAACTGAAATCCAAATTTAACATACCAGCATTAAGGAGAAAAAGAAAACAAAGACTAACACTTGTAGAGCTATTACAGTTTTAAAATGCACCATCTCCTTTATTCCTCTGAAGAAGGCTTGAGATTCAGTCACATTTAATAAGGGAAGAACTGGCTTTGAGAGGGCAGATGACATGCGCAAGGGTTAAATGTGGAACCAGAAGCCCAAGCTCTTAGTTTAACAAACACATTTTCACTCACTCCTTTAACTGAAGGACCTGGTTAACAGGTCACCTTATTATTGATTCACAATGTAACACCATACATGACTTGCTTTTGATATAAAAAAAAAAAAACTGGACTTCACATTTATTCACTAAGCATGTACCTCCAAAAAACAAACAAAACTATTCCATTTTAACAAGCATCAAAAAAATGCTAATGATTTTAATGCACTACAAAATTGAGTGCATTTTTTAATGTTTCAAAACTTAAAATTCCACCCATAGTTAGCCAAAAATAAATTTTAATGGAACTCATTTTGATTTAACATGACTCTTTAAAAACTTAAGACCACATATCCACCTAACAAAATAATTATTAACTTCTACTAATTTTGACTTAAATGCCTACTGTGTAAAAATGGTGGGGAACTGCAATTTTAGTTTCCCACTGATCGATGAATGCTGAAATGAGACAACTTTTTATTAATAATGCCCTCTACTGGTGGTAGTCCCAGGGGTGCTGATACACTGGCTATAGGAGACTGGATCCTTTCCTCAAAGTGAGGTTCCCTGCCACCTGCACACAAGTCCCTGGAAAGCTCTTGAAAACACAGCTTCCCCCTTTTACAAAATATCTACAAATAATTGTGATTTCACCAATTCTGGGGTAAGATCTAGAATTCTGCATTTTTAACAAGTTCCCCAACACTTAAGTGGAGAATCAATGGTTTGGTTAATTATGCCAACACCTGGCTTTTGAAGGACAACAACTTCCTGAAAAGCTCTGGAAAGCCATTATTATATAAAGACTGGGCTCAGGACAGTCTACCCCAGGTCACATGCTAAAATTCAGCAAAGCCACTAATATTTTTATTCCTGGAGGTATGTGTCCTTAAAGGAGAGAGAAAACTGTTATCAGCCCTAAAATCCAAGTAGTAATTTCTTCAGATGCAGCCACAGAGGCCGCACATGCATCCAAATGAACCTTCTTCGCCCCGCTCCACCTGAGAAGCACCTGGGGAACTGGTAACAATACTTACGCTCAGGTCTCCCCCCCACCCCTCCGCGAGTCAGGTTTAACAGGCTTGGGGTAGGGCCGAGTCTTTGTTATTTTTTCAAAGCTCCCTGTGATTATAATCGGCCACCACCTGGGCTGAGCACCACTTAGGCCAGTGGAGCTAGGTGTCTGGCTGCACAGAACTACCTGCAGGACACAGGCTGCTGGGGCCCAGCCCCGGAGTTTCTGATGAGTAGACATTTTAAGTTCCAGGTGGTGATAATGGTGCTGGTTCTGTGGTTAAGCATATTGGTCAGTGGTTCTCAACGTTGCCTACACATTAGAATTGCCTGGAGTAACTTAAAATTGATAGTTAGGCACACCCTCGGACTGACTGTATCAGAATCTCTGGGGTAGGGAAACAGGCACCAATATGTTTAAAGCTCCTCAAATTAAAGAGGTTTGTAGAGCAAAGGTTTATAAAACCCATTACTATGTTAACAGACATCTAGTGATTTTCTAAGACGGTAGTGTAGTATTCGGTATTTCCAAAGCTTATTGGACCACTTCTGTCAAGGGATATAATTAATGGCCATGAATGCATGAAATCCCAGCCTAGAGGGTAAAGTGGAAACCGCTTTGAGTCACCTACAATACATTGCCCTCCAGCCTTGATCCAGCCTCGTCTTTGGCCAAACCCTTCCTTCCTTCCTCCACTGTAGAGGTCCCTTTTAAAATATTAATGACTCTACTGCAATGATCTGTTTTCACATGACTGTTTGTACTATTTCTACAAGCTTGTAGGAGTCAGAGGTTGCATTTTTTTTATCTTTTGTTTCCCCAGAGCCTGCTATGATGCCAAGTGTAGCTGATGCTCAAAAATTTGTTGAGTAACTGAATACAGTTGATACCCCTACTATCTATAGAAAAGGTAGCATCAAGCATGGCTTTCTTGTGACCTAGAAAGTGCAACACTTTTTACACAGCTGAAGTCAGAATCGAATACTTCTCCCTCATAGAGCTACTCTTATTTAATATTGCTTTAAATTTAAAAAAAGGGACTATTTGCACTTAGAGATGATATTTAACTTGCCCTGGGATTTGTCACATATTCAATTCATTAGTAATTTAAGGGTGCATAAATCTTAGGAAATTTTTTATTGTATGCGTCAGTCAACTGTGATCTAAAAGGAGGTACGAATGCTTTGCACATTAACAATGAGACAGAGATTCCAAAAACCCTTAAAGAGGGAAAAAAAAACCCCAAACTACTGTTGTTTTGAAAATCTAAGTTCTTCAAACTTGGACATACCTAAATCTGTTTGTTTTGTTTTTTTTAAATAAAGAGTGATATTCTGTCAGCAAGCTAATTCAGGTCGAGCAATTTTGGTATATCCAAAAAAGTTTCAGTATTAAGTTTAGTCTTTTCCTTCACTGCTACGAGAGAAAATACGTGACTTCACACACTAACAGTGCTTGGTCCACGCTACAGCTTTCTGGCATTATGTTTTCTTTATGCTTCACAAACATTTAAATAATCACATGTGTGTATGTCTCAACACATCATAAGACGATGCTGTTTTATATGTTATATGTATGTTGTTACATATACAGGGTGGGGCACACGTAGGTTTACAGTTGTTCATATGGGGAAGCAATACAATAATTAATAAATAATAATACGATGGTAAGTTCTGTGTTTCGTGTACTCACAACTGCAAACCTACTTTTGCCCATCTGTATATAATACTACATTAGTTCATAAAACTTGCTGGAAGATGCCGAGAAACTTTGAAAAAGCTGATATAAGCCTATAAGCAAGAGAAAAGTAATAAATAAAACTCTAAAATTAATTCATATTTACCTCTGAATTCCTTCAAGAATATTCTTCACAGCTGCCATTAACTTTTGAAGGTAGATAAATGCTTCTTCGAATGATGCTATTTTTGAGGAGGTCTGAGCTGAATTTGAGCCCAATCTCTGAAACACATCTGTGCTGAAATAGAGAAAAAGAAGATACTCTTTGGTACACGTGCATACATATAAATGTACTGGTCCCTTTAACCAAAATCATACTACGAAGTGTATAGTGTGACTGGCAAATCAATTATGTAAAAGATTATGGGCCTTCAGAAAAGTATGGGAGGGAGTGCTGACCTAGTTTAAAATCAGTGGCTTTCAATTATTATTATTTTTTGCTTGTTCAATAAGTTTATTATCTGAAGACTCTTCATAGAAAGTTGTGGTTAGGTTTATTAGCTCTCAGCAGCCCATTCCTGAGCTCTGAAGAGGAAGCCGGCTTTCTTCTGAGCTCCCCGATCTTTCTTCTGGGTAAGACACCTTTTGGGACAATTCCACCTCTTCTTTTTTTTTTTTTCTTGTATACAAAAGGCAACGGGTTTTATTTATTTATTTTTTATTTTTTAAAAATTTTATTTAGTTATTTTTCTAGTACAGTTTTTTTGTCTATTTCTCCCATCCCAGCCTCCCCTGCCCCTTGCTCCCTACCTCCCTCCCATTTCCACCCTCCTTAGTTCTCGTCCCTGTGTCCTTCCTATTTGTTCCTCCAAATCCCTCCCCCTTTTTCCCCTTAACTTCCCTTCCCTCTCCCCTCTGGTCACTGTCCCCTTGTTCTCTATTTCAGTGTCTTTGTTTTTTTTTTTTTCCTGCTTGCTTGTTTGTTTTGTTGTTTAGCTTCCTGTTAAAGGTGAGATCATATGGTATTTGTCTTTCAACACCTGGCCTATTTCACTCAGCATTATGTACAACCATTATGGAAAACAGTATGGAATTTTCTCAGAAAAATAAAAATCAACCTGCCTTTTGACCCAACAATTCCACTGCTAGGATTATATCCTAAGAATCCTAAAACATCAATATCAAAGAACCTACGCACCACAATGGTCATAGCAGCACAATGTACAACAGCCAAGAGTTGGAAGCAACCTAGGTGCCCATCAGTAAATGAATGGATCAAAAAATTGTGGTACATATACACAATGGAATTCTATGCAGCAGAGAGAAAGAAGGAGCTGCAGAGAGAAAGAAGGAGCTACTACCCTTTGCAACAACATGGATGGAACTGGAAAGCATTATGCTGAGTGAAATAGGCCAGGTGTTGAAAGACAAATACCACCTCTTCTTGTTAACTTCTTTCTTGGGCTTCATCTCATAGACTGGAATCTCTGGTATAGCAGCATGAGCCTTCTTATACATTTCTTCCATCGTGTCTGGAGTTACATTGTTCTTATGTATTGAGAGAACTGTTTCTTGTAAGCATCTTCATCTTCTTCCATTAGGCCATGCATATAATCTGCCACATGCTTACCCATGATGTGCTTCCGATGCACTTCTGCACTGAATTTCCCTGCTTTCTGAATCATAACCAGGGAATTGTCTGGTACTGTGAGGAAGGAATAGGCACGTGTCCACCCACAGCTCCCTTCAGGGCCCCAAACACTTTATTTCCAGTAGTAGTTCTGGCAAGCCCTGCATCCAAACAGCAAGTGAAGGCACCAGGTTGATCATCAGTGCTTTCCACATTGTATCCACCTCCAGTCACCTCCACTTGACCTTCATATATCCTGCCCATGCCAAACCTGCTGAGAAGCTGTGGGCCAGCAGCAGGCCAGTACAAGATGCTGCAGCACAATTTGTTGGGCCGCCCTTCACACCATACTCTGGGAGTTCATGAGCACAAGCTGCATGAACTATCACATCTCCTTCTACACAGGCATAAGCCATCTGACAAATGACATCTCTGTTGGCTACACAAACTGTCATCCTGTATTTGGGTGTGTTCTTATTTTTATCCTGAATTACCGAGCGTTTCTGGGCATGGTAATCAGTTTTACCCTCTCGTCATCTTCTAAATTTCATTTGGTATCTCTTGAAGTAGGCCTTATTTTTGACAACTTTTACAAACTCCACTCTGCAGGTGAAAGACCCACATCCGCAGCTGGCCACAGACCTACAGGCCCAGCAGAGCCCCACTGGGGGGAAAAAGGCTCAGTTAGTTTTTAAGTGACCCTAGCAGCAGCCTGTTAAAACAACTACTCTCAAATGGTTTCTACCTTTTCATTTTACCAAGACTATAGTATTTTATTGGGTATGAAAGTAATAAAAGTGTTTCTTCCTTTTAAGTAAAATGTCTCCCTTTTAAAAAAATCTTACACACGAATTTTCCCTAAAACTGACCTCTCCGTACACTATTTTAAATGTTATTAATGCCTGGTGTCCTGCTAATTTGTCCAGCCAACCAAGGTGACCGTCTTTGGTTCCACATATGTAGGCAATGCTTCTCATCAAGGTTTCACAGCTGAATCACCTGGAGAGAGATTTTCATTGTATTTTTATGCACTATCTCAGCCACATCTCAGCCCTCCTGAGTCAGAATTTCTATGGATACAGCCCAGGCATATATATTTTTAAAACTCTCCAGATAATTCAGATGTACTCCCCTATTTAAGCATCACTGTTTTCTAAGGTACTGATCTGACAAAAGACCTTCAAAAAAGATATTCTGGAACATTAAACTCATAGCCCAAACATACTGTTCAGTGAATAACGGTAATGATGAAAAACTCTAAAATTGAAAAATTCTCAGAAATTTAGTACCTGTTCTCATATATTGTAATCCAAACGCTCTCTAAGACAGACCAGATTTCTTGATGCTTGTTGGGTTGGGGTGGATAAGAACCTGAGAAAACGGTGATTTCTTGGTTGTTAGACTTCTCTGGAGAATTAGCTTCTTGCTTTTTACCTGCTGTCTTTTCTGCAGCATTTTGATTAAGTTTTGCCTTGGCCTGGGAAAATAAGTACTGTATTAGATAAAATGTAGCTGGTCCTTCACCACAGTAAGTGAGAAAGAATGCCAACTGTGCTTTCAAATGTTCTAGCTTTCTGGGAAGTGTTGACTATTCTGTCCTTGATCACATACAGAATGTTCCCAGGAAAGTATCAGAGCCAAAAAAATAATTACCCTTTTCCCTTTATATCAAACATATTTCCAACCTATTTTATTACAATGACCTTTCTTAGCTGATATGCTAATATCAATTTAAGAACACTGTTTGAACTCTTCTACACAGATGGCATTGACCTAGAAGTAGGACCTCTAGGATACAGTGAAGGTTTCTCAAGAAATAATACACTCAGCACTGCACACAAAGACAAACTGGAACAGAAGCAAGTGGAGGGAAGAATCTGTTCTGAAGGCTACTGAAATAATCCAGGAGAGAGGGCCCGAGAACCTGAAGTAGGCAGGAAAATGTAGTAGAATAAAAAGACAAAAAAGTATGCAAGCAATATTTTTAAAGACCTGGCCAAAGACTAAAATTTAAGGACCCTACAAATTTTTAACCTAGATTCCTCAAAAAATAATAACACAAATAAGAGAAAGTTAGGGTGTCTATAAAGTCTAACAGTGTGTTTTAAAAAGATGGAACCTTTTTGATTACTTCTCCAAAGAAATGTAATGACAGCTTTATTCAGTAAAAGTGGAACACAAACGTTTCCCAAGCAACACATCTGAGAAACGTGTGCAGGCACTGATGGAAATGTTCATTGGAATGTGCCACACGAACTGCAGCTTTGAAAGGCGCCTTACACTCCACAATGCTGATGAGGGAAAACACGTGGAACATATCGTGTGTTACACTGTGACCGCAGTAAACCATTTAATGTATGTTTATCTAGGTTTCTGGATTTTATGGCCACCATTAGTAAAGGAAGAAGTACAGGCTAGTTATAGAGAAGGGAAAAGGAGACAAGCATTACAAGTAGATGAGATTGGTAGGAGAGAACGCAGCAGAAAAGGTAAAAAACAAACTGAAGAATGAAAGGCGGAAACCAGCAAAAAGAAAAAGAGACCACAAGGTAAGGGAAGGATCAGGAGTATTCAGTAGCAACAAAAGTCAACAGAAGTGCCAGGAAAGAGAGGGTAGAGAATATCAAGTGCTCAAGGAAGGCTGAGCAAGAGAGAGAAAAGGGCAGATTTGATCATTAGAAAGCAAATGATAACCTAATTCTTTGAACAGAGTGTGGAGGCCGAATTCTACTTGTAAAGGGTTACGGAGTGAGGGAAGAAATGGTAACAATGGCAACAGACTGCTGTTTTAAGAAGTTTGGTAGTTGATGGAAGGAGATAGTATAGTTAATAGTAAGGTCATAAAGTCATAAAAGTATTTTAAGAATAGGTCTGAACACATCTTAAAGCAGAGTAAAAGACTGAAGCGATTTTTATAAAAAGATTACCTTGAGGGAAAATATCAACTAAGGTAAAAAAATAAATCTGAAAGAACAGAAAAAAATTTTTAACTGTGAGTTTAAAAACTTGGGTTTCGGTCTTGGCTGTACTGTAATTTCTTTGTGAACTTATATAAAATCACTCGCTTTCTAGCCCTGGCTGGGTGGCTCATTTGGTTGGAGCATCATCCTGTACACCAAAAGGTTGCAGGTTCAATCCCAGGTCAGAGCACAGACCCAGGTTGCCGGTTTGATTCTGGGTCAGGGCGCATATAGGAGGCAACCAATGGATGTTTCTCACATCAACATTTCTCTCTTTCTCTCTCTCACTCCCTTCCTCCTTCTCTAAAATCAGTGAACATATCCTTGGGTTAGGATTGAAAAAAAATTACTCTCTTTCTCTAGATTTCCATGCTGATAAAAGTATAATTTCCAACATTAGTTTCACGGGTTGTTAGTATCATGCCATAAAATTGAAAAGAAAACGTCAATGCTATTAGTAATAACAGTTCATATTTATTGAGCATTGAGTATGCATTATTAGAACTTTCTAAGAACTTTTATCTACTAGTTCACTTCCTCCTCACAGCTACCTTATGAAACAGATACCCAATCACCCACCTTCCACAATGGAGGCATTTTCCTGGCACCTCATGCAAGGTCACACAGAAGAGCAGAGGCATTAACAGAACCTGACCTTCAGTAATCTGACTATGAATGGGGTTATGATCTCTCTCCAACTGTAAAGGTTACTCTTTTCTATCATTTGAAGAAGGAAGAAAAAAACTATTCTTCCTATTTTTGCCTGCTTACATTAATTATGAACTTAACATACTTGGATAGAAGGGCATATCTGCTCTAAAATAAAATCTTTTAATCAGCACATAATCACGCTTTTTAAGAAAATTGTTCATCCCATTACAGTTGTTCCCCTTTTTCTCCCTTCCCTCATCTGTGCTCACCCTCTCCCCTCCCCCAGTCAAGCCCCATATTGTTGGCTATGTCCATGGGCCACGTGTAAATGTTCTTTAATAAATGCTGTCACCGTCTTTCTTTTCTTTTTAAATTACTGAATTTTTTTGTTGTACTTTTTCCCATTACCATTGAGTCCCGTGATGCCCCCTCCCCCTGCTCCGCCACCTTTCATCCAGCCCCGTTGGTCTGTCCACGTGACCATGTGCTAAGTTTGAACATCACATTTGCATAGTACTGCTTCCACGCTTCTGCTCCCACTGTGTTCCTCTGTCTCCTGTGTTTGTTACACACAGCGATTTCGTCCTCAGCTCTCCAACAGCAGTGTTACAACTACGCAAGTGGGTTTATCACACACATTTCACTTATGTGCTAGGCACTACGTACTTTACAAATGTTTATTTATTACTTCTCACGTCAGTTCTGAGGCAGAGATTTTTATTATGCTCTCTTTACAGAAGAAAGAACTAAGGCTCACAGAGGTTAGGCCAGCAGAGGTTAGAACGCAGCTCATCAGGATGGGAATCCCGAGGCACACAAGCCTGAAGTTCAACGACAGGACCAATTTTTGTTATCCTATCATCCTGGTAGAGCAAGTCTTATTACTATTATTTTTCAGTGGTTGGAAAGCTTATAAAAAATAGATGTACATATTCTTTTCCTGGTCCCACCCTGCTTATATAAAAATGTGAAAATTGACTATGTTAGTTAGCTTTCCACTTTGGTTTCTCAGAGCCTTTTCCAAAAGCAAATAGTAAATATTCCTCTTTTCCTGGTTTTCTACACTTAGTAAACTAAGATTAGGGAGACTTTCTTTATAGTTATTAGATTTGGAGACCCTATCCTGGAGAGTAACCAATTTCTTTTCGTTGCTCAAGTTACTGAGACATGACTGAGTATTTAGGTCATACATCAAATCTGATGCATTTAACAAAACAAGTCCTATTAAAAGTGTATTTTAAAAGCCCAAGCTAAATCACAATTCCTGGCTGACTTAGACAATGAACTTGCAATCACACTAATACCACGTGTTGAGGGAAAAGCACCACTAAGGATGCTACAGTCTTTACCACTCACCTTCATGAATCTTTTGCTAATGTAGCGACGGGAAAATCAGGACCCAGGAATGAATAACTTACTAAACAATAATTCAGTATCTTTAAACACTCAGTGGGCAATATATAATATACGTAATGGTATGCCCATTTTCTGATAAATGACACTAAGCTTTAACATCACATTTTCATAGTACTTCCCATCTCTATGTTTCCAATTGATGAAAGGATCTAAAAACTTGACATTCGTTATTAGTATTTGGGGGTAAGGAGGTATCACCTCTGCAATGTACTCTTGAAGTCTTCAGGAAAAAAACATGGAAGTAAACAGAAATGTAGGCAGGAACACAGGGAAAACAATAAAGCAAATGTGACGAAATGTTAGCACTGGGGGATCTGGGTAAAGGATATATATGGGAATTCTATGTCTTACTCTTACGGTGTTTTTAAAGTTTGAAATTATTTCAGAATAAAAAGAAGAACCACATTTCCGAACACCACTCCCAGAAATCTGATTCAGTGAGGTCTGGGAGGGACTGGGCCCCTGCATGTTAAAAAAAATCCCAAGGAATTCCAATGCATGCTGTGGTCCATTGGTCTACAGCCCTGGAAGATGAGTATTCAAACAACAGTGCGTAGCTGTCTACTATACAATAAATAAAGTAATTAAATTCCCAACAACTGCTGTGATACCACTTCCATAAGAGAATGTGTTTTATAACTTGTAGTAAGAACCATTACTCAAATTTCAGTTCACTTAGTATTTTACTTAATGCGTTTAGTATATTAGAATACGTTTACCTACTATCCTTTACCTATATGTTGTCTGCTAACTACATTCAGAATGCATGTGATGACCTATCTAAACGGCATTCCAAAGACGTCTTACCTCTGCAAACGTCTTAAGTAGTGTGTTGACTTGAGCAAAGGCCTGCGGAAGAACACCGTCATAATTTGACCTTGTACTGAAGGCATGTAACAGGCTTTGGGAATCCTGGAGCAGGAATTTCACCGTTGCAAAATCCACTGCACTGTTAGCTGGTAACAGAAAATTAGGAAGGAAAAAAAATTACCTAAGAATGAGTACACAACTCGAAAATATCTTTGGAAAACCAATCTAATATTAATTATGAGATTTAAGAAGAGTACACATTTACACCTACAAGCCACCCCTGCTTTATCTCTGGTGTAAAAAGCAACAATTAAACTGACTTAGCTACAGACATAGCTATTGGAGTTGATTCTGGTATTCTGGGGTATTCAGATTCCAGGATTTTCTTCAACATGGTCAGTTCAAAGACATACTCTTCAGAAAAGAGAGAGAATCACCAAACAAACAAGTTAAAGCACAGATTTTCCAAACCAGGGCTGCCTCACCACACATTACTATGGCAGCATCAGAAGAGTCACATTTTGGCGGTAAGCACCTGAGTAACATGTGGTACCTCTCATAATCAACTCAGTTATAATGCAGTGGTTCAAATTTACCTTCAAATGTAGTGTAATGAAATGAAATGTAACACTACATTTGTAGAAAATAACCTGTTTGCTCTCCGTGTATAACACAGTTAGCCAAAAATAAGGAATTTAGGTAACAGTAAGCTGGGGGCAAGAGAAGCTAGCAGAATTTTTTCCCCCTGCACATTAACAAAGTGAGTTCATCTACAAGTACCAATTTAAAGGTGTGCTTTTCTCTTAAGGAACTAGAATTACATTAAATCCTCAAACCAATTGGGAGATGTGACAATAATTTCAAAGATTCTAAAAGCTATGAACAATTAAATAACTTTGGAATGTCATCAAAACTCAAAGTAAAAAAAATGTTTTCCCATTATTAGGATAAAATGCTACTAACAATTTTCAAAGGCCTACAAAATAAACCATTTCATATGTTGTATTTTCATGTTCACAGTTTCAGGGACTGTTAAATTCCAAAACAGCAGCATGGCTTTTCCCCAGTATTATGGGTTTAAAAAAAATCAAGAACTCCCCTGTATCACTTATATAGAAAGCATCTGCTTATGAAATATGGACAGGTCAAATGAAAATTAAAGGTAAATTTTAATAATTTATTACGCAATATTCAGAAATTCTAATCTAATGTGATGGTTACAGATAAGCTTCTACCTTTACTTTTACCAAACAAATAGTATACTTCCTTACAAAATGCTTTTAGTTACTTTTGAAGTCAATGCCTAGTTTAAATTAGATGAGAGAGATGCTACACATGAGACAGAATGGAAACTCGATGAATTCAGTAAATATCCTGACGAGGAGAAATGGAGCACAGCTTTTTTTAAGGGCGCTTCTCCACTGTAGTCTATGTTCATTAGGGCTTATAGCTTTGAAATAATCACTTTATTTTGTCTTGCAAAAATTATTTATGAAGATTATGAGCAAAAAATAAATAACAGTGATAAATTCAGAACCTAGACACAACATAAAAAGAAAGCTATGTGACTGAAATAATTCAATGTTTACATAAGAACAATAATTATACAAGTTAAAGTTAATATGGAAAACAAAGTCAGAAAAGGCTACTAGTCATTTTCACCACAATCTTCTATGAATTGATCTAAGGGTTCCTGTTGGGTATATCAAAGTTAAACACATGTATAATTCAATAGCAAGAATACTATTAAAGAGACTAAACAAAACCATAATTTATTATTTTTCTAATTCAAATTATCTTAGAGCAGAAGGCACTTTTACAATTCTGTTTACTATTCTTCACAAGTCAGGAATATTAGGCATCAGATTTTCTACACCAAGAATCAATGAACAATGCACATAATGACTCCAAAAAACAATTTTTGGGCAGAAGAAACAGTCACCATCTCTGTACTTCTCTCTACTGCCGGTCAGAGCTGCTGCCTACTGCCTCTCAGCTGCCCGTAAGAGCAAGATGCTGCCCGCCCCTGGAAAGAACAGACCAAGGGAGGATGGTGGGCAACTCAATACCCTGTTTCTGAAACTAAATCTTGTTCCACATCGTTCATAGTTTATGGACTTTCTCTTCTGATAGAACCAACTAAATTATGCCCTTAGTAAAATTTATGAAAAAATGTTCCTATATATCTTGTAAAACTGCTCTGAAGACGTGTCCAATATGTTGTTCTATGTCTCATATAACAATACCCCTAGTAAATAACGTTTATAATTAAACACAATGCCTGGGAAAACAGACATTCATACAACACCTACCTTGTATAAGTCATAAGGCACTGAGTAGGCATTTTATTTTTATTTTTAAAAATATTTTATTTATCTTTAGAGGAGAAGGGAAGGAGAGAGGGAGAGAGTATCAATGTATGGTTGCCTCTTGTGCGTCCCCTGCTGGGAACTGGCCTGCAACCCAGGCACGTGCCCTGACTGGGAATCAAACCTCGATCCTCTGGTTCACAGGCCCGCACTCAATCCACTGAGCTACACCAGCCAGGGCTGAGTAGGCATTTTAAATCCTCCAGGTTTTTACTTTGCTTTTTAGAGGCCCAGGAAGACAAAGCCAGCTACTTGACTTTGGACAAACTGCTTACCCTCAGAAGGCTAGAGTCCTTTACCACAAAACATGGAGTTCAATAACATTAGATCAGTGTTTTTCACACGTGTATCTTCTTATCAGAGGAACATTTTTTCCTAATCTTACATGGAACCTCCATATAGCAACAGATGAAAGAAAGCTGCCTGGCTAAAGCTGAGGTTGAAGGCCCAAGGCCCAGCACCTGCCAGGCTCCCATCGACCTTTGCCCCTCCAACTGGTGGCAGCTCCAGAGGTATTTCAAAAAACCCGAGGCTCTGTACAACACAGTTCCGAAACCACCCACTGAGTGGCTGACCACAGGCTCTTCTGGTTCCAAAATTCACTGCACCAAAGCCAAAGATGTCCTATTCCTTATTCATATTCTACGTAGAAACTCTGATACATTATTTTTAAAATTAGTACATGAAACGTGGTCAAAATTGTGTTAAACACAATTAGAAATGAAAAAATCTAAATCATTCTATTTGTGCACTGGAATAAACTACAAAATGTGGTTTAAAATGTTCCCAAAGATTATTAAAATTACATATTCACAATATGAAGGATCAACAATGACACTATTAACAGTCAAAAGCTCCGACAGCTGCGTCCATTCATCCACCTGCCACAAGTTCCCTTTGGAAGTGAGAAGTATAAATGACGAAGAACCAACTGAGAACATCTTTATTAATTCATCTTCACACTCCATGGACTACATTTACTAGTCTCGCTTTAATAAAACACAGCTAAAAACAAAATGAAAGATTCATACCTTTACAGAGATTTTCATGTAAGCTCTCAACAGTTAAAAGCAAGTTCTTTTCCATAATTAATCCAAATACAGCCAACCAATGTTTTTTAAAGCACTGTATTAAATGCATCAGAGTCCATGGTGGTTTCAAGTACAGCATCTAAAAAGTATTTAGAAAAAATTAGTATCTAATGATTTATTATTCCTTTTTCTTTTTTTAAAGTACAGTTTTCCTTTGAACAACATGGGTCAGAACTATGCAGGTCAGTTAATTGTGGAGTTTTTCAATAAATACGTATGGTTCTGTAAATGTATTTTCTTTTCCTTATGATTTTCTTAATAACGTTTTCTTTTTTCTAACTTACTCTATTGTAAGAACACAGTATACAATACATATAACATACAAATTACATGTTAACGGATGTTTATTTGTCAGTAAAGCTTCTGATCAACAGTAGGCTAGTAATAGTTAAGTTTTTGGGGAAGTTATATGTGGATTTTCTGCTGCATGGGTAGTCAGAAACCCAAACCCCCAAGTTGTTCAAGGGTCAACTGTACCTATTTAGGAATGCCTACACATATTTCTGAAAAAATATAGTTATTTGAATTTACTTTATTAAAAGTCAATCATAATCTTAAAATGCTTCCATTGCAAGTTCCTTTGTAAAACTGACATTAGTATTAATCCTCATATAGTTTCAGAAACTACAAGTACAGAAAGAATACATAGCTCTAATCAGAAGAAGCACATTTTAATTAGCAAATATCATCAGGCTACTTTTCGACATGGTCATTTCTACAAGAAAAATCAGTCTAATTAATTTCTTATAACTGATGGAAAAATTGATACAGAAAAAAGTTGTCAATTATAACTGACACTTGCTATAGTCTGTATGACAAAGACATGTTTAAAAAGAAGGTCGATCATTTACCACTACGAAATGTCAGCATGTTCTTCTTTGGACATTCACACAAAATTACTGTCTGAGACTCATGAAATACCAATTTACATCAACTGCCACCCGCAGAAACTTCTGATCATTCTTGCTCATCCTAATAAATGCAATCAAGAGCAAACACACTCTAGGCAAATATTAGTATCTCACTGAGTATCTGGAATAGATACAATCTACAATTAATGGAGATTAATATTTCTCCTCGCTATAAGTGTGAAGAACAAACAAACATTAAACTGAAAAGGCCACCATTGACAAATGTGGTGTTTTACAATTGTAGAAAAGATATGAATCTAAAGAAAACTCAAAATATCTTGCTAATATGATCAAACTTCTACTGTGATTCTCATATTTATATGGCATAAGCCAAAATACACCTTTCTTTTTCTGAACACACCTTCCCAGGGGAACTCCCTGTACTACACATCTGGACTCCAACTAAGTATGAGAGTTTTTCTGGATTCAACTTAAGCTTCAGAGGGCAAACTGTGCGACACCCAGACGCACAGTAAATATCTGCTCACTGTAAAAATGACTAATAAAACACAGTCCTCATCTTTGGGAAATGTCCATCATGTAGTTCTCAAAATATTATTTCAAAAACTACAAGACACAAATATAATGTGATATAGATTACTATAATAAAGCTTACATGTCATATTTCTTAAAATAAGGTAACCAATCTTTAGCAATAAAAAAGAACTTTTCAACTAGTAGAGTTGAAATACTCACATCCATCCAGAGGTTTCCAAAAGCGATTTTCATTTCTGTTTCTAATATTGAAGATAAAGCTGTTCCAAGAGATTTTTCGAGATCAGACACTATGCCTTCAAGTAGAATAAGTAGTCCAGAATTTGTAGATTTTTCCTCATTACTCTCTCCCAAAGATACTGCTTCTTTAAAACAATTATAAACTTTATTTAGGACAGTAGTAGTAAATATTTTACATAGGTAATTACTATCTAACTATAAATAATAAACATTTTATCTTTATAATTGGTATTTTAATTACATAGAAAACAAACCAATACTTTATTTTAAAAACAGTATTTAGAAACATGTATCTCTAGTATAGTTGTTTTAGATGCAACATAAACGTATTACACTAACAAATGCTTTGTTTTTGACAAAGGCAACTAAATAAATAGCTTCACTGGAATACAAATGTAAGAAATGTGCATGATATCTTAACTACAATTTTATTATTTTCAAAAAGAAGAAAAATCATGAGAATGCTTCAATCTACATGCAACAGAAAATTAAGAACTATGGATCGAAATGTGTATTCTACCAAAAAGTATTAATACTGTATTATTCCAACTGAAGCTCACATCAACAAATTGTTTTAAAAGGTCCAAATCTCTGACTTAACTAACCTTTATGTCCAACCCTTTAAAAAGTTATTAACTGATATCATTTCATTAACATTACTATTTTGATAACTAAAAACAACTACAATTTCTTTATGGTAAAATTCAAAGTTTTACTGCAGAGATAACTAGGGGTAACTAGAGATAACTAGTTTACCTCTACTGAGGATTTAAAATGACAGTAATATAATAAGCAAACTAAAACCATGTTACCCCTGAAAAACTGTAAACTAGAATATCCTGTTTGTTGCTCCTTCTAAATGCCCTTTTGAATAGTAGGACTAAAGAAATTTATCACTTTAAAAGTCAAATAAGTAGCAAGTGTATACATGAATTTTTATACAATTATACATAAAAGCACATACAATATTAGAGACTTTAACAATTATTTTCTCCACAAAGGGAAAAGGTGGAATGTGTTCTTTAAATTATGTCAGACTTAATATAACATTGCATCAAAGATCAAGCTCTATTATAAAAAAGATTATTCTGGGGGAAAAAAGGATTATTCTAGTGAAAAAAAAAGCCTTTTGCTTTTTTAACTATTAATTTAAGATTTAAAAAGAACTAATACTAGAGTCTCTCAAGTTTTTCCATTGAGTTTTTATAGTATTGGTGGAAGGTTATAAATATGAGGATAATTTGAAAAAGAAACTAAAAATTTCTCTCTACTTCAAATGAATACATTCAACAGCCACCATTCATTTAAAAGGTATACTTTGTGAGGTACAAAATAGCGTGCACACAATGATTATAAATATGTAAAACTGTATATGAGTGAACAACAAAAAAATTAGTTTTACAAATTAATTCAAATTAGTTTGTAAAAATATATGTAGAAGGCAACACTGTTCATTATTTCTTTTGTATCAGCATGATAATTTTCATTTAGTTTTACCATTTATGTGTGAGCAAATATTCCAAACAATGTTATTTTAAATGTACATGATAAGAATGTCCTATTAATTACAATTACTATCAATAATCTTAGCATATAAAATCTGATACATTTCTAATTATTCATAGTAAAAATACTACCTGCTTTCAACTGTTGCTTAGATGCACAAGACTGATGGTACACAGCTACGCCCGAGGACAAGCTTAAGAACTCTGCACTCAGTTCTTCTTTACTGAGTGACTTCACACCACTTATTAGGCCTTTGTTTCTTAAATTTCTATCGTCCCTAAGGTTGGTTTAGGAGGAAAAAAAACTTAATTTTTTTATAAGATAAATCACATGGCAACTCAAAATACACAGGATCTAATCAGAGGTTTGTAATTCTCGGCATATACATTAACAAAATCGGACAACTGTTTTAAACAGAGAAGACGAAAGCGTTAACACACAACACAGTCACATGAAATGAGCTGCAGAGGATACTAATAATTATCACCTACTGCGTGTGTCCCGGGTACCAGGCACTGTTTTACGCACTTTATGTATATACCATTCCATTTAATTTTCACAACAAACCTCTTAGGTGGGAATGGAACTAATGTTATCCATTATTTCACAGATGAGAAACAGAGGTGTGTAAAGGAGGTAAGTAACTTGTCCAGAGTTACACCTGGTAAGTAGGAGATGGATTTGAACTCAGGAATATGATCCTCCAAAGGGAAATAGAGCCATAGTCAGGGAAATAATTTACACACGGCAGGCAATTACAATTTTCTCAACGTGAGCATAAGACAAATGGCATGAATTTGCTATTTGCTGAAAGAAGTCAGTATAATTAGCTCATAGTGCAGGGTCTGGCTGAAGTAATGCTGGCTTGCATGTGGTTGGTGGGGTAATAATATGGGTGTAATAAATTTATAGTTTTAATTTGAACATTTCACCAAAAATGTCACATGGTGTGCTTGAGCGTGATATTATTATGTTACAGAATTACAAACTTATCATTTTGTAATAAAAGATTGTCTAATGAAAAGGGGGCGTTATCTATGTCAGACCCCGTACATGAGACTGGTTAATATGCGTGCAGAGAAAGGCAAGGGCATTAATAAATGGAAAGAGTTTTAAGGGCTTCAATGGGGAAGTGACATGATCAGATCTGTGTTTGTTAAACTATTCTGGACTTCAGCAGGTTTCTTGCTTTTGTTAACAGCCCAGTAGTTTGGCCAGACTAACCTTCCAACAGATGAGAATGAAAAAGATCTGACCCCGTCCCCCACCAAAAAAGCAAAACATTTAAAGGCACTGGAGAGACAAAAAACTGCACTGGTAAAAGATGCAAGTTTTTATTTTTTTGTCTGAGGGTATTCCTCAATTCATCAATGTCTTATGACAGAAAGCCACAGGCTTAACAGCTGGAACTCTCAGAAGACAATGTTCAGGACTGGCCAAAGCAGACAGAAAGTTAAAGCGGGAATGAAGAAGGAAGAAAACCACTGAGCAGGGGAGCCATGAAATCTGCACATAAATTCTTCATGGAAAAAACCCAATAAGCTGGCAAGAGACAAAGCAATCAACAGAACCAGACTCAGCTCTGACACAGAGGTTGAAGCTATCTGAGAGAGAATTTAGATTTTGATTAATATGTTAAAGGCTCTAATGGAAAAGTAAATAGTATACAAAATCTGGGCTGTTTCAGCACAGATGAAAATCTTAAGAATCAAATGGAAGTGCTAGAAATAAAAACACAAAAATAGAGATGGAGAATGCCTCCCACAGGCTCCTCTGTAGACTAGATATACATGAGGAAAGAAATTAAAAAAAAAAAACTTGAAGACAGGTCAGAAGAAATTGCTCAAATTGAAACAAAAAGAGAATAAAAGGTTAAAAAAATACCCAAGGAACTATGGGGCAACAGCAAACGGTCTAACTAACATAGACACATGAATCAGTCATCTACTGCTATGTAACAAATGACCCCAAGATTTAGCATCTTAAAATAAACAAACGTTTATTATCTTACACCATTCCTGAATCTGGGAGCAGCTGGTCTGGATGGTCTAGCTCAGGGTCTCTTACAAGGCTGGAGCACGTAGCCACTCAGTTTAACTGGCACTCACGTATGTGGTTGTTGGAACGCCTCATGCTGGTTCTTGGCCGGAGGCTTTATTTTCTCACCGTGTGGGCCCCTCCATTGGGCTACTCAGAACATGGCAGTTTGCTTCCCCACAGCAAATGGTCCAAGAGACAGAAGGAAGCAAGAGAGTGCCCAAGAAGTTCTTGCTATTATAACCTAATCTCAGGAATGACATACTGTACCGTAACTTCTGATGAATGCTATTCGTCACACGGACAGCCAATTCTGGTACAGTACAGGAGGGGATTACACAAGTGCATTGCTATTGGAAAGGCAGGAATCACCGTGGTCATAGAGGACACTGGCTACTACAACGTAATTCTGTAATACCAGAAGGAAAAAAGAGGGAACAGAAGAAATAATGACTGAGTATTTTCCAAAGCCAAAGACAGACGACACCAAACCACGCATCTAGGAAGCTCAGAGAACATCAAGCGGTACATTTGCTCTCCCCTAATCACCTCCAACAACCCCCACACCCAAACATCTGAGCCTGTCTGAGAAAAACTGCTAAAACAAACTGCTAAAAAAGTGAAAGACAAATCTTGAAAGCAATGATAGGAAAAAAAGACACATTACATACAGGGGAACAAAGACAACATTTGTAGCAAACTGCTCATCAGAAACCATATAAGCTAGAAAAACTGGAGCAACATCTTTAAAACACCAGGAAAAGGTCAGCCCAGATATCATTAAAAAATGATTAAGAAATAAAAACCTTGTAAGACGAAACTCAAAATTCATTGTCAAGAGACTTACACATGTCTAAGAAAGTTGTTTAGGCAGAAGGACTATGACATCAAACAGAAACTTGAATCTATTAAAGGAAATGAAGAATGCTCAAAATGGAATGCAAGATTAAAATATTCTTTTTTCTCATTTTAATTGCTCTAAACAGTAAATGAGTAAAGCAAAAAAAAAATTGCAAAGTATTATGTGTTTATCATTTATAAAAAGGTAAAATCTATGACAACAGCACAAAAAATAGGAGGAAGAAACTGGAAATATACTACTGTCAGATCCTGTACTAATGCAAATAAGTGTAATATTATTGAAGGTAGACTTTAATCAAGTAAAAATGTATATTATAAACACTAGGGACCCTGGCTGGTGTAGAGCACGGGCCTGTGAATCAAAAGATCACGGTTCAATTCCCAGTCAGGTCACATGCCTGGGTTGCAAGCCAGTTTCCAGCAGAGGCCGGTTCCCAGCAGGGGAGACACGAGAAGGAACCACACATTGATATTTGTCTCCCTCTCTGTTTCCCTTCCCTTCTAAAGATAAATTTAAAAATCTAAAATAAATAAATAAATAAGTAAATAAATAAATAAACACTAGGGTAACAATTTAAAAAGCATTTTTCAGGAAGATATAAATAAGGCAATAATGGAGATAGAATGGTACCTTAAAAAGTTAAAAATTAACCAAGGGAAAAAAAGAAAAACAGATGAAACTAATAGAAAATAATTAGCAAAACTGTAGATTCTAATCCAACCAATTAAATATGAATGGTATAAATTCATTAATTAGGACAGAAATTGTCAGAATGAACAAAAAAGAAAATACCAAATATATGTTGTCCACAAAATACTTTAATATGAAGACACAGGTTGGTTAAAAGTAAATGAATGGACAAAGATATACCATATAAATACTGCCCAAAACAAAACTGGAGAAATAATGGTAATGCTTAACAAAGGAAACTTCAGAGCCAGAAATATTATTAAGGAAAAAGAGAGACATTATGCGATTTTCCAGTAAGACAATTCTAAACGATCCTAAATGCATGTGCATCATGTCACAGAGCTTCATAACACACAAAGGGAAACAGAACTGAAGGAAATGGACAAATGTGCAGTCATGGCTGGACATTTCAATACTCCTCTCTCAGCTATCACAGGATAAGCAGACAGGTGATCAGAATGGTTTTATAGGAGACTGGAACGACACCACCAACCAACTTGACCTAATTGAAATTCATAGAATACTATACTCACAAGAGCAGAATAAACATTTTTTTAAAGATTTTATTTATTTAATTTTAGACAGAGGAAAAGGGAGGGTAAAAGAGAGGGGAAGAATGTGCAAGAAAAACCTTGATTGGTTGCCTCTCACATGCCCCCAACCAGGGACCTGGTCTGAAACCCAGGCGTGTGCCCTGACTAGGAATCGAACTAGTGATCCTTTAGTTCACAGTCTGGTGCCCAATCCACCAAGCCACAGCAGCAGGCAGAATGTGCATTTTTTAAGTGCACATAAATTCACCAAGGTAGACCACAAAACAAACTTTAACAAATGTAAAAGAAAAGAAATAATATAAAGTATGTTCTCAAGTCATAAAAGAGTTAAACTTTACAAATCAGTAACAAGAAGATAGCTGGAAAATGTGTAAATATTTAGAATTAAGAAACAAGAGTCTATGGATCAAAGAGGAGGTCACAGGGAAAATGATAAAGAATATTTAACCAAATGAAAATAAAAATACAACATATCAAAATGTGTGGGATGCAATTAAAACAGTGTTTAAAGGAAAATGTACAGCAGACTCAAATAAATGATCTAAGCTTCCACCTTAAGAAACTAAAAGCAAAAATGCTCTCTTTTGGAAGATTAATAGAACAGAAGGTGTTCTTTATGTAGAGAGTGATGTGTGCTATACCAGTGCCTCTGGTGTCAATGCTATCGTGAAAATGTGTGCATTTCATGTATGTACATTCTCCCTCAAAATGCAAAGAACTATATAAAATAATCATACAGGAGGGCAGAGAACACTAATTTTGATCATTGCTATAGCTGGGTACTTAGGAGTTTTTACTAACTCTTCTTCACTTTGAATATTGTTGGAATTCTCAATAATGAAATATTTTAAAAATGAAAAATAAAAAAGACATTGTAACTTTTTGAAGAATTAATGAAGAACAAGTGTGGAAGGAGAGCAAGTAGTCTTAGAATAGAAAAGGAAGAAAAAAGGAAAAAAAAACACATGGCTTGACATGGAATCGTGGCAAGAATAATAAAGAAAAGAAGCCCATCCAGGACCCACTAATGAGCTAGACTCATAGATTATGAGGAAAACGAAAGGCAAGTCCCAAAATGGTCCCTAGGTGTCTGGCTTTCAAAGCAAATGAATAGAAGGTAGGGTCTTTTGATCAGAAGGAGAACAGTTTAGAAGGAAAGATCAAGACTTTGTTTTTGGAAATGGTACTTTTCAGGTGTCTATGAGACAACTAAGTAGAGATATCAAATAAATAGTTGAGCATACTAGTCTAGAATTCAGAAGAGAGATATGGACTAGAGACATCAACTGTGGGTTGTTGGCCCATACTTGGAATTGTTAATGTAAGCAAAGCACTTAAAATGGTGTATAATATACAGTGTTATAGAAGGTTCTCCTATTACTACCACTGCAAATTAATATTTGTAATCATCATTCATTTAGGTAACATCAATGTATCGTTAGAATAAATAAGTGACTCACAGCAGGCAGGCTTACTACCTTTTATTAGGGAAAAAAATAAAAATTAAAAAACAGGCTCATCTAGAAAAATGATGTGAGAAAAGTAAGCTTTGACTACAAACTTTCATTTCACCAAAAAATGTCACATCTATTAATCACAAAAGAATGATGGCAGAAATAATAAAGAATTAAGTCTGACCAGTTTAAGTTTCATTCAAAGTTGAACTAAAAAACAATTACACAAGAATTATGCTTCATATTTAGCTGATCTAAAATTCAAAATGATTAGCATATTACTAATTCTATTTCAGCCTTCAACAATCTCTGAGATGATATGTTCTAGATTTTTAAAACATATTTAAACCTAGAGATAGAAATCTCCAATATTTCCCTTAACGCCAAAAAGAATAACATGTTCTTTGAAGATAGCTGCAATGATAATTGACCAAGCCCCCTTAACAAGAAAAATCTTAGGGCCACTAAGATTTTTTAGTGGCCCTAAAAATCTTACTTTTAGGGTCATTTCCATAATAGCTCCATTTCACAGAGAATTTAGGCATGATCATAAAACTGTGAAAACTCTATTTTGCAGTGATTAAAATTCACGCTAAAAGTGCTCTTCTTGATTCCTCTAGAGCCTTTTTTCTCTCTTTAAAATTTGTATAAAAGTTTATTTGGGCCAAACAGAGGATTGCCTGGAAGCAAAATCTAACAGACAGAGAGACATGCCTCCCAGAGCCTTTTCTCATACATAATGAACGCAGTCTTGGGCAGCATTATGGCAGTGTCGCCTTAGAACTAAGCTATGAAAATATTAGTTAGAAATGGAGGAAAGGAAGGAAGAGGAAGGGAGGAGGAAAAAACTCTGAGATCACACCATGTACAAGGCACTAAATCCTTCGTATACAGTATCTGATTATATACAATAACCCCATGAGACAGGTGTTATTATTCTCTCTCTATTTAACACATGAGGAAACTCAGTTAAGCAACTTTCCAAAGTTGCAAAGCTGGTAAGTGGTAGACACAGGACTCCAATCCAGCCCCAAGGACATAACTAAAGCATAAATGGCCCTTTGCCCAGACACTAATTAATTAACCTTCTTGCCTCATAACCAAAAATGTCAGGTTTTTATTTCTCAACTATTTCATTGGGATAGTAAACTTATATTTCTTTGGTTTTCAAAAGTTTTCTGAATATTACATAAATGAAATTGAAACGAAACTTATCTACTTGAGATTTGAATCTTGTTCTTCCACAGCTTACACCTAAGAAAGTGAGCTAGTGCAGCACGGTGAATGCGGTCAATATCTGACTCTACTGCACACTTGAAAATTGTGAAGAGACTAGGTCTTAAAAGTCCTCATCATGAGAAAAAATATTTTCTGTAACTATGTATGGTGATGGATGTGTTAACTAGTCTTAATTGAGTAATCGTCTAATAATACAAAAAAAATCAGATCATTATGTTGTACACCAGAAACTAACATGCCCCGTCAATTAGACCTCATAAACAAAGAAAAAGTAGGAGAGCATTTCAGATCTTGGTCCCTTGCATATGTCATCAGTTTGGCTCAAATAAACTCATTAACATTTAAGAAAAAATAATATAGGAGAGATAGCTGAACATGTTCACTGGCAGATTTATAAAGTACTGGGTACATGTTTTTAACCCTTGGTATGGTACATAAAGTATAATTTAAAAAAATTCTTTGGTGCCCTGACCCAGTGACTCAGTTAGTGTCTATCATCCCACAGAGGTAGATGTCTCAATGTCTCGATATCTTATTGTCTCTCTCTCTCTACACCCCTCCTTGTTCTCTAAAATCAATAAATATCCTCAGGTGAAGATTTTTTTTAATTCCTTGGTATAATTTTCCATTTTAAAGATAAATAAAATGACCATGAAACTCACGTGCACAGAATAACAAGAGAACTAGGGAATAATTCCTGGTACTGAAGACAGCATTTTAATACTCGATCATCATTGTTCTCATCACTCAATCCATCTGCAAATTCAGCAAAAGCAATTATCAATAAGTGCACTAGAAATCAGAGTACCATATGAATAATCTAGGCTGTACTTACATACAAAAAACATCTAAAACAAACAAACAAAAACCTGTTAAATAAAAAGAGGAACATAAGACACAGTAAAACAACACCCTGAAAAGGTTGGAATAGAATTCAGGCAGCACATAGTTGCGAGTTTAAAAAACTGGTTAGTTTTCTACTAACATGGAATAAGTTATGTCCACCAATAAACTCAAAAAATGTGATCAGTAGGTCAAATGCCAGAGTAGAAACCAAAAGCTATGAATTCTAATCTCAATTCAGTCACTTAGAGATTATTAGTAAATTATGATTACTACATGCTTAAAATGATATCAACTTAAAAGAGATCTGTAGAGACCATGAGCAACTCTTCCACCAGCAAGAGAACCACTCTCAAGTGTCTGCTTTTCCTTACTCTCTAACGCAGTAGTACAGGAAAAGGCATTATGGGCCCTACGCAGAGAACACAAAAAAATAACCACTAACAAATGTTAATCAGTGGCTGACAGGTGGTCCTCTGGCTTTCTCCAAGCTTTAAAGCAGTTGGTGAAAGTTTGTTTTTTGTGCAAATAATGCAATGTGCAGAAATAGGACCAAAGCCAGTGCTTCTCCTAGGACCTGACACTACCTTCCTCAGAACTCCCAGGGTGCTTGTTAATAATACTGATTGCAGGACCACACTCCCAGACCCAGCTGTGGATAACAATCTTTGGACCCTGGACTCAAAGACTGATTTCAGCCCTTGGGGAATCCCTTACATACCACCATTCAAAACATAATGGCCAATGAGCAATGTTCCTAGATTATAACGTCTTTTTTTCCTTCAAATTTTAGCCTATATTACTTAATCCTCTAAACATTCAAACTAAAAAACTCATTCATTCCTGCAATGAATACTTGTACAGAACTGAATCTGTGCCAGGTCACTGCGCTCCATAATTGGAGATGTAAAAACAAACTTTTTAGGAGCTCACAATGTCATCATGAAGTCTAGACAGAACGCAGCTGAGCTCAGAGCATGAGCCTGGAAGGTATTTAATTCAATTCTTTAATCAGACAACCAGTGAGCCAACCAGACAGACATATATTACAACAATTTTCCTTATTTTAGCTCACAGAGTAACTACCACAGTAATGCAAAGTAGAAAACTCAAAGTCATGAGTTAACTTTAAACAACTCAACTCAGCAGACAAGAGGAGGCTTAAAAGTTATAGTGCACCACTCTAAAGGTATCAGAGTTCAAAAATATCTGATCACCTTTTCTAAGATACACAGGACTAAAAAACACACTTTACATTACAAGCATATTCATGAAATATTTAACAAATTTTGTTTAACATTACATGTCATTAACATTTTTCAAAATGTTAGTTCTCAAAATATAATAAGCTCAACATATAGCTTTCGAAATACAGTAAGTTCTCATATGCCTATAGAACTGTATGTAACCTCTCTGTTAGTGAAGTTTCAAATTTTTTGCTGTATAAATGATGCTGTGATGAACATTTTTATATAAACTACTGTAAGCATCTGTGATTATTTTTTTGGATGGATTTCTAGAAAGAGAATTATGTCTTTCGGTTTCTTGATACATACTGATAAACTGCTCTCCTGACAAGTTACTTATATTCCCAAAGCACTAGAGCACTCTAAGTGTTCCTCACAGATGTTGAGAAAAATAACTTTCTCCATTTAGAAGCAATAAAAAGAATACAGAAAAAAAGTGAAAGATAAATCTAAAAATGTTTATATATAAGAAATTAATGACATTAAAATTGGCCATCAGACAGGAAACTATATGCAGTGACCAAAGGACTGACTAGCTGTATTTCTTCCTTTTGTGAATTTCCTATTAATAATCGTCATCCACTTAGGGGAAAGGGATATTTAGTTTTTCTAAGCAACCTGTATAAGCTTTTCGAAGACGTGAGAATTATAATCTATTTCAAGTCATAAACTATTAAGCACTTTATATATTATCTGACATAGAGAATTACACAAATAATCTATTATTCTATCTACAACCTTATAACTAAAAGCAATTTCAGTGATTTAACAAAAATAAGATCAAATAATAAGATTTAACTTTAAAGTGAAATAGAGATTTCCAGAAAAACACAGAGAAGCTGAAACAACACAGAAGTCTGATACAACTACGGTGATTTATCCTCCTTAATCATCAAAAAACATAGACTGCGGAAGTCGAAGCAGCAAAAAAGCACATGAAAAGAGAAAAATCAAAGGAATATAGTAAGTATCTAAAAATAATAAAATGCGCCCTGGCCAGGTAGCTCAGCTGATTGGAGCGTTGTCCCAGTGTGCCAAGGTTGCAGGTTCAATTCCTGGTCAGGGCACATGTACAAGATTCAACCAATGAATGCATAAATAAGTGGGACAACAAATCAATGTTTCTCTCTCTATCAACTTTAAAAAATAAAAGTAAATAAATAAAAATAAAAAATGTGGCCAAAATAACTATTCTAAAGTAAACACTTCAATGCAATTTTCGAAGCTCATCTAGTGAAGGAACGTCTGTCTAGGTCAAGTGCTTCATCTGTGTCTCCATTCTCTCGCCAGTAAGATGAGGCTGATGAGTGTCTTCTACTGCACTATGGGTTTGAATGAGGTGTCAGCTATAAAGCATTTGGAAAAGGGTCTGGAGAATAATGTCCATCAAAGTGTATATATCATTATCATAATTATCTATATTATTACATAATAAAATATAATTTGTGTCAACAAATGGAAAAAAAAGATTAAAAATAAGCAAAATTTCTACCTCTTTTTAAGGACTAGGCTCTACTGAAATAATGGCTTGGATCAGGGGTTAATTTTGTTAATTATGTAGGTGTATAAAAAAAATCTGTTAGCAGCACATACTGAAGTATATATAGGTAAAAATTATATGATGTGATATTCTGGATTTACTTCAAACTATTGCAGAAGTTCTGGGAGTTGGGGGAGAATAAGAAAAGGAGATGAGAATAAACAGGATTGGCAAACATTAATAATCACTGAAAATGAGTGATAAGTACAAAGGGATTCATTATATTAGTCTCTCTCTACCTGCATTTGATATTTTACATAACAAAAAAAGACCATCTAAGGTGTTCAATTTAATGTGTTTTCAAATATTTTAGTATTTTTAACTCTAATAAGTGATATTTGTGGTTTTCCTTTAAAAGCTCTACAAAACACATGAAGTTCCTCCTCAGAATACATAACTATTGTAGCTAGAGTATACTAAGAGCTACTAAATATTTAAAAACAGAAGGAATGAATGAATGGAGTCTCTTTTTCTGCAAACACGTAAGAGTAAGCAGCTGCGCCAAAACCCCTCTCGGCACTAGCACCATAATTATATTCATCTTAGGTTGAGTTCTTTCATATCTTATGGTGAATACAGGTAATGTAGGTAACATAAATCCATGATATTTAAAACAGCACAAATCTACATATATACATAATTCTGAATTGGGAGAAACAAAGCTTTAAGGAATTAAATAAATCCTCTAAATGGATGTATAAACTCTACAGAGGCAACAGTGTGGCTTGACACAGATTTTTTTTTTCCATAAAAGTTATATAAAACATCAAGAGCAAACTTAGGTTCTAAGACCAGAGTGATTTAAAAAAATGAATTAAACTAAGAAGGGAAAAAAATGAAACCAGGAGAAAATCTATAGATCTTTATTATAAAAACGCCTCCTTGTTACAGACTCTGACGAACCAGAGGAGAACAATGCCTCTGCACTACTCTAACGACGTGTAGTGATGGATGAGAACCTTAGATCAGTTATGGGTCTCGTCACTCAATGGTGGTATTTTAAAAAGGAATCCAACGTAGTGTTATCATATACAAGTATGAACACAGAACTATAGTCAGTATCTATGAAATATAGACATCAAGTCTAGGAGAAACATAAAAATAAAAACCAAAGACCCCCAAACAAAACCTAATAGAATACCCCAGCCCATCACTATGACCTGCCATCTCACATTTCAATGGTTATAAGTTTTTCCTAAGTTTTTCATCATTGCCCTCCAATGACTCAGTACCCAAACAAATCTTAATCAGGAAGCACAGCAGGAGAACAATACTTACAAAGTTTCTGAGACGCAAGTTGTATGGACTGACCCCATAGTTTTCTGTCCTGATCTCTGAGACTGTCATTGATAAAACGGACCGCAGGTATGGCTTTGTGCTGGGCATATTTCAGTAGTTTTCCTGCCTTCATTCGATCTAGCTCTTGCACCACAACCCAAGGAATGATTAACACAAGCCTGTCAAAGCCTGAAAAATAAAAAAGATGTCTCAGAAGTCAACAAATATCTACAGCTACTAAATGTAATTGCTGTTGGAAAATTGAGTTATAAAGTAAGGAATTTACAATTTAACAAAGAGATAATACATAAAAAATGAAAACTAACACCAGATGTATCACAAGAATGTCACAATACTTACTACTGGAGATCAAAGAAGAGTCAGTCTAGATAGGTAGGTTAACCCTGTGAAGGCTGTTTTAGTTTCTTAACTTAAGCCGATTATGCAAATATATTTTATAAATACCTGGGACTTCTGTTGTCTTCAAAATTCTAACAAATTTGAGATGATTCATCAGAATATTTGTATCAATAACAATTAGAAGTTGTTTGTCTGAAGCTGCATTTGCTAAAGAAAAAGAGCAAAGTTAAGATTTCATTACATTTGATAATAGACTTAATAACTAAATCTTGATATCATACAACTTTGACAGCATTCTTAAGAGAAGGCAGCAAAAGCAAAAATGCATTTACTCCAGTTCTTAAGAGGAAGAACAGTAATAATTAATTGTCCACCAGCAGAATATTATGAATTGCTCACCAATGGATTTAAATCATAAACTGACTTTTCCCAGTAGTAAACTATGTTGCCAAACTGTCTTGCCTCACTGCTAGCTGTGCACTTGGGAATTATAAGGTAATTTTAATATACTCCGAGTGAAATATGATTGAAAAGAAAAATATATTTAAAACAAAGAAAGCAGATAACACCAGCATCATTATTTTATGGTGCCATTGTGAGAATCAGGTTAATGCACATGAAAACAGTAAATTGAAAAATTCAGTGTGAATATAATGCAGCATTACTATTTTTATAAATACAATTCAAAATAGTGTACTAACACATTTTGGATAATATCTATCAATATCTTCTCCCACTAGTACGAAGGATCAAAATTTTTCTATATAAATAAGAAATCTAGGCATATAATACCTTTGAGCAATTTGCATTATTTCTGATCAGTGGTTTAGTTAGTTGAAATTGTTAAAAGTGATGACTGAAAGCAGGAACAAAAAACAACTCATAACTCTGATTACTGCCCCTTGGCAAAAAGAAAAACAGAAAATATGTCTACCTAATAATGTGATATATAAAAACAAATGATGATAAAACAAATACATAGCTACTCTTACAGCTAAAATACACCAAACTTTATTATTTCAAATGAACACATTTTAACACCCTTCATCTAAATATTATAAAAACTGCATGTTGGCACATTCGCTCTGAAGAAAGCACGGGTCTCCCGTGACATCATCACGTGCAAACAGGGTATATACCAGCAGAGGAATGCATATCGTCTTCCACCAAGTCGATCTCCATACTGGACAGCTCCCCGGGAGGGGGGACCACGGGCAAGTCCACACTCTTCCCCACACGTGCAGCGTGAAGCTCTTCCACTATCTGCATCTAGATTGGAACAGACCCGCAGTAAAATATTTTTGAATTCTTCAGTCTGAAGACTAATAAGAAGAAAGCCATTAAATGAAACAGTCTGTGGAATGAAAAATATTTACGAAAGTATTTTGGCAGCATGGTAAAAGAATACAGACTTATAAACATACACAGTGTTTTTAAATGGCTCTTATTACTTTAGTAACCTTAGCCAAGCAAACTATTTAACTACCTTGGGTCTCAGTTTGTACATCGACAAAACAGGAATGGTAGATATGCTTTCCTTTCAGTATTTTGTGAGGATTAAATGCAATTATGAAATACTGTGAGGCTCCTCACACAGAGCCTAGTATGCGGTAACAGACCTTCAAATTAAGTTCATCCTCATCCTCACCTTCACTTCACAGGACTTTAGGAGCCAAATACAGTTTTATCTGGATGGTAAGTGCTCTTATTGAGATTTCTAAGGTTGTTTATGAACCATCAAAAACTCAAATCTAAATCTAGCTTTAAAGCAGGGGTGAGAAATCTTTCTTCTATCAAGGGCACATACCCACAAAACAGAAAAATACAACTGAGTGTCACGAATAAAAACCTGTCACAATCAGTATGGTTTTAAAGTCTTCTTAAAAATAGAAAAATACAAAATATTCTATAAATCTAATTTTAATTCAGGACCAGTGAACATAAAATTCTATGCCATAATTCTATGAGGATCAATCAGGAAATTCTAGCTGGGAAATGAACGATGTAGCAGGTAAAAATATGTATATATTATATATGTATACACACACACAAACAAACACACACATACTCTCGTCTTCATTGAATAATATTTTCATCTTATTGATTAGAAAAAATGGGCAAAAAACATATTAGTGTAAAATTGCATTTTGGCAAGTCTAGGCATAAGCCTGCAAATATGCCTGACAACATTAAATCAAAATGTAACTTGGGGGCCATGTGCTCCATGCTCATCAAAACATATAAGAAACAAAGGCAGAAAGGTGACCAAGTAAATATAAATACTTTTCCAAGTAGTTTTTCATGACCGAATAAAACTTAAATATTGATTTAAGTACAGATATCGGTGTTACTTTCATATTACCAAGGTTTTTGAAGTCATTATTTTTATTGAAATAGGAACTGTTTGGCTTAATTTCATTAACAATATTCAACGTAAATAAGTAGAGCATTAACCTCTTCATCTGTATCTTGAATAATTTCATATGACACTGAAGAACATCGTGCTTCAAAAATCTGAAAAGAAAAGTGATTTTATTAGTTTAGAATGAAACATACAGCCACTGCGAGGTTGTTCAACCTTGGCAGTATGGACATTGGCGTCGGATAATTCTTTCTGCTGAGGCCGTTCTGTGCATTGTAGGATGTTCAGCAATATCTTCGGCGGAATCCACTAGAAACCAGTAGCATACCCCCCCTTCTGATCTTCAAAATCGAAAATGCCTCTATGAAATCTATGCCAAATGCCCCTGGGGTGAAATTGCCCACAGATGAGAAATTGCCTCTTGACTAGAAAAGCCTCATTTTTTAAGTCATAAAACAGAGTAGAAAGTCTTTAGGGTTTACTCATTCATATATTACTAAAAATACTCATATTCTAAGAATGAAACTATTGCACATGCCCCCCTAAGAAATAGAACCATGCAAAGGCAAAACAAGCTGGTCTTTGGTGCCGGGAAACTTGCATCCAGGAGTAACTGAGCCATTTCTAAAAGTGAAATGACATGACAACAAAGGGGCCTTGAAGATTATACTATAACTGAGGGGGAAAGGCTGAAAAATGCATAGTTATACTGTCTTCTGGCAGAGGTGGAAAATCGCTCTATTGTTTCCAATTTTTCACTGGCACTTTTGCTGAGTGGATGAGACCTACCTGATCCTCTGTAACAGGTAACAGGGAACTCAGCAAAAGCCACTACTAAACCAAATCATCTTCCGAGAAATCTCTAAGGTAACACCAAGCTCACATGCATATTCCAGGAACTATATAGGGTATACATTACATTGCTCTATTGGGAATTCAGTTTCCACCTTAACTTCCCAAGGCCAATCTTCACACGATATGAAACTATACACAACTCACATGTAGGCCCATTATAGCCTTACCATTCCAGGGTTTGAGATTTTATGTTCCCTTCTCCACCTGACATTAAATCTCATGAGATCCTTAAGGTCCTCTACAACTAATAAATGCCTGGAGAGCTACAGATTATCAGAACTTCCTACAACTTTTGATATTCAAAGTCTTCTTATTCTTTTTTGCTTAGGTCAGTACAACCCTTCACTCTCTTGGACCACAGGCCACTTCCAATAACTTCAATAAATTTTATATCACCCAAAAATCCATAAAAGTTCATGTCAGTTGTCCCTGAGAACTTCCTCCCTATTAAAAAAAGCTTTAGTGGGCATTTAATTGCCTTTCCCTACCACGATTCATTAAATACCTGGATTGGGATAAAGCCTGAGGATGAAAAAGGGAGTATCAGTAACAAGGGTAACAATGGTTTTATCCATGACAGTGATTCAAAACTGGGAACCTGATTATGCCACCTCCTTCATTATGTTTCAGCGCTGTGCACCACTTACAGGATACAAGATAAAATTTTTCTCAGGGAATACAAAATAATCCCTTGTCCAGACCCTGGCTTCCTCTCCTACTTCCCCTCCAACAGACTACACATCCCAACTGGGGTGCCCACGTCCGCCCTTGCCGTGAACCGTTACAGCTCCGTGCCACTGCACACATGGGCCTCCACCCTGGCAAGTCGGCACTTCCGGTCCTGGCTCTCCACGCCCCTGAATGCCACGCCAAATGATCTCCACCTTCGTGAGCCCTTCTTCAAGTTACCCCCAAATTTATCCTGACACCAGCGCAACTCTTAGCTCACTGCACTGCAACTGTATTTGCTTACTCATCTGCCTCCCTGCAAACTTCTTGAGGGTAAAGATCATCTTATTCACCTAGAAACGTACCTGATATATGACAAGGACTTTTAATTAATATTTGATAAACTGATGAGCTCTTCCCTCACAGACTTGTAAGTACTGAGTTTGAAAACGTGGCATGAAAGCCATGGTTTCTAGAACCCTAACTTGCCATACTGGGAGTGGGTGCAGTCTGAGAGGGGTCTGTATCACGGGGCTGGAATGCCCAGGCAGCAAAAGGAGTTATCCTCACTTAGGAAAGCACAACAGGACTATGAAATCCAGAAAACACAGTTATTTCCTTATAAAATACAATCACTCTTTTAGGGAAATAGTCACCCACTGAAAAATTTATGAGGCAAAAAGAACAACTAACATAATATTAAGATGATTCTCTCCCATGTACCACATGCCGAAGATCATACACCCAAGATAAGAACAATATGCACTGGTTGCTCCAGCACCGAAATGACTTCGGCAGATAAGGCTTCTATCAAAGGAACGGTTCTTAAAGAGCTCTAACTCCGATAACTGGCAAGTAATCCTGCAAAAACTTCTTCCCCTACAACTTAACACTCATGCTCTGTACTTCTTTAGGTTTCTGCTGTAACTCTGTAGAGACCAAAAGTAACTATAAGAAGCACGCAGGCTTCTTCATACTGTTCCCTGGATGTGCAGCCTAGGGGACCACGAAGCAGTGACACTAAGTCACTGAACACACTGGCAAGCTCAACTTCCTTGCTTTTACTTTATTCTAGGGAACTGGTTACAACACAAGAAATCTGGAGGTTTTTCCTCTAAGAAAGCAATGAAGACTTCTGATCGTGAAGTCAGTATAGGTGAACATGGTACTCGCCTCCTCCCACAACTATATCAAAATTACAACTAAAGAACAGCAATCATTCAGAACCACCTGAAATCCGGCTGAATGGACGTACTATAACTAGGGAATTAAACAAGAAGCCACATGGAGACTGGTAAAGGGACGGAGATGGGCTGGTCCCACATCTACGAATGTCCGGGAAAAACTGGGAGGGATATCATAGCTGCGAAGGTTCCCTCTGAAGAGTAAGGGGTCTCAGTCCCATATCAGGCACCCCATCCCTGAGTTCCAGCACCAGAAGGAAAAGCCCCCTTGCTGTAAAAACAAGCTGGGACTGAGGCTGAGGGAGAGGGAAGCTTTCAGAGTCCCAGCCAGTTATTTTTAAAGGGCCCGTGCATGGACTTACTCAGATTCACTCCCTCCGAACTCCAGTGCAGAGGCAGCAGCTTCAAAAGCACCAGAGGCATGTGGGGAAGAAGTGGAGTGTCCAGCATCAGGGGAGAGCTGGGGAGGCAGCTTTCTCCCAGACAGAAGTACTGGGAGAGGTTACTGTTCCTTTGATGAGCCCTCACTCCAAACAGCCTGCAGGCAGATACCATATCTGAGCCTCCATCAACTTGGCTAACACTGTTTACCCCACTCTGGAGAGTCCTTGAGGCCCTGCTCCACCTACTTTCGGCGCCAACAAGCTATTTCCAGTGAATTCTTCATAAAAATGGCCTGTTTCGGCTCATGCTTCAGATTTTCCTAAAATCTCTTAAACAAGCGGCATCTAACCTCAGTGAGTCCTGTACCTCTCACTTACCAGTAAGTGGTCCTAGGCCTGGTCCTAGCAGCAGCCAGCCTTGGTTCACAGACACCTTGGCCTTGCCTGGACACCTCTAAGGCCAACACGAGTAGCAGCCATCTGCAGATCACTTTGTACCTCGTGCTGGGTGGCCCCAGGCAGAGGTGGCTGACCTTATCCTGCAAGTTTTGGGAGGCACCCAAGCCACTGCACCCACTGGACAGCTTCAGACCACACTGAAGCACAACCACCCAACCACCACACAAGTGACACTCAAGGGGCTAATTCAGTAGGCACCAGAGTCCTGTTGAAGTAAGTCCTGCTCTGTGGGGTGGGACCCAGCATGACTTATCCCCCGTGGCAGTCAATGGTCACAGCCAGTCCTTGCAGCTGACCAGCCTGCAAGTAAATCCCTCCCACTAACATGCCAATAGCAGTCAAGGCAAAACTACAAGAGGAGGTGTACGCAGCCCATACAGGGGGCTCACCTCAAGTGCCCAGCTCAGGTGAACAGGGAGGCCGTGCCACCAGACCCTACAGGACACCTACTATATTACGACACACTACCAAGCCTGGAAGATAGATACAGCAGCTCTACCTACTATATAGAAACAAACACAGGGAGGCTGCCAAACTGAGGTAACAAGAAAACATGGCTCAAATGAAAGAAAAGAACAGATCACCAGAAAAAGGAATAAACAAAATGGAGACAAGCAATCCACCTGATGCAAAGTTCAAAACACTGGTGATAAGAATTCTTAATGAGCTTAGTGAGAACCTCAGAAGCTTAAAATAGATCCACTCAGAAACAAAGGATACACTAATTAAAATGAAGAACAATTTATAGGGAATCGACAGTAGAGTGGATGAAGCTGAGAATCAAATCAGCAATTTGGAATATAAAGAAGCAAAATACAAACAATTATAACAGCAAGAACAAAAAGAATTAAAAAAAAATAAGGACAGTGTAAGGAGCCCCTAGGACAACTTCAAGCATACCAACATTCGCATCATAGGGGTGCCAGAAGGAGAAGAGAAAGAGCAAGAAACTGGAAACACATTTGAAAAGATAATCCTCCACTAACTTAGTGAAGGAAATACACATACAAGTCCAGGAAGTGCAGAGTCCTAAACAAGATGAACCCAAAGAGGCGACACCAAGACGAATCATAATTAAAATTGGAAAAGTTAAAAGACAGAGAAAAGTCCTAAAAGAAACAAAAGAAAAAAAACAATTATTTACCAACAAGGAAGCTTTCATAAGACCGTCAGCTGATTTCTCAACAGAAACTTTGCAGGCTAGAGCGGACTGGCAAGAAATATTCAAAGTGCTATGAAGCAGGGACCTATAACCAAGATTGCTCTGCCCAGCAAAGCTGTCATTTAGAATAAAGGGACCGGTAAGAGCTTCCCAAAGAAGAAGGTAAAGGAGTTCATCACCACCAAACCAGTATTGCACGAAATGTTAAAGAGTTTTCTTTAGAAAGAAGAAAAAAATATATGAACAATCAAGTGCCAATAAATACATATCTATCAAAAATTGAATCTAAAAAAAACAAAACAGGCAGAAGAGAAGCAGGGTAATAGATACAGAGCACATTTTGACGGTTGCCAGATGGGAGGGGAGTTGGGGAAGGTGGGTGAAAACGATGAAGGGATTGAGAAGCACAAAGTGGCTGTTACGGAATAGTCATGAGGATGTGAAGTACAGCATAAGAAATATAGTCAATAACATTCTAACAACTATACATGGAGTTGGGGTGATCACTTAGTTATGTAATATCTAGTCACTGGGGTGTACACCTGAAACTAATATGATGATCTATGTTACCTGGAATTGAAAATAAAAATGATATATAACGAAGAGTTCCCTCTCCCAAGCTCTTCTGGCCTCCCTAGTTATTATCCCTGCATTTTCATAGCAAGCACTTGACCACTGCAATCTATAGTCCCAACAGCTAAAAGCAGGTAAATTCAACCATTCCCATTTATAAGCAGTCTCTAAATTTCAGAATTCTGAAGTTCTAAAATTCTATAAGTTTTCTTAAAGGCAAATAATTTTGCTACAGAGAACAGGTTAAAGGCAAATAATTTTGCTACAGAGAAAAGGTTCTCAAACTAGTTCACAGATGCCAATTTATTCCAATTACTTAAAAGGAAAACAGCCTCGCCTTGCTCTTAGGCCTGCATCTCTGCACACAGTTAGCTCCCTCTGCCTGGAACATCCCTCCCTCTCCCACGGCACCTCACTTCACCTTCCCCCAGGTAATTCCTATTCATTCCTTAGTTCTGTTTAAATGTAACCCCTCTTTGGTAAACTTTTACTAATCCCCCCACAGTGTACCAAGGCTACATGCATTGCCTGCTGTGAATTCCCATGTTGCGTGCTAAGCACTGATCAGACTTGATAATTGTTGTGCATCTTCTCACATGTATAAGCCTCTGAATACAGAGAAGGTGTGTCCCTCCTAGTTTATCGAAATGCCGGGCATACAGCGGCACTTCAAAAATAATCTGCTGAAAAGCCCTGGCTGGTGTAACTCAGGAGACTGAGCTCCGACCTGCAAACCAAAGGATCTCGGTTCAATTCCCAGTCAGGGCGCATGCCTGGGTTGCAAGCCAGTTCCCTGCAGGCCAGTTCTCAGCAGGGGACACACTAGAGGCAACCACACATTGATGTTTCTCTCCCTCTCCCCTTCCCCTCTAAAGATAAATAAATAAATAAATACTTAAAAAAAATAATCTGCTGAAGTAATAAGCTATTCAGAAGACTAAAACCTGGGTGTTCCACAGTACCCAGGGTCAAAGAAGAGCCTAAGACACTGCCACAGTGCCTTTTGCAAAGGACTCCCTGTAACTGCGTCTTTCTACATTTTTACGCAGTCTCTTCTTTTATGGATCCTTGATTGGTGCCAGGATACCTCCCTAAGGAAGTTGGGATTGAAGGGGTAAAATAAAGAAACAAGTACATATCTTCCTGACTAAATTGAAACCAGCCCTCTGTGACTATTATCAGTAATGGGGACCATATTACTCTCTGCTAAAACCTACAGTCTCTATTTTACAGTATCTTACCTGGGTTAGGTTTTTGCTTGCAGTTGAGTCATTATTTTCTTGATGCTCATAATGAGATTTTCCTTTCCACTCATGAACCGTCTGCTTATAAGTGGAATCTGAAAATAAATGTTTACTCTTGTGCCTCATCAGATCTGATGGACCCTGAAAGCTTTCCTGGCGTCCTTTTCTCTTCTGCTTAGTCCTTGACTTGCTGGAATCTAAAAGGAAAACATTTTCTTCTACAAGTTTCTGATGGGTATCGTGAGATTTTACTGGAATTCTGAAACTGACTTTCTTTCTTCTGGATTCACAGGGTTCTTTAATGATCTTGTTGGAATTATAATCCTGAGAAAACTGAATTCTCTTGCATTTTTCCATAACCCGTTTTTCAGAAGTGTCTCTGTATCTATTGTGCCTTTCTTTCCTGGGCTCCTTCATCTTCTCCCTCTGAGCAAGCACACGAGGCCAGGCTCTTTCACTGGCCTGGCCTTCAGCTTCAGGTTTCACATCTTTGGCAATTTTAGGACCGCTATGGTTTTTAATTCCATGGTCAAGGTTACTCCTAACATTTGTCAGTTTAATATCTTTCACTTTCAAATCTACACATTTACTCTTATGTTGTTTAGTTCCATCTGAAGAAGGACTTTGTGAAATAATTTGATTATCATTAGAATATGATGCTTCTTGGAGTGTAACAGGTCCTTGGGATGACGAAGTCAGTTTTGGTCTCTTTCTTGGAATGTCAGGGTCTACATTTGGTCTGTAAAGTGACACAGAAACCCAGGTTGCATTACAATTTGCACTGTACCATTTTAGTTGGGAAAGGATAGAACTAGCCTGACGCAAACTTCCTAAAAAGTGCAAATGACTACATTAAGAACGAAATGAAAAGGATTATTTCACAAATGGTGGAATAATTGGTTTGCTATTTGGGGGAAACAAAAACAAATTTATACCTCTGTAAAATACCAGACACTGGGATTAAACATTTAAGTGCAAAATAATTATTATTATAATAATTGCTATATTTCATATCAATCCCTTAAAAACCACAGAGGAAAAAAGAGAGTATTTATTTGATTTCTTAACAGAGAGCTTCCTAAATTTAAAAGCTGTGAGAAAACTCACATGAGAAAATAAAATGTAAATGACTATTTACTTCCAAACTTTAGCATATTAACCCCTGGCATAGCATAAACAAAATTTAAAGAACTGGGAGATGGCATTTTATATATGTGTGTGTATTTATATATATACATATATATGAGATAGCTTATTAGCTTTATTAGATAAAAAGCACAATAAAAAGTTCTAAGACGCTAGAATATCCCATAAATAGAAAATTAATGAAAGAGAAAAAGGGAAAAACTAGTAAACCTTCTGAAAAATAAATCTCACTTCCCTATGTTGCTAATTACAACAACATACCATTTACTTCCATCAAATAAGCAAAAATTTTAAAATAACATTATATATTGGCAAGGAGTTGGAAAATGGATCCTCTCTCATTTGTTGCTGATAGAAATGTAAAATGATTACAGTTCCACAAAGGAATCTGAAATTATAATTAAAAGTTCCAAAAAGTTCATATTCTTTGACTTCTCAGTAATTCTCATTTTAGAATATCAAGGTGAAAAAAAATTAATAAACCAAAAAAATATATACTCAATTCAGGATTATTTATAACAGCAAAAAGCCAAGTACAAGGTAAATGTAAAACCTTTTGAAATGACTAAGAACCATTTTAACAATTATGAGAAAATATCATAGTCATTTTAAATGATCTTTTGAGAAGTTTTCAATGATATAAAACATACTGACAAACTACTCAGCAAAAACCAAGCAGGGCATAAATCTGTATATATACCGTGGTCTCAACAATTTAAATAAACATAGTAAAAAGGTCAGAAACACATGTGCTAAAAATGTTAGAAGATGTAATAGCTACAGGTGATAGTAATATTCTCCTGCTTAATAAATGTAGATACTGGTTGGTAGTCAGAAAGAAAGGGTAAAAAATTTCAACACAACGCAATCCATTCATTTATGTGAACAAATCCTGGAGCGCTTTCTAAGTGCCTGTCACACTACCAGGCACTGGAGCGGCAGTAGAAGACACATCAGGTGGAGTCCTTCCCCTAATTAGACTGCAGTCCAGCATTACCAAGGGATGGTAATTAAGTGACTTCTCAAGTAGTTATGGAAGAACAATTATAAACATCTCAGTGTTTTTACAGGAGTTAAACCTGACTCTTCATCTGGTTTTATTTACTTTGCTATCTATTCCTACAAAAAGACTGCCTTTCATTATTTATCTGTTAATAAGTAACAATAAAAGAAAACTAAATAGTTTTTATTAGTCTCTTAAAAATATTCTGGATTTTTCTATTTTAGTTTATAACACACATTATATTATTTTCAGATTTACAACATATTAATTACACACTTATGTAACTTAGGAAGTGGTCATTTTAATACAAAATTTTAAATGTTATTGGACCTTGACTAGCACTTAATGGTATATCATGTAAAATGTCAACCATATTAAGAAAAAATCAGGAAAACAACATGCAGAACAAATAAATTTTTTAATAGGAACTTGTAGTTATCTGAGCACTTCCATATTCCTATTTTATTTGTTCTTCACAATGGCCCTGTGCTGCATATTTCATGGAAATCCATGCACTGTGTTTTATATGGTCATAATTAAATAAAAACTCAACATTATCATACCTTCTAAAACACCAACAAAATTAAACTTTAAAATTGCCTCTTATCAACTAGGTTTGTGAAATGCTACAATGCAATAATTCAGTTCTATATTCGCAACCCAAAATACTAAAGTTCTGAGATCTTTTTAGATAAATTAGACATACAACAAATACGCATTTTTACAAACGAGTACAAAATCAATATTCACCTAAAGCGAATATCAACATCCTAGATTGAACTCTTGCAATAAAGAATGTAAAATTTTGTGAAAAAACTAATTATTATAATTAGATTAGTTAAAAATTTAGTAACCAACGTTTAAAATATGACATAGTGCGGGGACAGTAGTTTCTCAACATTATCAGCTGCAAGATTGCTCTGCTGTGTCAAAATCAATGCTGAGATAAAAATCTACATTTTATCTGGTAGTATCTTTTATGTATACAGAATTCTGAAATATGTTTTATTTCACTCAACTTTTCCTCAAATTTATATGAAGACGATTCAAAAATCAAAATGTGATGTGCAGTAGCTAGAAATATTTGCATTCAAAACAGTACTAATCACAGTAAGCAAATGATTTTGCAAGTCTAATTATTTAGATTCTCAATTCTAGGCCCAAAAAGTAAAAAGGTACCCAAAAAAGGGGGGGGAATTTACCTTTTCAGATCTTGTCTTCTTTTTATATTACAGTTCAGAATGTCTATATGATCTGATTTCTGAAAGAAAAAAACATGCCATTTAAGAAATGTGAGTTGTGCAGTGACACAGTAGTTACAGGGAAGGAGACTGGGAGACAATCTGTTTTCCCTATACTTATGTTCTAGTGAATAGGTTCACACAATAATTTAATCAATCCTTCCAATAATCTTTTGAGACAGATATTATTATCATCCCCATGCTACAGATGAAGTACCCAAGGCTCAAAAGGAGCAAATTATCTCCCTCAGTGTCACAGAGTAGGGCAGCAGCAGATCTGTCTACTCTACTCAACCACCCTGTCTCTCTGTGTACTCTGGGATACAGGCCAGGCACAAGAAAAATGAGAGAGGAACAGGATATAGCCCCTGTCCTAAAGAGCTTAAAGTAAAATATAAAGAGAAGTAGAAGAGTATGCACAAATAACCTCATGTAAGGACACAACTAAGCACCAAAGCAGAAGAGAAGACAATAAGCTGTAAGATTGTTTAAAACATCAACTGCCAAAAGTTAGAACATGCCTAGGAAAAAAAGTGGACCAAATATATGCTAAAGGTTGACTATAGATTGACTAAAGGTTGAATAAAGATTAATGGGTAAAAGAAAAAAGGCATTCTCAGCTAAGAGTGCTTAGGCATTCGAAGAAGCTAAAGATGCCTGGAGCCAATCCAGCAGAGAGAAAAAAAACCAGCCTGGCAAGAAACAGAAGTTTTGAGGAAGAAGAAAAAAGAAAACTGGAGAGTTAGAATGTGACCAAATGTAAGTGTCCTGAATGACAAACTGAAAAGAGGGAGTGAAGGTTTTTTAACAGAGAGGAAATATGATGAAATCAGTGTTGGAAGATGGTTAATATAGCAACAATAAGTTGAAATAGCAGTTTCATTATATGAAAACAAACAAGTTCTTAAAAACAATTCTGCATGCAGGGAACTTCCACTACTTTTTCTTATTACCCACAACCCCGGGGCCAGCCTGACATAAACCTAATTTCAACTTGAATGTGGTAAGTGCTTTACCTCCCACCCACCTGTGCACTAGCTTCATGTGTTTAGTTTGCTGTCACTGCTTCTAATTATTTGTGTGAGAGAGCAAAGAACCCTGGACTTCATTGCTGGACACAGCAGGTCCTTGAATAACACCATTTCCTTTATCATTTCCTTATAACACTGATGAGATGTTATAGGAACTTAACTCTTGTTCCTAGCAATTAGCCTACAGTAAAATCAGTTTCATTAGAAATCATTTTTGCTTAAAGGCTGCAGAACCTATCTATGACATGAAGTAAAAATTTACTGTATAATTTTGTGTCCTGGGACAAGTCATTCAACCTTCTGGATCTTGATTTCTGAATCTGAAAATGCAAACACCGTATCCTCCTTGGCTACCTCAAAAAAATTGTAAAGACAAATATAACAATATATAGGAAAAGGCTTTAAAATGTCTAAATTTAAATCCATGTTCTTTAATCCCAAATGATGGGGTCTATCTGCACAAATAAATAAGGAACTTGATAAATGGTTTTTGGTGAATGAAAGGAAGAAAAAAAAAAAAACCAACCCTGCTGCCTTTCCACTGGCTATCAAAAAGCAAGTAAAATACAAAGAAAAAAAATAAATGAAAAAGTAGTGGAGAAATTTATACCTTAAACTTTTTAACTGTACATTGAAACTCTAATATAGGTAACTTTCAGAGTTAGTTATAGTATCTCAACACTTACCAGTTTTCTCTTCTCTGATGAAACATTTCTAGAGCAAGATGAACTCACAGAACTTCCTGAGGTTCTTTTATCTTTCTTATCCTAAGAATGCCATTTGGAAAAGGGGGAAAGAAAAGCACAAAACAAAGCACAGTATAAGACAACATTATTTCATCACTGTTATAATTCAACATTCCTTCTACATTAATAAATTTCAGCAGGGAACAATGTTCAAAGGCACACAAACTGGTAAGAGGAAGAGAAGCCCAACTAGAAGGTGGATTCAACTAGAAATCAGAAAATCAAGATTCTCTTAAATTAAAGACAAGAAGGGATGTGGGAGTCACAAAGGCCAGCTGACAGCTTGGGTAAGGGCCCTGGGAGGTGGCACAGGCATGGGGGAATTAGGTCTTCCACAAAGCAAATCCATATACCCAGTTATTTTTCAGTGGGTCCTGAATTCAACAGACCCAGGACAACTATATTCTCAGTACCAGTGATTCTCATGTACCAATAATATACTAGACAGTGAGGACAGATTAATGAAAAAAACTATCAAACTCCCTACCCTCAGGGAAGTGAAAATCTAGTGTAGGACTTCACACATAAATAATATATTTGGTGTGTCACACCATGCTACAGAAAAAATAAAGCACAGAAAAGAATCAGGAAATGTTGGCAGGTGGGGGTTGAGGCAGTTGCAATTTTAAAGAGTAAAGACCTAGAGAAGGGATGGAACGAACCATGAGAGTAGGAAAGTATCTTCAGTTCAAAGGAAAGAGCAGCAAGGGCAAAGCCCCTGCGACAAGAATGTGCCTGGCTTGTTGGAACAAAGCAAGGAAGCCACAGAGTGGAGAAAGCAGAGGGGGAATGAGAGGGAGAAGAGTTGTGCAGAGTAGGTCACTGCGTCCGCCCCAGCAAGGACCTTAGCTTTGACTCTGGATGAAGGGAGAAACCACTAGAAAGTACTGAGTAAAGGGGTGATGTGATCTGACTTACCTTTAAACAGGATCACTCTGGCTGTTGTGTTGAGAACACGAGGAGGCAGAGGCAGAAGCAAGGAGATCAATTTAGAAGCTATTGCAATAATCTAGAAAAGCAAGTCTACCGCCTTGATCAGGGTGATAGCAGCCAGGGAGGGGGTCAGACTCTGAATATATTACTGAGAGAAAGAAAGCTGATAGAATTTGCTGATAGACTGAATGCAGGTAGAGGACTAGGATCAAGCAACTGAAAGAATGGAATTGCAATTTACCAAACTGGGAAAACTGAGGCTCAGCACTTGAAAGGTTATCATTTAAGAAGATGACACTGTGAAGAAGTCACCAGTGAGGAAAGAAAATCAGACCTGAAATCAGACGAGTCTGATTTTCTTTCCCCACTTAGTCTCAAAAGCTAAGTGAAGAAAGTGTTTCAAAGAGAAGGTGAAATGAGTTTGTCGATTATTGCTGACTGGTCAAGTCAGATGAGGTCCTAAACCAGATGAATGGATCTAGCAATATGGACACCATTGCTGGCCTTAATGACAGCATATCTGGAGGAGTGATGGCAAGAAAAGTCTAGTTCAAGTAGGTAAAGAATGAGAACTGCACACAGCATGTCAATTCCTAGTGTCAAATAAGGGTACACAGATCAAGGCCATACTCCAGGGTCCTCTTTCCAATTACTCATATACCTGGGAGGCCAAATGAGTAATCAGGAAGTTAGTAAACAAAGAACAAATACCAAAAAGTGTAATGATCTCAAAAATGCTTCATTCAATGAAGAAAAGAAAAGCTTTATGAACTAACCTGCTACCATAGAAGTCACTTCTTTAGTGAATACCTACCTGTGCCAGACTGTCATCTCTCATCTTGGATGACAAAACAGCAAAAACACTGTCTAACTCTGACAATGCACCACACACAGAGTACTCCGTCTATAATACAACTGAATACAGGGGATTTTGCTCGTTTGGGTTAAATCGATCACGTGGTAGCCCTGCTTCCTGGAGACAACACCCAGCTCAATTATTTAGCTATCCTAAATGTCACCCACCAAAAACACTGCTTAGAGTGCTGTGCTGACAGTATCAGAAAAAGGAACAGGGCTAGCATCCATTCCCTACCCTCAGCCTCCCTTGCTCCTCCCGATTTTGACTGGTGAGCACGTGATCCTACCCAATGCAGAGTAAATGCAGAAGGGAGAAGCAGTGGGAAATGGTCTAACGTAGAGTATTTCTATGAAAAGGAGGATTCTGGGGAGGGTTAGAATTGAAGTCAGAAATGCCTAAGCAAATTACTTACCTCTCTAAGCTTCAGTTTCTTCATTTGTGTAATTGGGACAATAACATGACCTACCTGATAGAGTTGTGAGGAATAAATAAAATAATGCAAACAGAGAACAGGAAAAACAAACGACTTCCCATGGGCCAAAAGGGCAGAACAATATGCTTACACATGTCATTTGAAAACAGAGGAGTCTTCTTTACATGACACAAAAAAATAAACTGTAAAAAAGGGTGTCTTTGTATTAGTAAATCAAAATTCTTACTTCTTCATCAAAGTTGGATAATGAGGTGATGTCTTTTCTCTGAGATGTCTCTGTTTTTCCACAAGATTCTTTGCTGGACATTTTGAAAAGCTAAAATAAACATTAAAAACACATTATGTTGTTTTTCATCACCATGACAACCAAAAATAACCTTAGAAATTATTCTTTCAGTTTTTTAAAGATTGGAGTTTTACAAACCAATTTCCATTTTCTAACCATCCCTAAGATGATAGGATTCTCTCACTGTTCCATTTTATTTCAGTTATATCCTCCCTCGAAATCATCTGTTCCTCTCCTCTGGCTTCCTATATGACCTTTTCAGGAATGACTCTCAAATCTGTGCCTTGAGCTCTGACTTCTTTCTCCAGCATCACTTCATTTTCAACTGCCTGCAGGACCACTGCATTTTGTCCCACCCATACCTCAAACCAATTAGTCACAATGCCTTCATGTTTCCCACACACCCTCTGTCACTCATGGAGGGAGTCTTTGGGCCAATCACATACATTTTTTTGAGCCCATTTCAATATGTGCAAAATTGAGACAACCCATCCCAGCAGGGTTTTGAAGGGCTCAAATGAAACAATGGATATTTAAAACACCTTGCACAAGGTAGAGCAAAAGAGAGTCTAAATAAACACTGGCACACGTGACTGTCTTTCTACTAGCTCCCTAAAGAGCAAATTACTCTCTATTAAAAACTTAGGAGGTGCTCATAAATGCTTGCTGAGTGAAAGAATAAATAATTTTTTTTTCTTTTTTAGGATATTCACTCTTTAATTCTGAGCCATACCAACACTTGCCCACTGCAGGGCGCCTGTTAACTTCCCACATCAGTTTCACTTTTCCAGCCCTGCTCTGGTCAACTCAGTACTGTGAGCTGCTTATCCCTGCCCACTCCCTCCACCCCCCACACAGAAAAAGCAACTAAGACAAGTACAGTCATTCCGTATGGTAATAAACACTGCCAAGTTAGAGTACACCAAAAGCACCCCGTGCTGGAACACAAAGGCCAGAAAGTCCTGGGAACATCACCAGGACTGCTGGGACAGGGAAATATAAAACAGGGTCTAAAGCAGAGCCCCAAGGAGAGTTGATTGCTGGTTGCGGCACACACTGAGACTATGAACAAAAAAGGCTAGAAATCAAGCAGTTGTAAGCTCCTGGTCATGCTCACAGTCAGGGAAGTTGAGTGAAAGAAGGGTCAATTATATGAAATCAAACTTTCAGAATGCTTCAATGAATATGAAGAGAAGGAAAATGCTGATAGTTGATACAGACACTGGCCAGTGGTGTCCGCAGTGTTGTGGATGCGATGAACAAAATCACACAGACTGCAGGAGTCTGTGGAGAAAAAGGGGCGGCAGGGAGACTCTCTGAGTGAGAGAGTGCCCTGACCCTTGCCTGGACTGGCTTTTATTGCTTTCTGGGAGCATTACGCAAGGAAGGTGCTCATTCATTATCCTTGGGTTTTGCTTTAAGTGATTACTTCTTACTGATAACAAAGAAAAGAATGTTGCAAATGCAACGGAATGATAAAAGTGATTGATCTGATTACATTCTACCCTTGGAATGCTTAGCACAGACTTTAAGGAGTCACTTCAAAGATATACATTAAACACCTGCTGTCTTAACTCTGAGGAAGTCTTAGGGAAAGCATTCCTCCAAGCAGCCAACATATAATGCAGGCCTGGTCCCCCATGGGACTGCTGATCTGTGGGCCTGGCTCCTCCTGTGTGCCCCCTGGCACCTGTCAGTTTTCCAAACCAAGCTAAGCTACGTTCCCCATTGCCACTCGGACCTGTCCCCTAGATAGCTGGCAAAAAACATAATAATAAATATTATTAGAGAATACTCAATATGGACTTCTAAGAGCAAATTCCAAATTACCCATAAATTTTGCTTTGCAAGATAACTTATGGCAATATTGGAATTCACAGTTGAGCTTCCAGATTAATCATCTTTTTGCTATATGGATTCCCCTTCCACTTGGGGCAGGGAGGAAGGGGGCAAAGTGCAAACAATGCAATAAAAAAAAACAATAATTTCCATAAAGTGAATTGCTTAGAGGCAATGGACTATATAATGGTTATATAATTTTTTAAATAATTTAAACTCAATTCATCTTGGTCTGATGTCGCTTCAAATACAAAATAATGCTCATTTAAAACTCTTATCTGGAAAAAAATAAAAAAATTTAAAAATAAACCTCTTATCCACAAAACAAATTGGAAAAAAAAAACACTGCAGAGAGTTGTCTACTGAAGGAAAAACACCTCTGTGTTTACTATGGCAAGTGTGAAATTCATATTGACTTTATGAAAATCGAAATATAAACTAAATGAGAGGAGACCTGTGCTGGCCAGCCTTCCAAGATGGTTCCTGATGATCTCTGCTGCCTGGTCCTTCCTTACAATCTGATGTAGTCGTCCCCTCTCACAATAAACAGTGCTGCCCTGTGCTTCCAATGAAATATTGCTAAATGGTGTATGTGGCTAGGTAATATAAGACACTGTGGCTCTGCCCTCCTCTGTCTTGTTCATTCTAGAGAAAGCCAGTCAAGATGTTGTGAAGACATTCAAGTAGCCCACAGAGATACCCACCAGCAAAGAACTTGGGCCTCTTGCCAAAAAACAGCCAAGTGCCAAGAATGTGAGTGAGCCACCTTTGAGGCTGATCCTGAAGCCCTAATCAAGCCTTCACATTGGCAGCACCCTTGCCAGGTATTCTCACAAGCTCACAAGACACCCTGAGCAAGATACATCCAAAAAGCCACTTCTGAATTCCTGACCTATTGAAACTGTGGAGGAATAAATGTTTATCGTTTTAAGCCGCTAAGCTTTAGTATAATTTAGGCAGCAAGAGAATAGTAATACTCATTTGCCGTGCCTTCGTATGCATTATAGAAGTGATTATTACACCCACGGTATGAAATCATTATACCCATGTGTAATGCGCATCCTTATTTTTCCCCTCAAAAATGTGGGCAAAAAGTATGCATTATATACAGCAAACTACGGTAATTCTTCAAGCTAGGAAGATTCCTTCTTTAGGATGTCTCAAGAGCAGGACCGTGCCTGGAAATTTTTGCTGAAATTCCCATAGAATGCACACGTTAAAATCTAACCCTTCTCATCTTGTTTTCCAGCTGGTAATAAATGATGAGATCGACACGGAGGGTCTAGCTTTCATTAACCATACAGTTTTCAGAAGTAAAAAATAGATGATTCTTGGATGATGGACAAATAGCTAGCCACTACTCATTTCTGTATTATGTATTATTATCCCATTTGTAATTGTCCGCTACCTAAAACTAAAAGAGACTTCCCTCTCCTGTTGCCAATAACGTTCGGACCCGTCCCAGCCAGAAGAGCAAAAAGACTTTTTTCCCCCTGCCCGTCCCCGTGGGCTTGCAGGAGTGCGACTTAAACTCCTACAGGCCTAGAGTAAAGGGAGAAGAAGTACTACAGGGGGTGGGGGGTGGAGGGAGGGGTCTCACTGCCACATGCCTTAGGGAATCTGAATTGCAACAATCAAATGCCCAAAGCTCCACACACTCCGAGTTCTGGTATTAAAAGCCCACAATCGAGCGGGGACCGGAGGGAAAGGGGCGGGGACCGGGCACTTATCCACTGGACGCTACATCCACCAAGCAGCGGTGAAGAAACTGGGAATATGTAGACTAAAGCAAAAGTGAAATATGAGTGTTCGGGTCACGGTGTGGGTAAGGGTGCGAAACGAAGAGCAGACCCCTACGGTAATCAGCCGGACTGACAGACAAGCTCGTCAGCGACTCGTAAGTCGCGGGGACACACAGACTCCGCGGGAGGTGACCAGCCTCTACGCCGAGCGAGAGACAGCCCCCAAAGGCAGGGCCGGGCCAGAACCACACCCTTCACGGAGAAGACTCGACTCCGGGTCCGCCCACAGAGTCACCGCCGTAAGCTCCAGTGGCCCTGGAATCCCCAGTCCAGCGAGCAGCGGTCAAGGCCCGGAGTAAGGGGACGAAGCAACCCAGAAAAATGCCAATGAACCTCCCCAGTTCCCCAACCTTACCAAGCGCCGGGGGCAAGGGCGACTCTGGAGTCCCGACCAAGAGAAAGAGACCCCTGAGCCCGAGGCCCGCTGGGAAATGTAGTTCTGCACTCGCACCCCGTTACTACTCGAAGGCTCCAGAGCATCCGTTTAGCTTTGCATTAACTTTCTTCTAGACTTCAGAACTCCAGCTCCGCCCCCGTCTGCGCGGTGCACCCTGGGTATTGTAGTCTTGGCTTGGTTCGGTGGTTGACGGCTGGAACGGAGACGCACTGTGGAAACAAAACTCTCCTACCTCATTGGTCGCCGTCGTAGTTCGCTTCTGCGCAGTGTGTGGTGGCGTCGTAACGCCTCAGGGAAAGGGAAGCGGTTGGTACCGCAAATCCCTGCCTCTGGCTTTTAATTTTTCTCTTGGCAGACTTTGGTTACTGATTCTTCATCTTTTGTTTACTGCACTCATCCCGCCCTCCCCACTTGCTTTCCCACTCCTTGGATCCAGCCCTCTGGGCATTCACGCCAGTTCTCTGACCCTGCCGTAAGCCCCTCCTGGTCCCCGGGCGGGTCTGGCACGGAAGCGGTAACTATGGAGAATATGGCGGAGGAGGAGCTGCTTCCCCTGCAGAAGGAGGAGGAGGTGGCCCAGGTCCTGATCTCGGCCCCGGACTCGGCTCGGGTCCCAGCTCCGGCCCCGGACTCGGCTCCGACTCCGGATTCGGCTCCGACTCCGGCCTCGGCTCCAGCCCCAGCCCCTGCCCTGGCTCAGGCTCCGGCCCTGTCCCCGTCCCTAGCCTCTGCCCCTGACGAGGCTGAAAGCAGTAAGTGCAGGAGGCCCAGATCTTTGTGCTGCAGGAAAAGCGAGAAAGTGCGTCTTACTGGGGAGGCCCTTCTTCAGTGGGATGGCTTTTATGGGGAAAGGCAGGTTTAGGGGAATGAGGGAGGCTGGAGGGACCCGTGTAGCTGGGCACTCGGCCACAGAATGGGAGAAGTCATGTCCATAGACCTCGCGGACGTTGCGATGAAGGTTATGGGGAGGCCAGGGGTGCTGCAAAATCAGTTTGAGGGCTTCTTTATTGATAGGGTTTTTTTTTTTTTTCCTGGTACACAGATAGGAAGTTATGCCTAATCGGGTAGTTTCCCTTAGCTTCGTCACCAAGCCCTGCAAAAATGTGACAGTAACCGAGGCAACCCGTGTTTACTGTAGTAGATCCTCGCTGCCAAGATTTAGAAATCATTGCTTTCAGCTAGCTTTTATGCCTCGACATACACAAGAAGATGGGATTTTCTATAAAAGCTTGCTAACAAAAAAGAATTTGAGGATGATGAGTAGTTTAATAGTCGACCAAATTATGGATATCTTCCCTCAGACATAAATACCAATTGAGTTTTGTACTTCATTCCATCAGAAGTCAGCTGTTGAAAATTAATAGCCTGTATTATTGTCTGTGTTTCTGAATATGTGTATTTTCTAAGTGGTGATTTATTGGACCATGAAGGACTTTATTGAGTAGCATTTTCTTAAGACTCTTCTGAACATTTTTTAAACGTTAGGTCTAAGAAAGTTTAAAAAAACATTTTATGATCCATAAGTTGACCCTTACGCTCTTTCTGTAACAAAACATCTTAAAATTCATTATCTTTCCTACTTCTAGGCTAGTTGTGAGTTTAATGTTATAAAACACTTGGATAGTAATTGTCTCATAGAATCATTTTGCAATTTTACAAGCTGTTATAGTAGATTTAAGAGTAGGGATGATCATGGAAAAGACAGGTAGGCCTTCCTCCTATAAATCAGCTGGGTAGGTGCAAATACAGCCAGTTGTTAATTTACCCACAACTGCATTGGGGGTGGAAAGGGTCCAGTCTCCTAAGTTATTCTCCCTACCTCACTTCTGTTTATATTAATTGGTCATGGTTTAGCAGCTTTAGGGAATGCATGCTTTCTCTACCTCCTCACCATCAAGCATATATTAAAACAGTTTAAGGAAATGTATTCATGTTTTCTATAATTTTCAAGTATGTAATTTGAGGAATGCAGTGTTTGAGTAACCTGGAAATGCATTACTGGGACAAATATGTGACAGTCGAGAAGTCTGAAATGCATTAGAAATACATATTAATTACATTTTAAGAATTATTTCTAGATGGTCTGCTTAGTCCTTTGAAATCAGTGGTAAGTAGGCAAGATGAAGATGTCTGAAATAGAATTGAAAATAGAGGAAAAGTGACAAAAGTTCTTAATGAAACTCCTAGCATTCTGGACTCATCAGATTTAATGTGATTTGTGTCTTCTGGATTATTACTCTGTTGCAAAAAGGTTGAGTAGATTCACGTACAGATTATCTGCTATCTACTATCTTGAAGCAGAAAGTGATTTCAAAGATACTCATGAGCATATCACGAATCTTTAGACAGCTCTTTGCAAGTGTTCTTCAGTAGTGGACCACAGGATTCTCCATTTTCTCTTCTAATTTACCAGGCCCCTTTCTCTTATTTTGTATCACTCAGTAGTTAGAATGATTTCAAAAAGCACATCTTTATATAGTACTGTATATCTTGTTTTATATACAGATCTTTGAACCATGGAAGCCAAAAGCCTTTATGATTACAAACAAAATAGTTCAGTTTATATATATGGATTTGTTACCTGAATTATCTGACCTGGCAATTAAAATGGGAAAAAAAATTTGCCTATTTAAAGGAATTATATCATAATTCCTTTGAACAATACCCAAGTTAATAATGTGTTGCTCTGATTTTCTCATGTAAAAATAAGGTAAAAATTTGTATTTTAATAAATTTGAGAATGGCTGATAGTGCTGACTTGAATTCCAAAATTATAGACACATTGTACTGCTGCATTCAAAAAGGTCAATGACTTAAAAATTTAACAAACTTTAGTGCCTGCCGTTTGCAAGTTATTGCATAGCTATTACAAAAATAAATAAGACCTAGCCCCTATCTTTTTACTACTTATTGATGGGGGAGACAGACAAGGACACAAATTATGCAGAAGGTTACACAAAGAAACTGGGAGTGAAGCTCAGAATGGAATTAGGCAGGACAATAACAGTGTCAAGAATAAAATTTAAAAGGCTGAAGGTTCTAAATTGTATAACCTAACCATATAGTGAATATTAGAGAGCCTTATGGTTTATCCCATCATCTCCTGTCCCGTTGAGGGTCTTTTCCTAACAGTTATCTCCGAGTCTCATGTGTTTAGTCTCCCACTTTGTAAATATACTTTTCCAAAATTTAGAGGTATGTCATTTGAAGTTTATGAAATATTTGAGAAACCTGAAAATGTGTTACTGAGACTCGTTTATATCTAGTCCAAATCCAGCCTGAACTCCAAATACAGCTGCCTACTGGACTTTACTACACAAATACCAGTAGTACATCAAAACCATTATGTCAAGAACTAAATCCCCCTTTTTCTCTTCCTTCTTTCTGCCATACGTGTTTTCTTCTTCCTTTATTGGTTAATGGCACCATTACTCTCAATGATACAAACTCAAAATCTTAGTCTCACTCGTGAATTTATTCCTCACCCTTACTTTTCACCCACGTTCCAAGTTCTTTGCTGCTTTACTTATTTTTAACCTTCTGTTCTGCACCTTTGCATTTCTCACCTCAATTATCGATTCTTGGAATGACACCCAGAGTTACCCTTCTGAACACATTCCCATCATATCATTCACTTCCTCAAAAACCCGGAAAGACTTAACATTGCCTAAAGAATAAGGGCCAAACTCGCTTGCATAAATTGTACGCCTTTTTTGATCTCTTCTACATTTTGGCTGCGTATTTTTTTACCAGCTTCATTCAGCCAGGGGTGGGATGGAAATGTCTATTTTTTGAATACCCCATGCCTTCATTTATGAAGCTACTTATATTTATAAAGCCCACCACCGATTCTCAACTGAATCAAATGCCTCTTCTTCAGTGAAGACATTCTCGAAAGGCACTTGTTGGAATTAATTACCCTTTGCTCTGTATACTTACATTATATTCACCCCAAGTATTCATTTCATTCTGCCTCGTGTTATAGTCAGTAGTTAAATCTCTTCTACCTGATTGAAAGTTCTCTGAAAATAGGAACATGGCTTTTGTTTCTTCAATGTTTCGTACAGAACAGAACACTTTTGTGGAATAGAAACACTTTTTTGTGGAAGTATATTGAATAATTAAATTTTAAAGCTGTGAGGTTACACAAATGTTTCTCCCCCCAACTTTTTGCATCCTGAGGCACACTTGCCATCTTATAAACTGAGTCCTAGCAGTGTTCCCCATCTAGATATCAGGGTGTTGGGCAAGAACAGACACTCTGTGAAGTGATAAAGAAAAAGAGAAATGGAATACAGATTTTTTTCTTTTTAAAAATTTTTTAAACACGTTAATTGTATATTTTGTTATATTTGGGGGGGAATATAGATGGTTAAAGCATAATTTTCTAATTCTTTTTTTAATTTTTTTTTAAATTTATTTATCTTTAGAGGGGAAGGGAAGGAGAGAGAGGGAGAGAAATATCAGTGTATGGTTGCCTCTCGTGTGTTCCCTGCTGGGAACTGACCTGCAACCCAGGCATGTGCCCTGACTGGGAATCGAACCACAATACTTTGGTCTGCAGGCCCGCGCTTAATCCACTGAGCTACACTAGCCAGGGCTTTTCTAATTCTTAAATTTTCCTTTCAGAAAGACACATCTCAATTCAAAGGCAGCTTGCTGACCTCGAGAAGTTAGCTTTTGAAACTGAAGATTTGGACTCTTCTAATTCACTGAACTCAGATAATCTCGATGCAGGTATTTCCATGCCGGTGGAGTTTTTTCCCTTAATTTCTAATGGTTTGTCATCTTTCAACTCATGAAAAGTCTAGGAATAGTCTTATATATTCTGTGGAGCTAGAGCAGTAGTACTGGTAAATATAACTTTTGTTCAGGAAACCGATAGTCATCTGTATGCAAAGGTGATGTGGGAATTAGTTACTTCACAACTGCTCTAGAAAATTGCTCTCATGGATAGATAAGAGTATATGTATTCTGAGTTAAAAATTGCATTTGGCTATGAATAATAAAACTCCCTGAAAAACATTGCCTTCAATAGTACGGAGGCTTATATTCTCACATGTAAATAAGTACCAAGGCGGGCAGTTCAAGGCTGGGACAAGAGCTCTACAATTCTGTCAACACCCCAAGCTCCTCTCTTTCTGATTTGCCGTCCTTGGTGCTTGGATTCCATCCATAAGATTACCTCATGGTTTTCTGAAGTACAGTGACTTTTTTTTAATCCTCACTCGAGGACATGTTCATAGATTTTAGTGAGAGAGGAAGGGAGTGAGAGAAACACTGATGTGAGAGGGAACCATTGATGGGTTGTCTCCCATATATGCCCCAACCTGGGATCGAACCCGCAACCTAGGTATGTACCCCAACCCAGGGATTGAACCTGCAGTTTTTTGGTGCGTGGAATGATTCTCCAACCAACCAACCGAGCCACCCAGCCAAGGCAAAGTAGGCTGAGTATTAATATGAAAGTAAATTGCATCGGGTAGTGGGCTGGGGTGGGGGTGGAGACAACTGTACTTGAACAAGAATAAAAAAAAGAAATACAAATTGTGTCTATACTTGCAGTGTGCTGTATACCAAAGGTATTTATTGGATTAAACTTTATTAAGTGGGCTCTTGATTACTTCTGTATATTTTTATTGTTTTAAATCTGAATTTAAAGTTTTAATTCTTTTGTACACTATCAAAGTTTTTATTTGAGGTACATTTGTAATTAAGTACGAGTTCTATTTTGATGATCCAGAGTCTTTTCAAGAATATGCTAATAAAGAAGGAAGACTTTACAAATTCAGTAATAGGGTACAGTATTTCTAGTCTTGCCTCCTGTCTCAGAATAGCAATTATACGCAATTCCTTCTACTGCTTTGGGTTCCTTCTTCCAGTTTTCTGATTCCACATATTTACTGCCAGAGTACTTATGCTCTCTTCCCAACGCCTGACCCTCTGAGAGTGTGACAGCTATATTTTTTCCCCTGTCCAAAGTACAGAGTGACTCTGCCAGGCATTCTGGCTGCAGGATATATTAGATTATCATTTCCTCATCCTTTCTGTTCCCAGTGGCAACAAAGATAGCAGCTAGCCACAGAGAGGGTGGTTTTAGGGTAAAAACCACTGACCCTAGGCTAGAACAATTGCTTTTAATTACCTGCTCAGTTAGGGTGTGACTTCTCCCTCAAGTTAGGAAAGACTTCTGAGAAGGTGGGGTGGGGCTGGGGAATCTCCTGTTACTTTTTTGTAGCTGAATCTAAGCACTTAACAGCTAGTGTATTCTGTGCTTCATTGGTTCTTTTTTTTCTTTTATCAGGGAACAAACAGGCTTGTCCATTGTGCCCTAAGGAAAAATTCAGAGCTTGTAACAGCCATAAGCTTCGTAGGCACCTTCAAAATTTACACTGGAAGGTCTCAGTTGAATTTGAAGGTTAGTATTTATATGCTTGCTACAAGTGCTATAAATGAAATTCAAGATTTGGTACAAGTTTTTGCATTTAGTTGTGAACTTAATGAAATATTTAAAGTTTAAAATTATGAGGGATTCATATCCCTCTTTTTAATGTGTTGATTGATATTGCTCTCTAGGCAATAGCAGTTTAAGGCACAAATGGTTTAGTTTGTCAAATATTTATTAAGCCTCTGTTCTGTGCTGAGTACTCTGTTTGACCCTGGAGGTCCACATTTTGAACAATGTCGCCCAAGGAAAAGTCAAGTTGGCAGTGAATAGATGATAAAAATTGAGTTCTAAAGAAGCTCAGTGGCTAATCCAAGATAGTCTTGGCAAAACCAGTATTCAAACTTGGATCTCCTCTTTGTTTTTATACTATACCATATATAACAAGTAAATTAAGGCAATCTCATTTAAATAAATGATGACATTACAAATAAAGAATAATCCCAGTTATCCTTATAAAATTTGCTAATAATTTTAGTGAAAATTGAATATCTGAAAAACCGCGATATGACGAACAGCCATTCCTTATTCCTTATTCTAGGTTACAGAATGTGTATCTGTCACTTACCCTGTCGACCAGTGAAACCGAATATTATTGGAGAACAGGTAATCAGATGTTAGATTTATTTTTAAATTCAGCCCTCTTTAAAGAAGGTGTAATTTTTACTTTAAAACTATAATGTTCATATTCAGCAGTGAGGTTCACTTTAAGATTTTGTGTGAGCGCTTTCAGATTATCATAGGAGGAAAAATAGGAAATGCATGGAAAAAAGAGTTGCTCTATTGAATTGTTTTTGTAGTTCCAATTTCAGTCAGCTAAATTGCTGTGCTCAAAAGTAAAATTAACTTACTTACTAATTTTAGAATGGAGAATTTAAAAAAGTAATTTTTCTTTCAAAATCAATTTTGATCATGGAATGAGAGCCTTCAATTTCTGTGATTTAGTGAACATCTTAGTATGTGTTGATTCATTCTCACCATCCTCCCTATGCCCTTCCTTTTAATTTGTCAAAGGACAGAATAAGAAATTTTCTGAAATCTTTGATATCTTTTTTCTGTAAGTACATATGTCCATTTTAGAATAGGTTTGACCTTTGGGGAATAAAAATTATGAAATATTTTTAGTGATATTATCCTGAATACATATTAGTTTAACGACTCTTTATTATTAATTTTTCATCGGGATCACTAAAAAGAGTAAAGTGCTGATTCCAAAAAAAAAAAAAAAGTGACGTGCTGAGGCAGGGAGGGGAATATTTCTTCACCAATAGTAGGACAGTTCTGGGTCCATGCACCTTATGCGAGATATTTTGAATATGAAACTCACAGTACTAAAAGGAATTCTGTGCAGTGTTCCTGAATATTCTTTGCTTGCCATCTGATATCAAGTAAATAGGAAGAAGCATCAAAAGTAGGAAAGAGCCATTGGAGTAGTCTTTTGGTTCCCAGCTATGTGAGAAATTATAAAGTGAGAATTTTTTACTTGGAAAAAATAGATTTTTCATTATGTCTCTAAAATTTGGTTTGCTGGAACTAGCTCAGATTTCTAGAAATTTTGAAAGCTGGTTGTTAAATGTAGTTCATCGTTAAAAATTAAGTTATATAAACTTAAAAGTGCATAAGTTATATTAAAAGCTAAGATAATGAATACTCAAAGCTCACTATTTCCTAATAATTTTACTACATTTTTCTATTATCTGTGCTCTTAAAGTTATTTATGTAATATCTACACGGTAGTAATGCTGTCTTTTCCTAAATACACTCAGTGATGTCGCACTGGTAGCTTGAAATCTTTCACAATTGTAGCTTGAAATTATAGAGTGTTTCTTCTTGAAAGTGTAGAGTGGTTATACTACACAAATTTGCAAACACTGATAAATCAGGACTTTATTTTCCTGGAGAGCCAGTTAAACATGTACTACTGCACCGCTTATAAGTGCTGCTTAGAGAAAAGAGGATACAGTTATTTGCTGATTAGAATGAATGGGGAACATCTAAAAAAATTAAGTTGCAGCCTATTGTAAAGTAAAATTTAAAAGCATATGTAAATATAAGTAAGGAAGTAAAGATCCCTTCAGTCACAAGGCAAAATTAATACTATCATCTATACTATTAAACTCAACATACTAACATGTAAATTTGCACCCTTAAACAAACTTCTACTTCATTGTCTTAGTAACTTATTTAAATACTCTGTTTGATAGACATCCAGTAAAATGGGCGCCCATTATCATTGTATCATTTGTTCAGCAACAATCACCAGAAGGACTGATATGCTAGGACACGTGAGGCGCCATGTGAATAAAGGAGAGACTAAATCCAGGTATATTGCTGGTAAGTCACACAATCTCATTAACATGTTAATAAGTAAATCCTTAAACAATGGTCCAATTCTTTTTAGACATCAGGGAGATAAAGAGTTACTTAACCTAAATCACTTAGTTAATTACTACTTTATTACTTCAGGTTTTCTTTTCTTTCTGTGAGGCCCCCACCAACATTTATCTGTCCTCAGTTAACAGGTACATTTAACACAGGTAGAAAAAAAGCAACTGATGTTTAAGTAAGTGTTGGTATCTTAATGAAAGAGTGAGTGTAGGGTTATATTACTACCGTGGCTCCTGCACAAATAGCTGTTATACTTACTGTTGGAACACACTGGAGAGAAGAGGGAAAATGACATAAAGACCATCGATTATCCTGAGTGGTATCAAGTTATTGGTAGTTATCCCTGAGGGAGCCCTTCTCAAGAGTTAAGCATTAAGCCCCTCCCTCCCTAAGGCATCTGCTGTGTACAATGAGTTAATTCCTTTTCTGTCTGTCTAGAATGGTGTTATATACCTTTCTCTTAAGAGTTGAAAAAAAAGGCGCTGAAATAATTTTCTGTAGACATTAATTTTCTCACAGAATCTGTTTTGAGAAAGGCTGATCTTGTGAGGTTTGTGGTACTGCCACTTTGGTGGCTACAGAAGAATGGAGAGCACAGCGCCAGGAAAGGTTACTATTTTGGGGCATCGTGAGAAGAGAAATAGGGTTGTCGTTTACCTACCATGCTGATATAATCTCATGTATTTGTTCCCACACATATTACATATGTCCCATTTCTTAAACATGTAAAGCAAATGTATATAAATACATCAGTATTTCATTTGAGTTTGGAACTAAATTATTCTAATGTATATTAAATGTAGAATCTCTTTCCCCTTCATATCTGTTTGAATGTAATTTGTGATTTAAGTCATAATTATGAGAAAGTGTTCTGAAATCTAGCAAGTTCAGGAAATACGTTGATTCTTTGTCATCCATGCTGGCTGATGAAGTATAATCATACAGAGATAGTGCTTTTGTGATCATTATCTCACAATAACATATAGCAGCCAACCTGTGTAAACATAACATAGTATTCAATGAGTAATAAAGGTGCTTCAGGATTCTTCAACTATCTTAGGTTCGTTGTTCTTTTTCTGCTTTTTTTGTTTGTTTTTAGGTTGATTGTTCTTAACAAGGTATCGTGTATTGATGTACTGATCTGTTAGGCAGTTCAGATTTCACATTGACAAACTTTAATTCACTAAATACTCAACTGAGTACTACTCCTTTCCAGAGACAGTGCTGAATAGATCAATTTTTAACACCTACACAACTAATTACATTAACAGATGATTATAAAGGAAAGTTATTTTCTAGATGTGTATTGTTTTAGATATTTAAAATTATTTTGTATTTAACTAGAAATCTTTTTTCATCTTAGCTTCTGCTGCTAAACCACCTAATGAAATTTTGAAAGAGGCAGACACAGATGTACAAGTTGGTCCTAACTATTCCATACCTCAGAAAACAGATTCCTATTTTAATCCCAAAATGAAACTAAATCGGTAAGCTAAATTACGAAAAGTGTCATGTGATATTTTAAATCATTCCAAATGTACCCTCTCTTAATCCTTATGTTCTAATGTAGCAAGTTGTCACCCGTGTGCCCCAGCACACTGGTGTGCCCAGGAATTTTTAAAACCTGCAATACCTGACTAGTTAGTTGGGGTATTGACCTCTTTTCCCTTAGATTGTCAAAAAAAAAAATGACAGTAGCCTGTTCAACAATAGCCATCTGGTGCTAATCAAAATCATACCTATTTTTTGTCAGATTGGCAAAAATAGTTTTTTGATGTGCCACAGAATGTTAGTAATTAGTTTAATGTGTGCCATGAGATGAAAAAGGTTGAAAATCTCTGTTGTCATGTATTGAAATTTAAAACTAGGTACAGAATGAAAATGATCTATTTTAATGTTTTCTCAGACCAATTTCTTCCTCAGAAAGTAAAGTAGACCTAACTTTGTATAATTAATGAGCAGTGCTTTTGTGGGTGGATTTTATTTACAAAACTTGTTTCTAAAATCATTATTCATGGTGAATGCTTGTTAGCAGGACCCAATTAGCTTCATAGTTTAATTTCACAAATTTCTAGTTTTCATGCTATTAAATAGTAGTATGTTGTTAGGCTTGTTTCCAAATAGGAACACCAGTTCTCACTGGCCCTTTCTTTTTCCTCATATTCTTAAATAAAATAAAATCTATAATGACAAAGCCATGGTAGAGAACAATTATTTCAGATTATTATTTTTTCTTCTAGGCAACTGATATTCTGCACTTTGGCTGCTCTGGCTGAGGAACGGAAACCTTTGGAATGTCTGGATGCCTTTGGAGCCACTGGTAAGTCATGAAGCTTTCTCAGAACCCGGCTTTGTCAGATTTGTACTGTATTTTTACTCAGAAAATGTATGCGGACATCATAGAATATTTTAATATTTTAATGTAAGATTTTAATATAAAAAATTGAAGATCCCAGGTAAAGTTTTTTAATGTAAGATTTTATTTTAATACAAAAAAATTGGAGATCCCAGGTAGAATTTTTTTTTTACTGTGGAAAAATTTCTAATATATAAAAAAGTGGACGGTATTAATAAATGAATCCCTTTGTCTCCTCACTCCACAAATCACCAACTCATGCTCAGTCTTGTAACTGTTTCATGTGCTTATCTCAGACTCATATCCCCACCCTTTCAGCCATTGTATTGAAACATCACAGATGTCATTTCGTCTGTAAACATTTCAGTTAGATCTCTGAAAGATAAGGACTTTGATACCAGTACTATACCTTAAAAATTAAGAATAATTCTATAATATCCTTAAATGTTTACATGTGCCCAACTATCTCAGTTTCTTACTATCAAATCAGAATCCAGACAAACACTATTTCAGTTGTTTAGTATGTCTGCCAAGTCTCTTTTCCATCTGTTACTGTCGTGTGTGTGTGTGTGTGTGTGTGTGAGAGAGAGAGAGATAATTATTTGAATGTCAGTCCTCGTCTTGTTCCTGATCTCAGAGGAAAAGCTTTCAACTTTTTACCATTAAGTATGATGTTAGCTGTGGCCTTTATTATGTTGAGGTACATTCCTTCTATACTTGCTTTGTTAGTTTGATCATGAACGGATGTTGAATTTTGTGAAATGCTTTTTCTGCATCTATTGATATGATCATATGATATTTATCCTTTATTTGTTAACTGATTGTCCTTTATTTGTTGGCTGAGTTTTGGATGTTGAACTCTCCTTGCATCCTTGGAATAAATCCCACTTGATCATGGTGTGTGATCCTTTAACATATTGTTAAATTCAGTTGGCTAATATTTTGTTTAGAATTTTTGCATCTATGTTTATCAGGAATATTGGCCTGTAATTTTCTTTAGTGTCTGTGTCTCATTTGCTATCAGGGTAATTTCTTCTCATAAAATGAATTTGGAATGGTTCTTTCTTCTATTTTTTGGAAAAGTTTAAGGATTGGTATTAACTTTTATTGGAATATTTGGTTGAATTCACCAACGAAGCTGTCTGGTTCTGGACTTTTATTGGGAAATTTTTGGTTATTGATTGAATTCCTTACTTGTAACTGGTCTGTTCAGATTTCTGTTTCATTCTGATTTAGTCTCAGTAGTTAGTGTGTTTCTAGAAATTTATCCATTTTTTCCTGGTTGTCCAATTTGTTGACATGTAATTATTTATACTAGTCCCTTATGAGCCTTTGTATTTCTTTGGTATCAGTTATAACTTTCTCTCATTTCTGATTTTGTGTCCTCTTTAAAAAAATTTTTTTTTAGTCTCTTTCATTTAGTTTTGCTGTACTTTTTTGTTATTTCTTTTTCTTTATTAACTCTGGGTTTTATTTGTTCCTTTTCTAGTTAACTTAAAGTGTAAAGTTAGGTTGAGAGTTTTTTGTTTCTTGAGGCAGGCATTTGACTTAGAGCCACTTTTGTTGCATACTATAAATTTTGACATGTGACATTTTCATTTGTCTCAAGGTAGTTTTCGATTTTTAATTTTTTTCTTTGACTCATTGGTTTTCAGTAGCATGTTGTTAAATCTACACATATTGGTGAATTTTCCACTTTCCTTTATGTAATTTTCTGACCACTGTGGTCAGAAAAGTTGCTTGATATGATTTCAGTCCCCTTAAATTTATTAAGATTCATTTCGTGCCCTAAACTGTGATCGCTGTTAGAAGATGTTCTATATGCACTTGAGAAGAATGTGTATTCTGTTGCTTTTGGATGAATGTCCTATAAGTGTCTGCTAAGTGCATCTGCTCTAATGTGTCATTTAAGACTCATGTTTTCCTACTGATTCTGTCTTTGGATCATCTATCCGTTGATGTATTGAATAAGTGGAGCATTATAGTTTCCTATTATTGTATTGCTGTTTCTCCCTTCAGATCTGTTAATATTTGCTCTGTATATCTATTTCGGTGCTCATATACTGTGTGCATGAATATTTACAAATGTTCTGTTTGTTGGATTGACCTCTATGATTATGTAGTGGCCGCCTTTGTCTCTTATTACAGTCTTTGTTTTGAAGTCGGTTTTGTCTGATACAAGTACAGCCACTCCCCTCTTTCTTTTGGTTTCCATTTGTATGGACTGTCTTTTCATCCCTTCACTTTCAATCTGTGTCTGTCCTTGCATCTAAAGTTATTCCCTAGGACACAGCATGTAGATGGATTTTGCTTTGCTTTTTTTATTCATTCAGCCACTCTGTGTCTTTTGATTGGAGGATTTAGTCCCTTTACATTCAAAGTAATTATTGATACACATGTACTTATCACCATATTAAATTGTTTTTTAGTTTTCATAGTTCCTCTTTGTTATTTTCATCATCTCTTGCTCTTTTTCTTTGGGGGTTGATGACTTTCACTAGTGACATGCTTATATTCCTTTTTTCAATCTTTTGTGTATTTACTCTAAGTTTTTGCTTTGTGGTTACCCTTGAAGCTTTTTCTGTAACAATCTATTTTAAGTTTAATAGCAAGTTAAGTTCAATCCCATTATAAAGCTCAACATTATTACTATCCTTCAACCCATTTTTTGTTTTCAATGTCACATTTTACATCTTTTTATCTTGTATAACCCTTAATTATTATAATTGTTGTTATTTTTACCTGTTTTGTCTTTTAACCTAGCTTTACGTGTGATTAATCTACTATCTTTACTATATAATTACCTTTCCAGTGGGATTTAATCTTTCTTGTGTGTTTTTCTTACTAGCGATTTTATTTGAACAGAGATCATAGAAAAGTTTTGTAAGAAATAGTAATGAAATTCCATAAGACATTTTTTGTGATAACTTTTCTTCAGAGGCTTTGTAGTGAGAAAACAATTACTTATGAAATATTAAAATTTTGAAGTAATTTCTTTGTTATTTATAGAATCATATTCTATATTATTATACTACTTTTGTTTTTTAATTGTTACAATTTAGAACCTTTTTTTCCTTCCCATTTCTCCTAAGGGATAATGGGATTACAATGGGCAAAACATCTGGGAAATGCAGTCAAGGTTACAATTAATGACTTGAATGAAAACTCCGTGACCTTGATTCAGGAAAACTGCCATTTAAACAAATTAAAAGTGGTGGTGGACAGTAAGGAGAAAGAAGAGACTGATGAAGTTCTTGAAGAAGGAGAGGAAAAACTTGGTAATATTCAGGTGACCAAAATGGATGCCAATGTATTGATGCATTTGAGATCTTTCGATTTCATGTAAGTGGGAAAAAGTTGCTTTTTATTTATTTCAGTTAATACAGCTTTTTGTTCTAGCAGTGGCCTAAGGAATGCAATAAGAACATTTTCCAGCATTTGAAATGCAGTGCCTAGGCCTGACAATTTTCCTTTTAAGTCTGATCTATTTTTGCATATCTAACACATCTTATGATCATTTTATTACTTTTAAAACAGAAGTCTCTATTTCAAATAGATTTATAAAGTACTTTTGAACTAATGGAATTTTGTCACTAGAAACAATGACAGTTATATAATTTTGGTTACAAGGATGATTTTAAATATGCCTGTGGTTCCTTCTGATTTCAGACACCTAGACCCTTTTGGAACATCAGTGAACTATCTCGATTCTGCATTCAGAAATGTAAGAAACCTCGGCATAGTGTCAGTGACTTCTACAGACATCAGTTCTTTATATGCCAAGGCACAACACGTCGCCCGGCGTCACTACGGCTGTAACATCGTCCGAACTGAGTACTACAAGGAACTAGCAGCCCGAATTGTTGTGGCGGCACTGGCGAGGTACCGAGTTGCCAACAGGGTACCTCCTGTGTTTGGTGTATGACAAAAACAGATCTGAGAAGCGCTTGTCTTATTTTTAAATATGTACAAAGTAGAAATTCTGTATTCCATATCTGTAATCTTGATTTGCTTGGTAATCTTATACTATATTTTTTTAGAATTTGATTTGAAAGCTTGTGCCTAAAATATTTACTCTCCAATTAAAAATGTTATTAGAATAATGTAGTATTAAAAAGATAAAAATGGAAAGTTAATTTTAAATCAGTTATTTCAACAATGTAGGGTAGATGAGAGGCTAGCATAATGAGAAGGAAAGGCAAAGATTATTTTTAAATAATTAGAAATAGTCATTGTTTTATGTTCGTTTCATCTAATCCTCTTTAGTGAACAAATAATTTATAAAATGATGGCTTGCCCTGGCTGGGTAGCTCAGTTGGTTAAAGCATCATCCGGATACACCAAGGTTGCAGGTTCAAAGCCTAGTCAGGGCACATACAAGAAACAACCAATGAATGCATATAAATAAGTGGAACAACAAATCAATATTTCTGTCTCCCTCTCCCTCACTTTCTCTCTCTCTTAAATAATAAGTAAAAAAATATATGTGTATAAAATAAGATACAGTGATGGCTTACTAACTTGATTCTGCAAAATGATCTTACCTATAAAGTTGTCTTATCAGGATTTCCAAACAATTGAGGAAAGCAAGTTTTCTGAGCCCCTTTTATTCAGAGTATTATGCTAGAAGAATAATATAACAATGTAAATGGACATCAGAAGTAATGGATGATCAGCCAGCTGACTTAACACTCGTCTCACGGCATTTAGGTTGGATTTTCTACCTCAGCATAAATAGATGGTTAGACTTCATAGACCTTAAGGGTTATTCCTAATTAATTGAAAACTCTGATGAGCAGTTTGTACATTTCTACTTAAAAATGCTTATAACCTAACAAATTCAAGTTAATACATGTGAGCTGAGTTTAGTGTGTAACACTCAGTAAACATTGCTTGGAAGAAGGTTTTATAGAAAATACAGATGAAAAGGAAGAAGGGAGACACTGGAAACCAGAGACTAGAGCCCGATTGAGAGAATACCCTGAGGGAAAATGTCTAGTTACTAAGACGCTGGCTGGCATCATTATGTCCTATCTTTCAATTTGTGCAAAAGCTACAGTAATGACCTTTTAAAAGCACTGCTACTGAGAACTGAATTTGCCTTCTTTTTCCCTTTACCCACCCATCATTTAATACTCAAGTTAATATTTGTCAATATAACATCAAACAGAAAAATGGTAAGCACACAAAATAACTTCACATTTCTTTGCAGAGCTGCAGCTCGATGTAACAAAGGCATAGAAGTGCTGTTTGCAGTGGCCCTGGAACATTTCGTCTTGGTGGTCGTGAGAGTTTTGAGGGGGCCTACTTCTGCAGATGAAACAGCCAAGAAGATCCAATATCTCATCCATTGTCAGTGGTGTGAGGAGAGGATTTTTCAGAAGGATGGTAATATGGTAGAAGGTAAGTCAAGTTTCTTTTGACTGTATATTGTGTTTAATTTATGTATGGTCCTCCAATATGTAAGCCTTCATCACATCCCTAATTATACATATTGTCCTTTGATTTGAAAGACGACAGCGCTGACTTTATTTCCTTTACTGGATTTCCTTTCATCAACAGACAAGACATTCGTGTGAGTTTAGTAAAGTTATTTACTCATGCTATACAATTTACACTCGCTAGTCCTGCCCTCCGTTATTGAAGCATCTAGAAATAACTTAGTTTTACTGTGACTAATTTTAGGAACATAAGTCAGATTACCTCTTTGTCTAGACTCTTTCAAATCATTAATTTTATTTTATTTTTTTTAAATCATGTATCTGACTTATTATTTTTTAAAGATTTTATTTATTTATCTTTAGAGGGGAAGGGAAGGAGAGAGGGAGGGAAACATCAATGTATGGTTGCCTTTTGTGCGTCTCCTGCTGGGAACTGGCCTGCAGGGAACCGGCCTGCAACCCAGGCATGTGCCCTGACTGGGAATCAAACCACGATTGTCCCATTTGCAGGCCCGTGCTCAATCCACTGAGCTTCACCAGCCAGGGCTCAAATCATTAATTTTATAAAAATAACTTTAATGTTTCTGGCTGAATATAAAGCTGTCAGTTATAAAATTCATTCAGTAAACATTTACTGAGCTTCTACTATATGCCAGGCCTGGGAACCAAGGACAATTTTTGTCGCTTATGCCTTCATAAAGCTGTTTTTAGTTTTGCTTTTCTAGGCTATAGAAACAGTTGCCCATTGTTTTCTTAGGTTCTTGGCATTTTTTAGTATGGATTTTTAAGAACTCATATAAAAAGTTCTTTATATATTAGACTTAATCCCTTGTGATAGGAGTTACAAATAGTCTCATTCTGTTGCTCAGGTTTGCAAATCCATTTCTTTAATCTTTGATAGTTTTTCTTTGTCGCCATTTGAAGTTAAGAGAATGTTTATGTATTCTGGATTTTGTCTATAGTTAGAGTAAGCTTTCTATTCAAGGTAGGTTACATTTTATTGATTTGTCTACCTTTTTACCAGTGTAAATGTGAGAATACCATCTCTTTCTTATACTCAAGTCTCACATGCATTTGAGTTTGTTTCTGGATTTTCTATTCTGTTCCAGTGGTTGGATGAATATTTACTCATCTCTACTACACTTTTTTACATACAGTTTTTTGGGTTAATATCTGTCAGTGCAATCCCTTCTCAAAGCTCTACTTTCAGGCCCTGGCCGGGTAGCTCAATTACTTAGAGTATCACCCTTATACAGGGCACATACAGGAATCAACCAATGGCCCTGGTTGGTGTGGCAAGGTGTATTAAGCACCAGCCTGCTGCCCGAGAAGTCACCAGTTCAGTTCCCAGTCAGGGTACATGCCAGGGTTGTGAGCCAGGTTCCCAGTTGGAGGTGTGCTAGAGGCACCTGATCGCACATCCATGATGTTTCTCTCCCTCTCTTTCTCCTCCCTTCGCCTCTCTCTAAAAGTAAGTAAATAAAATCTTTTTTTTTAAAGGAAAAGAACCAATGAATGCGTAAATAAGTGGAACAACAAATTAGTGGTTCTCCCCCTTCCTCTCTAAAATCAATCAATAAATTTTTTAAGTCTATTTTCAGAGTGTTCCTGGGCCTCCCAGACTGATACTGAGCGCATATATTAATTACACAAAAAATGAATAAGCCATAATAAATAAAGGATACTGTTGTGGTTTTGAAGCCTGCTGAGAACCTAATGCGCTTTCCATTGGCCCCTTTGCCACGGTGTCACCTGGTAAAAGGGCGGAGGGCCCGTGCCAGGCTCCTTCTCCAGTTTCCTTTGGTGCTCTCCGGTTCCAGCCGGGGTGAGATGCTGGTCGCCTACCGTGGTGTCCTTCATTTCCTACTTCACTGTGTTTTATTAAGATGTTGAATTTTGTCATATTTTTTCAGCATTTGTGGAGATTATATGGTATTTCTCCTTAGAGCTATTAATTTGATTAATTCTAATAAGATTTCCCAATATCAAACTGTTGTTACTTTCTAGAATAAACTATTTAGTGAGGAAGTGTTCTCAATATAGATTCTGTTTGCTAAGGTTTTTAAGGTTTTTTCTTTCAATACTTGTATAGTTTTCCTGTTTTAGGTTGGGTTTTGGAATCAGTTTAAACTCCCTTCAGAAAGACTTTGGGACTTCCCCTCCTTTTTTTCAGTGCTTGGCGACTGTTTAACTGGCATCAAGTTCATTAAAGGCTTAGCTCTATTCACCCAGCTCTTCTGGTTGACTCACGTAGAGTTGAGCCAAGCAGGGTCTAATGTTCCCTTTTCATTCCCTTGGTTTCTGTGGTTACAGTCTCATTTTTTTAAATTTTTAATATTTGTCCTTTCTGCTTTTTTTCCTTAACTTCATTAGATACTGTTTTATCTATTCTATCATTGTTTATTTGTTACCTTAATGTTTACTTTTGTAGTAGTAATATGTATATTTCGGTAATTTGGATTTATTGGTCAAACAATATACTTTGGCTTCTTGCTATCATAAATGAGGTCATTGGCTTTCCATTTTTATTTCCGACTCTTTGTTCTTTATACCATTTGTGTTATTAGAATGTGTTCCATTTATATTGTTTTGCCAATATAATCTGCATATTAAATATATTCAGATCATCATCAGCCTTCTGGCCATAATTTCTCTACTCATTTCTTAGTTGGTTAAATGTACTTTTAGTCAAGAGGGTTCGTGGGGAAAATGCTCCTTGCTCTCATGCGTGTTCATAACTCATCATTTATGGCCTTTGTACTGAAAGGGCTTACAGCGTTTCTTTGAGTGCCTCGTTAAAGTTCTTAAGTCTTGTATCACTGAACATTAATGTCATTTTCCTTCTTCCATGTGACATGATCATTTGTCTGGCTGCCCAAAGGAAGGTTTATTTTTGAAACCCAGCACCCCGACTCTGTCTGTCCTGTCAGGATCAGTGTTTCTGGGTCATGGTGTACCTTTCATCATGTAGTTCAAATCCTTCATTTCCAGAAAGGGCTTTTAAATGTATACTTAACTCTGAGACTGGTCTTACCTTTGTACTGTTATTCCTGTGCTAGTCTCCTTGGCCTGTATTCTTTTAACTTCATTTTATCTCTAAAAATGCTCAGAGAGATTTCTGGGGGGGGTTTGTTGTTGTTGTTCATGTATTGGTCCTTTTTTAAAAAAAATATTTTTTAGAAAGGGGAAGGGAGAGAGAAACAGAGGGAGGGACACATCAGTGTGTGGTTGCGTCTTGCACGTCCGCTACTGGGAACCTGGCCTGCAACCCAGGCGTGTGCCCTAGACTAGGAATCGAACTGGTGACCCTTTGATTTGCAGGCCGGCACTCAACCGCTGAGCCACACCAGCCAGGGCCATGTATTGGTCCTTTTATCATTATGAAATGTCCATCTTTAACTCTGTGGCATTTCTTATCTAAAAGCCTGCATTATCTAGTATTAATATGAATACCACTCTTGTATTTATGATTTGCATAATATATTTTTCTCATCTTTTTACTTTCAATCTGAGTGTGTTATTGGAACCTACCTTTTTATTGAATATTTAGTCTAATCATTTTTTTCTGCCTTTTGATGAGGTTTTAGGCCATCATATTTCATGTAATTATTAAAATAGTTGGCTTTTATAATTGGTTCATGTCTTTTTCTGTTCCTCTTTTGTTGCAGTCTTTAGTATTGAACAGATATTTTTAGTGCTATTTTCTGTGTTGTTGGTTTTTTTTAAGATTTTATTTATTTCTTTTTACAGAAAGGTGAAGGAAGAGAGAAAGATAGGGAGAGAAACATCAATGTGTGGTTGCCTCTCACATGGCCCCCACTGGGGACCTGGTCCACAACCAGGCATGTGCCCTGACCGGGAATGGATCTGGTGACCCTTTGGTTTTAGGCCAGCACTCCATCCACTGAGCCACACCAACCAGGACCTGTGTTTATTTTTTACCTGTGTGTTTTTCAGTTACATTTTTTTCTTAATGGTTTCTCTAGGGATTACAATATATGTCTTTAACTTTCTTTGATGTCAGGTTAATAATGAGGTAAGACTGGCAAAATTTAGCAACTTTGCACAAATACAATTCTCTCCTTCCCTCCTAAGCTAATTTTGTCTTACATTAATTACATTTATATACACTTAAAACAACAATACAGTATTATTTTTAAGTGCACAATCTTACGAATTCTCAAGTAAATTAAGAAACACACACACATCTTTCATAGTTACCCACACAGTTACCTTTTATTATATTTTTGTCTCTCTCTGTCAGAGTACGTCTCAAATGTCTTTGGTTGTCCCCACGGAAAGTTGTCTGGAAACACTCGGGACAGGCAGGGATTTTACTGTAATGAGAAGGCTCCAGTCTGCCTTTTCATTAGAGGTACCCCTTCCCCCCTTGCCAATAAATATATATATAGGTCTTTTCTGTTGAATTGGTAAGTTTTTCTAGAGAAGAATCTTCCGGTCTTCTCTCAGCTTTCAGGAACCATAGTGGTGAAGGAGACTGGAAGGTCTGACCATTACCCACTCCTTTCCTTCATTCCTCTCTCTGGTATCTGTGACTAATGCCCCTGGTTTTATGTCCTCAGCGGTTCAGCGTCACCCAAAACTAACTGATCTCTTGGGATGGGGAAGACACAGGAGCCTGCCTCTGGGTGTTAGAGAGGAACTCCTGGTTTTTCACCCAGGCCTCCTTTTCGCAGTCCCAGCCTCTGACCCCCAGAGACAGTCAAAGTCTCCGTGCGCAGCCTTCGTGGGCCCTGCGACGCCAGGGCGCTTGCTTTTCTGTTGGCAGCCTGCCCGCCCGTTCCAGGCGCAGGTTCAGCCCCGTCCGGCCTGAAAAATCAGTTACTCCTTGTGTATCTGAGTCCCACTTCTAAAATTTTATTGGCATTTCTCATTTCTTTTACCTCTTCTTTCATTTTGTTTATCATTGGAGTTTGAATTGTACTCCATTGCTCTCATTTCAACCATGCTTTAAAAGACAGCAGGGACGGAGTGGGTTCAAGTCACTGCATTTAAATAGAAGTCTCAAGAGTTTTGAATGCCTCCTCTGAAATTGCCTTTGTAGTCTATATACCAGTGACATGGAAACACTAGTTTCCCTTCTTTATCTTTTCATTTTCTGCTGTTCACTTGAGAGGGAATTTGCTGATGCCGACCCAGCACCGAGAAACCCTGGGCAAGGGGCTTGAGGAAAGACGGGTGAGGAGGGCGGGAGCATTTTGCACAGTGCGTCACGAAACAGCCTAACACAAATTCACGTGTGTGCTGCCTGCCCGTGGGAAGTGGGTGTAACTGACTGACTGTCGATGTGAATCGCCCTCATTTGGGTAATTCTGCCTGTAATATTTGTAACTTATTTCATGGTTCCAGGGAAGTCTTCTTGAATATATTCATAAAATGTTTAAGGACATAGTTCTCAACAAAGCTAATCAATGACAGCTCTTAAGGCTTACAGTTACATAATACTGAAAAGTAGACCTGGAAAAGACAGTGCCAGAGACCTGTTAAGTAAATCTAAAATAAGCTCTCACGCTGTGTATTATGCCTTTAATTGCATTGAATAATGCTGATGGACAGCAAGCAGCTGTGGGCCCGTGTCCCTGCCGCCACAGCCCTGAATATGCCTGGGACTGACGACGGGGTCCGGCCCTCTGACAGTGCCGTATTTGGCTGCCTATAATGTGCACCCATGTTTTTGTGCACATTGTACATGGCGTTGTCATACCCATGGTACGTAATCATTATACCCATGTGTAATGCACATCCTTATTTCTCCCTCAGAAATTTGGGCAAGAAAGTGTACTTTTTACATTGCACAATATGCGGTAACTGATCCACCCAGAAATAGCCTGGTAAAAATTAATTGGAGACCGAGTCTGATTTAAAAATGACTAACTGAAAAAGTTCATGCTAAAATATTGCCCCATTTTGGAAACCAAGTATGTCCCCAATTGCCTTACAATTCTGTCAGGCTTCATTGCTCCCTAAACTGAATGAGAGTCTTCTAGCCTATGTTTCTGGGACTGATTATGAATCAGGTCTAGGAAAGAGTAATTTGTTTTCTTCCTAGTTGTGGAAGAGTTAATATGAGCAGTGTGTTTCGTGCATAAAGATTTGTCAAAGTTATCAGCCTTTTCACATAAAATGTATACATCTTATTGTGTGTAAATCAGCTGACTTTAAAATACGGATATGTGTGGACTTTATAAGACTTTCTCTTAAATAATTTTGTGTAGTAACTAAGTGTTAGTAAACGGCCTCTAATAAGCTGTTTGATATGGATTTCTATAATTTCTCTTCTACTTTAATCCTCTGTATAATTGAGATTTTTGCAAAAATACTTAGCATAATCCTTGGCACATAGTAGATTCTCAATATACAGAAGCTGCAAATTATTAACGTAACAGTTACTACTGCGGACACTGTCATGTCTGCTCTGGTTTTTCTTTCTTTTCACAGAAAACCCATACAGACAGCTGCCCTGTAACTGTCACGGAAGCATGCCTGGAAAGACAGCAATAGAACTCGGACCTCTGTGGTATGTGTGCCAAAGCTTAACAACATATTCAGAATTGATACACGTATTGGTTTGGTTGCTGACTTTTGATGATGTATGGTAAAAGACAAGGCCCCGGCCAGGTGATGGCGCAGTTGGTTAGTGTCAGTGTCTTCCCAGTAGGCCAGTGTCGCGGTGTGATCCCAGGTCAGGGCACATGAGAGGCCACCAGTGAAGCCATAAATAATGGAACAACAAGTCCATCTCTCTCTCCCTTTCTCTTTCCCCCTCACCTCCCTCCCCCCCCATCCCTCCTTCCTTCTCTCCATCCCTCTCTCTAGAAAATAAAAAAACAAAAACAATTAAGAGAAGCAAATTTTGATTGAACTTTTTTTAAGTCAAGGCAAATAATTATGACTCTTCTTCCTCTATGAACCTTAGGTGCTGGCCGTTTTCAGATTTCTCTATACCACTCTCCCCCATTTGTGGGCGGCGCCGAGAGACAGTGGAACTAGAGAAGCCTGAGGGATCTGCTGACTTGCTAATTCATTTCTGAGTACTAACAATGAGCCTTTTTTGGTTGATAAATGTAGAACTCTAGGGTGTGGTTATAAAGTGTCACAATAACTTCATAGAAGAGTCAGCTAATGTAAAAGGTCTTCGAGGAATTCATTTTAAGAAAGGCATATGAGAGAGTCCTTTGTTTTAGGGAAAAGTTGTTAAGTTGGGCCCCAACTGCAAATTTTTAATGTATGTGTACTTTGCATCATTAATAACTAGAGATTGGCAACAACATTGTGACAAGAATCATTGCAGATTTCTACCTCATTAATTTACAGGATCAAGGTGTGGCCATCCACTAAACCTAAAAATTAACCAAAATGGTAAAACTGTGCTGATGCCCATTTTAATATCTTTATCCCATGTTTTTTTAATTCTAGTTAATTTTTTTTAATTTTAATTGAATTTATTGGAGTGACATTGGTGAATACAATTACATAGGTTTTAGGCATACATTTCTGTAATAGATCATCCGTGTATTACATTGTGTTCACCACCCCATCTGTACCCTTAGACTGAGAACATCCAGCCAGCCCTATCTTCTGCTGATACTGCTTCTCTTACCTATATCATCTGCTACATGTTAATCCTGCTCACTGACCTCAGAACTAGGGAAATGAGCCCTGGCCAGGTAGTTCAGTTGGTTGGAGCATCGTCCCAATATGCAGAGGTTGCATGTTCTATCCTTAGGGCACGTACAAGGATGGACCCATGAATGTACAAATAAGGGGACAACAAATCAATGTTTCTCTCTCTAAAACCAATGAAATATTAAAAAATTAAAACAAAAACAACTGGAGAAATGAATTATTCTTAACAGACTGCTGGATCCAGAAGGAAGATCTTCTGGCCCAACCCGCTCATCTTGCCAATGAGAAAATTAGGACACAGCATTATTAATTATTAAGTGTTGGCTAAAACTGACCTCCAAAACTTAGCAGCCCAGAAGGCAGGTTTTCTCCCTCCCGGGACTGAGTTCCAAGTCCTGGGAGTCAGGCCTTAGGATTTCCTCACTCAAAGCCGGAGTCATCTCTCTACTCTCATCCAGATTCTCTTCCCCTTTCCCGACCTCCAGCCCAAAGTCTGCGTCCTCATAGAAGTTTCTCCCTAGTGCTTTAACCCAAGTTATTTCTGAATTCCCTTATAGCATTACATTGATCCCTCATTTGACACTTGAAGTCACATACCTTTCCACATGCATGTGCTAACCCCGATAATAACTGCTACCACTCATTAAGTATACTGTGTCGTGGAGATTTTATGCCTACCATCTCATTGAATTTTCCCAAGTTTGTGAGAGGTTTTACCTTCCATTTTATGATGAAGGATATGAGACTCAAAAGCAGTAATTATTCAAGATTACACAGCTAGTTAGTGGTAGAAGCCAGGAAGGGAATCCAGGTTTATCGGAGCTGGGATTTCATATTCTGTACATCACAGCTGTGATTCTCAATGAAATGGGAGGCGTGCCAGCCACCCCTGGGCCGTTCTCCTCTGTTTGACCATGAACACGTGGAATCGATCGATTTACTCTCACCGACAGGGACGTGCACGGTGAAAGCCTACGCACCGTGTCCCCGTCTGCGTTTCCAGGCTTTCCGGGGTGAACACTGTGTTTTATACCTGGGCGCATCCTCCAACCTCAGTGTAGCCAGGGCTCCATGTCTCGTGAGGGCTCGGCGAGCTCCTGTTGATTTACCTGTGAACAGACTCTCCTCCACTGATCTCACCAGTGGAGAGAATTGACGGGATGAAAAGGAATGGGGAAACAGTAAACAATTCTTCGTTAAATCATAAATTCTTTTTAGTTTCCGTGTAATTAACTATATGTCTTAGTTGTGGTTAAATTATGGAAGCTGATTTTTACAACAGTGAACATGACTCTCAAACCCAATTCTCTGTATTTTCTTGTTTTGTTTTGTTTTTTAGGTCAAGTTCCCTCTTCAATACTGGATTTCTAAAAAGAATGCTAGTGGAGTCTCTTCACCATGGTTTAGATGACATTCAGCCCCTAGTAAAGACGTTAATCTTCGAGTCCGAGTGTGCCCCTCAGAGTCAGTTTTCTGTTCATTCGCCTTCAAACCCCAACAAGCAAGGTAACTCATTTGAAAATCCGTTTACCAGCTTGCAAATGGATTACCAAAGTGCTTTACCGCACTTGATGCTTTAATCAAAGGCAGCATGAGTATTGTGCTTTAAATCCCCTCTAATGAGTCTGATCATAATTTGGTTGTGAAATTTGATTTTTTTAAAAGAGTTTATTTATTTATCTTTAGAGGGGAAGGGAAGGAGAGGGAGAGAGAAATATCAATGTGTGGTTGCCTCTCGTGAGTCCCCTGCTGGGAACTGGCCTGCAACCCAGGCATGTGTCCTGACTGGGAATCAAACTGCGATCGTGTGGTTCGCAGGCCGGCGCTCAATCCACTGAGCTACACCAGCCAGGGGATAATATATATATTTTTTAATTTCAGTAGATTAAAGTACCAAAAGTTAGTTGTGATTTTATTACCCTCTATCTGCTTTCTTGAAAGAGAAATCTTGGGGAATTTTGAGTGGCCAAAGTTTTTGATACTATCCATTGAGACACAGAAACTAGGTTTTACACTTAACACTCATTGAAACTAGGGGGGTTTTTTATGTTTTCCTGGCCGTTGACCCGAGGGTGAGCCTGCTAGACATCCTAGCGTTTCTCCTCAGTCATGAGAAGCAGCAGCGGTTGCAGAGTTAAAATGCAGTTCTTGCCATTTTGCCACAGAATCTCTCATATATTCATAAAAGCTGTATGCATGTAATTTAGTGAGCTTTTATTTAAATTTTGAATTATTAGCACTTTATAAAATATTTTGTTTTTATTTTAGAAGAATGTGGTGTGTTTATTAAAACTACAGATGACACCACAACAGATAATTACATTGCACAAGGTATGTATGGATCCGTGTGTGCATGTGTACAGATGCATGTATCGGTGCAGAAAGGCAGACAGCAAGACGGAGAGGTTTCTTTGGTAGCCTGCTTGTTTACATGGACTCTGTTCGCATTTCTACTACATGGAAATCCCTTTGAAAGAACTGTAAGATCAAATTCTGTTTGAGTAAAAATTAAAATTCTTACTCTTTTAAACTTTCTCATCAACTTATAATACATAGCAATTCCACTGATTAACCAGAACACCTATTCCGTAGCCATAAGAATTTATTATATGGCCTTTCTTGTAGTTTGGGATGTGTGCATACTTCAAAATGTGGTTGTATTTAGGCATTGCAAATTCATATTAAAAGGCTGTTCAGGTTTATGTCGGCAGTGCCTTAATATCTGTGGTTTTGTTTTGCTTTTTAAAAGACAACTTGAGATTCTAATGTGTGTTGAATACAGGTAAAAGGAAGAAAATAGTGTTAAGGTTGAAAGAGCAGAGGATTATAATTACAAGCTGTAATCTTGTATTAGTTGGTCAGTATTTTAGTGTTCCTCTTCAAAGACAAGAAAAGTTCAACTGTTAACAGCGTGTGGTTTAATGACTGCTGTTTGCTCTTTCTAATAGTCATGTTCGTTTGGCACCTTCAGCTAATGTACTAACATTCAAATCACTAAAACCATTTATTCCACTTAATTTCTCTGTCAGAAGTAAGAAAACGGCAGTATGGCAGACCATCATGAGCATTAGACTTCACAGTAACTTTCTTCTTTTGTTGTTGGGGAACCTTGGCCAGGTTTGGTGACCACTGAAGACCTTCTGTTTATCAAACATCAGCATTCAGTAGGGAGTACAGCCACACAACGGAAGGGCATTATCCCAGGAATTAAGACTATAACCTGGGAAGAGGTTTACACACATGAAAGGCCTGCGTACATCCCACAGTAAAAGTGACAGCACTCAGTGGAACTAAGGAGCACAAAGCCCTGGCAGCAGTGACGCCTGTGAGGCGACCGGCCCAGAATTCACAGCTTTCTATGGGAGGTGGAACTGGACTTGAGACTTGAGGTTGAAGAAGGTAGAAAGTCCAGTTCTGACTCGGCAAACAGTTATATACTAAAGTTACATCAGTAAGGGATAGTGAAAATAAGAGTATTTTATTCTCACGAGTTCTCCAGGAATTAAGATTGGATAGATTGAAATGGTGTTTCAGAGAATTTAGACCTGAGATGACATGTAGTTATAAAAGCACTTGGTATGTAATGTTTAAGAAAATGCTAAGTGTGTGTGTGTTTCAGGAAAAAGAAAAGGTAGTGAAACAGTCACCAGTTTAGCCAAGAAGCAGAAGACTGACGTCAGTGCTGAACATCCTCCGTTTTATTACAACATCCACAGACACAGCATTAAAGGGATGAACATGCCCAAGTAAGCAGGCCAGTGAATGGCAACGTGTGAATTTTGTATTTGAATGATTGTGATCTAAATAAAAACACCACCTCATTCCTTTTTCTTTCCTGGCCGCAGGTTAAAAAAGTTTCTGTGCTATCTTTCTCAAGCAGGCTTTCGAGTAAGCCGAACTCATTTTGACCCCATGGGTGTCCGTACAGACGCACCTCTGATGCAGTTTAAGTCCATTCTTTTAAAGCACAGCACTCCCACCTACACCGGAGGACAGTCGGAGGGCCCTGTCCCGTCAGCACCAGAAGACTCGGTGGCTGACAGGGTGGAGGCGGCAGTGACTGACAAAGCGGAAGCGAGCAGCTGTAGACGATGGTGAACGTGGAGGCTTCATTCCCAGGTGTCTGTATAGCTGGCCTGAGTTCTCTATACCACCTGTAGTTCTTTTTTTATTCTTCCAAGTCAGTGGTGTAAAAATAAAATAAAGATGTGCTGTTTTCATTCAGAAAATGAGCAGTTTCTACTTAACTGGTTTGGGAGCTACGCTTTCCAACTTTTTCTTATGTTAGAGAAAACTTAAAAATCGTAATGAAAACATTTCCTATGAAGCCAAGGTTATGACGGAGATCACCCTGTTTTATGACTAAGAAAATTTTCACATGCGACGTGTTTGGAATTTCACATATGTCATGGGAACCATTCGTAATGGCATCTCAGCTGAAATTAATGCTGAACAGGAAGAACAATGTCCTTCCAGGTCACTAATATGTTTCACACTCACAAAGTTAAAATACATTCCTGATTTTAAGAAACCATACTTCTCCCCACACCGACCTTTTAATTTCTAACTTTCCAGAAATTTAGTACTTACCCGAGATAGACATTTTTCTAATGTTTAGGTCTGCATGACTAATCTTCAGAGTAAAATCCTGTCAAAGTAAATTGACACCATGTTTTTAATTAGAATAACTGTGCATAAGCACTGAACTTCTCGAGGAGAGATGATTTTAATACACTGAACAAGTTGGGTGATCTCAAGGCCTCAGTTAACACACATACAATATTCACCTGCTCAGTTATGCTACCTTAGACGTAAAAGTTGCCACCTTATAAACTTGGAACATTTTTTGTTTTGGGGGTGGTTTTTGTTTTTTCATTTAGTGAGAGGTTCTTTTTGGGGAGGGGGGAGTGTATGTTAATTCTCTGTATAAATAACCCGGGCTAACGTAACTATGAAAATTAGTTGAAAAAGTCATGTTTTCATCAATAAGTACAGTTCTTGTTTCATCTGAATATGTTTCAATGAAAGGATTTAGCATAAAGCTTAGATTTCAAGGGTTTCATCTATATTTACCTTTAAGTATTTGTTAGAGGAAGTAACTTCAGAAGAACTTAAGCTTGGGGGCTGAAGGGGGTCATAATGAAGGTTTTGCATACATTCCATCTGAAAAAAGCACCCAGGGGCGTACACAGAAGTCCGGGGTGGGGGGGGGGGGTCACTGCTATCACATGGATTATTTAGAAGAAATAAAAAAACCTCTTTGTGTCATTATAATACAGTCCTAGGAGGTTTTTTTTCCTTCACTTAATGGAAGCCTTCACTTAAAAAGAGTATGTGAAGCGTAAAGTTCATTTCTGTTATGACCATAATAAACTATGAGTCTTGCCAATTAAAATTAAACTCACAAATGAGCACAAAAGCAAGTTAGATACTTTTTTTGTTTGTATAGTTAAAATTACTATAAATCCAAAGGCAAATCAGTACCCGGACCATCCCAATATATGTTGAATATCAGTCTCAAATTTTGCTAATGCTTATTGGCATGACATACCTTGATCAGTGGTGTTTAGTTTTATGCCAGGAACCTAATTTGACATAAAACATGTAAATTACTTATTTAAAATGTTTATCTGAACTACATACGTACAGGAAGATTTTCTGAAGAAAGCTTGGTAGGAAATAGTTTGGAACTATTAAAGTACTGTATAAACCTGATGAGGAAATACTTTTAAAATGCCACCTAATTCGCCCTCACTGGTATGCCGGTCTGCAAACGAAAAAGGTCAAAAAGTTCTCTAGTTCGATCCCCAGTCAGGGCACATGCCTGGGTTGTGGGCAAGGTCCCCAGCAGGGGGCGTGTGAAGGCAACTGATCATATTTCTCTCAAACACTGATTATTTTTTTCTACCTCCTTTCCCCGCTCTAAAAATGAGTGAAATCTCTTAATAAAATTCCATCTAATTCTACGTTGCACCTTGTTGGCATAACTGTACTTTGCAACATGAAATCAGTCATGTCCCTCCGCCAAAATTCAGGAAGCGCAAGACACCAGTTCCCACTACAGTCAGGAAGCAGTGCGTTGACCGCGCTGGTGGCTCCTGTTCACACTCCAACCACATTCAGGAATGTGAGGAGTAACCGCGGAAGGTTTGGGGACCATTGAGGTGGGCCGAGTTAAAATTGCCTTTATCACCTGCCGCCCGGGTTTGCAGAAATCAGACACCACCAGTTCAGAGATTGCCAAGTCGAGGAATTCCTCTCCTCGGTGGGAAATAGCTGCTCGGGTGAACAGCCCAGGTTACCCCGCGGAGGGCCGAGAGGGGCAGGGAGAACACAGACGTGGGGTGCGAGGGCGGGGCCCCTCTCAAAGGGCTCCGAGAAATGAACGGAATCAGGCCTGGAGGTGGACAAGGGATCGTGACCCTTTGGGAGCCAGTGGCTCTAGACAGCCCTGTACCTGCCAGTTCCATAGATCACACAGGCCCGCCGTGATCCCAGGACGGTCGCGTGATGGGCCAGCCAGGGCCCAGAGGTCCCGCCAGACCACAGCACGAAGCTTTCCGGAGCGCTACTCCTCCCGTGCTTTCCAACGACTCGGTAAACCACGGTCCATCAGGCTCTTCCGAGGGGTGGATGTGCAGACCACGCGTAATGCGTCCTCTCCAACACCCCCTCCTGGGTCTTTGGTTTCCTTTCTTCATGCGTGTTCAAGGCTTTTTTAGCAACTCATGTCCAACTTCGAGGAGGCACTGCTGAGTCGAAACGCCAGCCAGGTGACCAGCAGCACGCCCAGCTGTTCCAGCTCACAGGTCCAATTCGAGACCCACTCTGGTAGGAGGCCACCCACATCGACAATCGGACCCAATTTAAAATCATGTTCCTTCAAGGTCTAATCCACAGATCATACGGGATCAAAAACGGCATTCTTGCAGGAGGCACTCTGTCCCCAGAACATGCTGCGATCTGACTTTATGTCCCCAAGACAAGGAAGGATGGTAGGGATAAAGCAAGTGGGCTGAGGGGTCCTGCACCAAGGCAGCGACCACCTAAGGAGTTTCCTCCATTGTGAGTGAGGCTGGGCGAGTCGGGGGTTGAGGGTGCTGAGACAGATCTCCCCAAAACTCTTACAAATGCCATGCTCCTGAGCAGCGTCTAAGAAACCCAGAAAGATAGCAAACTCAGCCAATTTACAGGATCACACTTTCCCCCACAGCTACCCCAACCTTAAAGCTACAGGGAGGCTGGGCAAGTGCACATCTCACAGGTTTAGTCTCCATACGGTGAGTGGTAACTCTCCCTCATCCGGGAAGGGAATTCACAAAGACCAGGAAGAGGTTACAAAGGCTAAGCATCTACAAAAAGAAAGCAGACCTCTACACTTGCCGACGTCTACATTGGTCTTACCACCCGCGGACATCGGGTCCCTTTTTCTGCTGCCACCCTTTCCCCACTCTGCAAGGACCAATGCCACCCCCAGCCCAAGAATCCTTCCAGTTTGGGGGGCAGGGCACGGGGGTGATACCACTACTAACTTTAAAATGTGAGTAAATTGTGAACATTATTCCCCAACTGCAAACTACTTCCACCTCATTTCTGCAGCTGAGGTGGACTTAAGAGAATTTGAGATCACACAGACCAGAAAATAAAACTTGCCAAGTAGAATCATTTCCTAGAAAGTGAAAAGCTTATATTTACAGGATTTAGCTCTAGTGTTATCTTTATATAGGTTATATCGTATAATCTAAGCTATAGCAAAGCTAAATGACATAAACTAATTTATTCAATGCTGTTCTAAAAAGGCAAGTGAAAGACACAGGATCCAATCCCAGGCAGACTCCGGTGCTCACAGAAAGACAGACAGACAGACAGACACACACACACACACACATATTTAATTATCAACAGGCCACAGGCAGCGCCACAGCAACTTCTGAAACAAGTATCACAAAAATACAGTTAATCCCTAGCCTACTGTCCATTTTCCATAACTGGGCCCTCTTCACCAGTACACTTTGTATTCAATGATCTACGCATATGCAGAAAGCACTAACTTTTCCGGCTTCATTCCCATGGCCAAGATTTTCCCAGAATTCAGTTTTAGTTTTTGATAGATGGCAAAATCATTGCAAGCTACAACCCTCTGAATAGATGAAAACCCTAGATCTCTCAGAAATCAGTTACAACTTGAAAATCTCAATGCATTTGTTAAGAATCTACTATGTTAAGTGTACCTACTCCTATAAAGTCAAAGTATTCGTTTTAGAGATGGAAGACTACACAGACATCAACTCCTCCACCTTAGAGAACGAGATGCTAACGTAGTTAAGAAACTGACCCTTGGCCAAGGTTACACCATCTTCAAGTACAATATTTGTGTGATGTTGTCGTGGTTCTCACTTGCTTATTGTTCGTATTTTTTCCCCCATCCACTTACTTTTGGTCTGTTTCTTTGAAACTAAAGCAAGTTTCTTATGAATATACAGCTGAATCATTCTGCCAATATCTGCCTTTTATGAATGCTTAATACATTAACATCTCGTGTAATGAATGGTAACTGGATTTGTATCTGCTGGTTTACTGTTTTCTCCTATGCCTTGTTTCTCTATTCCATTATACCTCTTTGTGTTAAATGTTATTTTTTTCATATACCATTTTAATTTCCTTGTTTAAGTGGGTTTTTTTGAGTTACACGTTTAGTGGTTGTGCTAGGGATGACATTTACAATAATTTATATCAGATTACTACCAACCTAATTTGAAGACTGAAAAACGTTTGCTCCAATGAGTTCCTTGCCACCCTTTCATTGCCATACAAGTTGTATCTTCTATTGCCATACAAGTTGTATCTTTATATATAAGCCACTCAACAGTTTATTACTTCATGCAGTTTCCTTTTGAATTAAAAGACTTACAAACAAAAGTAATACTACAGACTGAATACTTGTATCTCCAGCAAATCCAGTATGTTGGAGTCTTGACCCCTAATGTGGTGATATTTGAAGGTTGTGCTTATGGAGGTAGTTTGAGATGTGGTTGTGAGGATGGGGCCCCAAGATGGTATCTATCCTTGCAAAAAGAGAAACCAGATCTTTCTTCCTCTCTGCCAGGAAGAGAGCCCTCACCAAGAACCAAATCTGCTCCAACTTTGACCTTGAACTTCACACCCCCAGAACTATAAAAAAATAAGCGTCTCTTGTTCAAGCCACCTAATCTACGGTATTACAGCAGCCCAAGCTAATACCAGTAGTTGTACCATTTTTTATACCTCTTAACTTGACTAGGGCTACTTATTTCTTCATAGCCATTTGCATTACTATCTAATGTCCTTTCATTACTGCCTGAAGGACTCCCTCTAGTATTTCTTGTAGGTCAGGTATGCTAGTGACAAATTCATTGGTAAGTAGAAACCTCAGTGTCTTTCATTTTTGAGAAATAATTTGCTCCGCACAGAATTTTCGGTTCACCGACTTTCCCTTGCAGCACTCTGAAGGTCCTTCACCGCCTCCTGGCCTCCGTGACTTCTCCTGAAGCAAGTTGTTCATCTCATCAAAGATCCTTGTACTCATTCCATGAGTCCCTTTCTTTTGCTCTTTCCAAGAGTTTGTTATTTTGCCTCTGTCCAGTTTCTTGGGTGTAGATTGTTTTTCACCAAATTCTGGAATTTGGGGCAATCACTTCAAGTGCACTTTGTGCCCCTTTACCTCCTACCCTTCAGGGGTTCCTATTATGCGTGTTAATACACTTGACGGTGTCCCACAGGTCTCTGTAGGGTTTTGCCCTTCATTCCTATTTTTCTGGTAGGACACTTTCAACTGAGCTAGTAATTTAAAATAATAAATTATTTTTACTGTGTTCAAGTTTGTTCAATACTTCTACCAGTTCAAATCAGCTATTTGCCCCTCTACTGGATTTTATTTATTGTACTTTTCCAAACCAGTATTTCTACTTATTATTATAACTTCTTTCTCTTGTTATTTCCTATTTGGTAATTGTTGTCAAATTAGTTTAAAACATGATTTTAGTTCTTCGAATGTGTTTTTAAAAGCTGATTTAAAGTTTTTGTTTAATTAAGGAAACATCTAGGCTTCCTCACACTTTCCTGTTTCTTTGCATGTCTGGTAAATTTTTGTTGAAAACTAAACACTTAATATAATGTGGCAACTCAGGATAAAAGAGTCCCTTCGTATCCTTGGGACCTGTCGTTTGCTCTTTGCTTAGTGACCTTCCTGGACTCATTCTGTGAAGTCTTACAGAATGAGTAAAACAGTAGTCCTATGAAGTCTTACTAATTTCTTGGCTGTGAACGGCCACTTAATTCTGTTTTCTTAGCTTAAAGGCCAGGTGATGGTTGGACAGAAAACTCCCTAAAGGCCTGAAACAACTCTCCAGCATTAACATTTTGGGATCTGCCTTCAACACTCCAACGTGAAGCCCAGAACTCTGCCTTCGCATCCACTCCCTGCTGGCAGAGCCTCAAGTTCGGCCGCGGCTTCGCTGTGGTGCCTTCGTGTGCATCTTGGGCATGCACACGGCCTTGCACATGCCCGTGGCCTTCCGCTTATCGATAGATCCCCAGGAACGTCTTGGAGCTTTTCCAAACCCCCTTACAGATGTGTCACCCCTCGGCTTTTCCCTTTTGTGTTTCGGTCAGCCTCGCTTTAGCCCCAGATGGCATCTCTACTTAAAAGCGACTGCTGTATTAAACTGCAGCCGTTTCTGACAAGCAGGCTGCGCTGGAGGTGGAGCTGTTTGCAGACAGTGGGGGTCGATGTCAGGTCACATGAGGACAAGCTCTGAGAATACAACTCTTCCTCGAAGCACCCAACAGGTCAAACCATCACAATGCCCTGGGGGAGGCTTTTGGGGGAACTTGAAGCCCCCTCCCAGGCGACTAAAAAGCTGCTTTTCACAGCTGGCATTGTTAGAAGGCTATTCATTTTCAAGTCTACCCTGGAACTGGGAAATTTAAAATGCTACAAAACCTGTTCGTTTTTACTGCATAAATGCTTTTTAAATTGTTAGAAGCTTTTCGTTGATTTTTTAGAGTTCTAAAAAGTTTATTTTGACAACTTTTACAGTTCTCATTGTTTTTATGGGAGAGCAGGTTGCCATAGTTAATTTCCTTAATCACATTAACATTTCAAGGAAGCCATTTTTACAGTTACAATAACTGCATACTAATTAATACCTTTTCCTTGTGTTTTTAAGATTTAAAAAAGCAAATATTTCTAAGTGGAAATGTCATGGGGATTTTTTAAAAGGCTCCTTTTCTCAACTGGCATTTCAATTATTTCATATTTTGTTATCCAAGGAAGAATCCTGAGCCTGTTTTCTCAGTTCTTCAAGGGAAATACTAAATACTGTCTTCCGCACAGGGTTCAGAGGATTTAAAATACATAAAACTATTGCAGAGCTACAGAAATAAAAACCGCATGGTACTGGCAAAAGGAGAGCCACACAGACCAATGGAATCCAGAGCCCAGAAATAAACCCTTACGTACATAGTCAATTAGCTTCTCAATAAGGCTGCCAAGAGAACTGAATGAAGGGCAGTTTTTTTCAACAAATTTTGGTGAGAAAACTGGATACCCAAATGCAAAGTTGAATCCTTACCTTTCACCATATACAAAATTCAAAATGGATCCAAAACCTAACTCTTAAGAGCTAAAACTATAAAACTCTTAGAAAACCTTCATGACATGCAATTTGGCAATGCCTTCTCGGATATGGCCCCAAAAGCACAGGCAACAACAAAAACAGATAAACGGGACTTCAAGAATTTAACACATTCTTCAAAAATGTAAGATTTTTGTCCACCAAAGGACACTATCAAGAGAAAGGACACAAAAAAAAGAAACTATTTGCAAATAATGTATCTGATAATGTACTGATATTCAAAATATAGAAAGAACTCCTGACGACGATGACAAAAATAGGCAAAGATTTGACTAGGTATTTCTCCCCAGAAGACATACGAATGGCCAATAAACATAGGAAAAGATACGGAGCATCACAAGCCATTAGGGAAAGTCGAATCACACCACAATAACATGACACTTTACACCTAGTAGGACAGTTTTCAAAAACAAAAACAAGTGTGGGTGAGGATGTAGAGAGACTGGAATCTTTGTACTTTGCTGGCAGAAATGTAACATGGTGTGGCCACTCTGGAAAACAGTTTGGGGTTCCTTCAATTAAATACAGAAGGACGCAATCCAGCACCTCCACTCCTAGGTGTATACCCAAAAGAATGTAGCAGAGACCTGAACAGATACATACACAAAATGTTCACAGCAACATTAGTCACAGCAACAAAAGAGGCCATCAATAGATAGGCAAAATGCAATGGAATATTATTCAGCCATAACAAGGAATGAAATTCTGATACATGTTACAATGTGAATGACACCTGAAAATATATGAAGACACACACGAAGAACAAATATTGTATGATTCCCCTTATATAATAAGGTGACTAAAATAGTCAAATTCAGAGAGAGAAAGCAGAACAAAGATGACCAGGGGCTGGAGCTGGGGGAGGATGCGGGGAGTTAACAAGTGCAGGGTTTGTCTGGGATGACAAAAACGTTCAGAAAGTGGCGATGGTCACACTATACCGTGAACGTACTTAATGCCTCTGAACACTTACAATGATTACAATGGTGCATTTGGTTATATAAGTTTTACTCTTGTAAATGTTTAAATGGCCCTAACCACATCCGGTGACCTTTTTGTTCCTCAGCTGAGATGGCAGTTACAGAATGTGTTTAGGGAATCACACTCTGTACAAGTCTTGGTTGGGAGTTACGATGAGCAGTGCCCACCCCAAAAACACACACACATGAGCGCGCGCGCACACACACACACAACACTGCACTCAATGTGCTACCAAATATCTACGATATCTATCAAGTGCCTGCCGCTACATTCTGCCAAGGACCACACACTGAATCCACAGTGACACGGAGTTCACAGCCTCCCATCACGACAGATTAGACACACACAGTCTCAAAGCACAGAACTTATATTCACAAGTAACTTTCTGCTTAAAGACAAAATTTCAGTTAATAATCACAATGGGAATTCAGTTATTTAATGCAACAACTAATCTAATGTCACCAATAAAATCTAAATAGTTGTATCGCAAAACCAGAGTTATACTGAGTGGACATGCAGTAATAGTCTGTACAATGTAACATTACACCAGAAAAAAGGAATTGAATACAAAATTCCATTGTTTTTTGGTGGTTTTCAAATCTCATGGCACAGATTACCAAAAACAACTGTAAAAACAGATTTTAAGTATTTTCAATAAAACAGTAAAAAACTGAACTGAGTAAGCCTTTGAAGTTTTCACATCGGGCCGACCATGTAGAACAGCAAGGAGACCCATCTGCCAAACATGACGGACGGCGCCAACGGCTGGACAGGCTTCTGTTTCAGCCCTTCTGGAGGGCTGGTCCCCCTGGGAAGACCCCTTGGGGTTAATTTCTCAATTCGCACATGTCTTTGTAAGTACTGTGACAATATAAACTTGCAAACACACCTGAAATTAGAACAGAGATGAAAAATAACACACAAGTCCATCGTGTTTCTCACCTACCAGCACAAAGCCTTCTGGGTCCCAACGCTGAACACCCAACTGTCCCTCAACATAAAACTAAATGAATAAGAACAGAGTAACTTTTACCCTACTGGCTGACATTCTTCTACAGAATTATCTCCTACTACATATCAAGGCAGGTCTCAGGCTTCTCTAGAGTGTAATTAGCAAAGCACCAAATATATAAACTGATATATGGCAACCCCAAATACAAAACACTTTCCAAGCAGAAGCAAATATCCCCCCACTGTTAGCTCCATGTGCCATGTTATCTTTAACTCGCACAGCTACCAACATAAAAGAACTGCGGAAGCTCTGAACATATCTTGTACTTTCATCAAAGCTAAAGTGCAAAATATCTCCATATCTCTGGTATTTTAATAGAAAAAAATCATCGAACATACATAATACAGGAATTGAAGTGACAGGAGAGCTTATACAAAGAAAGACATTTTTAAATATATACTTGAAGACTACATAAGACCAATATAATATATTTTCAGTAAAATCTATAAATGAACCAAGTCCTTATTGAACTTGAGATGTTGTTTGATTCTCTTTCCCAGGATCAGAAATTCCAAAATCAGAGGGTGGGGGATGGGAAAAAATAACACTGCATCACACTGGTCACTACCTTCATAAAGAACCTTTTTTTAAAAAAGAATGTGATATTATGGAAGAAAATACCATGAAAACAATAATCCTATGAGAATGGACTTTTAAATTGAGTCTTGGTCTTCATGAAGATACTACAGCTTATATAGAAAACTATAAATATACAAGACTCCAGGAAAAAAAGTCAAAATACAATTTCACATTCTGTAAGGCCTGAACGCTGAGGGAGAGGAAAAGATGGCTAACTGAATCTTAAGAATACAGAGCTCCAAAAAATTCCTGGGTCAAAGGGTGCTCCAAACGGAACCACACTTTGTGAAGACACAGAACTTAGATATTTTTTTTTTAAAGAAAAAGTTCTGAATAACTGCAGTCCCTTCCAAAAAGGAAATCTTAAATTAAGGGGAAAAGATTCTAAAAGTGTAAACGAATCTGGCTCAGGAAGAAAACTGAACAACACATCCAAGATTCTGTCCATAAAAGTAATGGTGATACATCTTTGATAATAAAGAAATAGGCTATAAAAAAGTTCATTCTCTGAACTGGTTTCAGTAAAAGCTCATTTGTGCTCCTTTGTGGGTGCGTAATAAAGTTCCATGGGTTTGTTCACTTTCCAGTATTTCTCACTGACCAATTCCAAAGAAAAAGAGCCATTTAAGACCTAAAAGAAAAAAAAGAAAGAATGGATTGTGAAAGCTGCTCAAAGCACAGTAGTAGTGAGACAAAGAAAACATGAAATTCCACTTAAAAAAGAAACCTTTAGGATTAACTACTTGCCATTTATACCATTCATAAAAGATATCTGAAAGTCAACTGCCAGGTTCTCTCTCTCTCTCAGGGTATCAGGGCCCCGCCCTGCCCCATTTTAAGGGCCCCAGCCCACCACCTGCCACTCCCACACGGTCCGTGTGCCCCTGGTTTTCCAGGGCCTGTTACTTTAAACACTCACAGTGAACTGCCCACTGGCAGTTGCTATGTAGATGGTGTACTGCTTCTCACTGGCTGCATCAAGGTTCATCTGGTTTGACTCTCCTTTGCTCCGAAGTTCTTCTAAAGCTAATCTCACAGCCAGATACTTGGACAAGTGATCCACAGTGGCATTACCGGACGTCTTTATGTATCTGGATAAATATATCATTAGACATTTAATTGCTAGATTAATGATGAAAATGTACTTAAGTATAGAATACATTTCTATAAAATGTAAATGTCTCACTTATCAACAAAAGAATATCAGAAATTATCTAAAAAATTTATTATTGAAAGTAGACAACCTGTCTACCCAGGCCACGAAAGCATCCATAAAATATGATATAAAATGACAAAAATAAATCGAAATATGCACAGTACTGAGGAAAAGGACATACCCCCTCACCCCAGTGACTGAAGGTCTGCTGGCCATAGCAGTAAGAAAATGACCAATTTCTTATGTCTAAGAATTCATCCATTTTCTGGTGTTTAAGACTAAGCATTAAAATGCTAATCTTGGGATATTTTTTAAAAACACATGGTATACTCATCAAGGATACCACGCACTGAACTTGCAGGCACCAGGATCTGAGGCCTGTCTGCACTCGACGGCAGGGAGCCCCATAGGATGCAGCAGTAAGGCAGCCGCCTTCAGCGGCATGAGTTCTGGGGCCACTGGCACCCCAGGATTACTGTTAAGAAATTTAAAGCACCCTTTTCCTCCTCTGTGGAGGAGGGTGCTTCTTTTCAGATGTGTAAGCGTAGATGGGAAGCATGTGAGGATGAAATCAACAACCTAGGCGGCAAGAATATATACATGAAGCCTGGTCAACACAAATACTGCCCCTTTTCCCCGTGCAACATGGCCTTTTAACTCCCCATTAAGTTTCCTGAACTGGGATCCTCTGAGACCAACCCGCACGCTTACCTCGTCTGCGCGCTGTCATCCTTCTCCATGAGGGTGGGGTGGGGCCTGAACACCAGCTCGATCTCACTGGCACCGTCCATCACCGGGTCGATGGCCACCGCGGCGCTGCTGTTGTCCAGCTCCAGCCCCGAGTCGTCGGACGTCTTGGTGCGCTTGTTGCTGGGCCCCGCCTCCTGGTTGCTGTGGGTGGACGCGTTGCTGCAGTGGGAGCTGTCCCCGTTGTCCTCGGCCCCACTGCCGTTCTCCATCTGCTGTTTCTTGCCTCGCTGTAATCTGGTTAAGGAAACAAAAAGGGGCGCAGAACGTTTAAGTTTAGGTATTTTTAACGAACAGGTTTTGAAGCATGTTTACTGAACTTTAGAACCCTAAAAAATCTTGATAACTAAATGCGCTTCAAGCCGGATAATGGCATTTATTTCTCACATGTCCCTGAAAGCCGTGATCCAGACATAAAAATTTTAAAGTTCTGAGGAAAAACCATGCCTTTTTAATTAGAAATTCTTACAGAAACAAAATCCAAGAGGCATGACATGGAAATCCTCCCTGCTGACCCCACCCAAGTCTGCTGACGTGATGCAAAATTACTCTAGTGAGGAAAGTGAGGTGGCATCTGAACGGAGAAGCAGCTCTCTAACAACCTCGAGTGCGAAAAACACACAACTGGGCGGGGCGTTTCGCAGACGTCTTACTCAGGCATCGAAACCGCCACCAAGGCATAATCATCTTTTACAGTTGAGAAAATGAGACTGAGATTTAAAGCCCACAGCTACTAAGCTAGGAAGCCCCGTAACTGGAGCCAGGGTGTGAGACACGTCCTCTCTCCCTGCACACACAAGTAAAAAGCAGAGGTGCATGATGAAAAAGGAATACAAAAGAATGACATGCGCTTCCGAAAACAGTGTCGTTATCAAATGTTTAAGGCCAGAACACGGAAATAACAGCCCACTGCTTAGGAAAGATGCTCAAGAAATCTTCTGCTTCCCCCCCCAAAAAAACACTATATTGCTTATGAAATCTATAGATAATTTCAAAAACTAACAGGGGATGACTAATATGTTAAGCAATAAAACTATAATTCAAAAAGATATTAACACATACAATGGACTATTATTCAGTCTTAAAACAACACAGTAACATGGATGAACTTCAAAAACCTGATGCCATGTGCAATAAGCCAATCACAAAAGGACTATGTTTCTGCCTATACAAGGTGTATAAAGTAGTCAAATCCATGCAGACAGGAAGCAGAACGGTGGCTGCCAGGACAGAGTGCAACACTGCGGTTTACTGGGTGCAGAGCTTCGGTTCTGCAGGATGAAGAGTTCTAGACACCGGCTGTACGATACGCATGCACTTCTGCTACTGAACTGTGTATTAAAAACTGCCAAGATGGTTAACTTTTTAAACAAATAAACAGGAAAAAACTGTAGTTAACTTTATGGTAAGTGTTGTTCATCGCAATTTAAAAAAATACAAACATGCCAAAAACAATAAAACAAAAACTCAAAAGTGAAAATATAAAGGCTATATTTAAATATGTCCTAAAATTTACAATTAAAGCAAAAGGTTTTTTTAAGTTTGCTGTAATTTCATAGGGTTACTTGTCCTAATATATTCCACACTTCTTTCTATTTGAAGTGACAAAAGCTAGATTAATTTATTTCAGGTAGCTTTCATAAAATGTTTGGAAATGAAGATCAATAGCCTATTATATCCTGCATTTATTAAAACATATCTATAATGCCACATACTGTCCCAGAGGTAGCATTTCAAGAACTGTATCAAAAGACTCAAATGTCACATGAGGAACAATCAATCAGAAATATATTTAGCTTTAGAGAAGCATAAAAATGTATGTTTGTATGAAACTGTTTGAAGCACTTGTAGATAAAAGCAAATCTGAAATAAACATAGAATCCAACTGAAGTATTTTGACAAAGATAGACCAAGACTGCTGCACATAAAAGTTTTTTTAAATTCATGCATTCAAAATATTTACTCAGCAGCTACTGCAGCCAAGCACGACTCCATGTCTTGGTGGGGTAAGAATCAATCACACTGCCACAGTCTCTACCATCCTGGGGCTCACAGTATTCCCGTGCAGCCAGTAACAGACAAATGTCAGAGAATGATGTGCTGCAGAGAAAACAAGGCACGGAGGGTAAGAAAGCATGGAGTCCTGAGGTGAAAGATGGGAACGTGGCAGACACCTGAAGAAAGTGAGCGAATGCGCCAGGTGGATCACACTAAGCAGAGGGCTCCTGAAGGACCGTGCAAGTGCCAAGGCCCGGGCAGAAGGGTGCTGTGTGAGGCTGAAGAACGGTAAGGAAGTCGTAATACACTTGTCAACGAACGAAAGGTGCTCCTCCCTCTCACCCCACCACTAGAAATGTCCAAGCAAAACCGAAGGACTAGCTGTAAAGGATTTTGCAACGAGGATTCTTTCTCCTGGTAAAAGACTAAGTTAAATAACTATCAACGTCTCTCCAATTCTTAGGACTGTGTAACTCTTTTAAAATAAATATACTCAAAACATAATACCTTGTAAGTATGTATGGTGCAAGGTGGGTTCTAGAAATATGCAGGGGGGACCACTTTGTAAAGTATACAATTATCTAACCACTATGCACTGTACACCTGAAACTAAAACAAACTGTAATTGAAAAAAATTGAACACTTTATTACTTTACTTTGCTAAATACAATTGCAGGTCAGTTTCGTATAATTAGAATGGAGCCCATCTTTCAAGCTCCATGCCAGGGGTCGAAACCACACTTCGAAACCACTTCTGGAGCCTTGGAGAACGATGTCTGGAGCCAGTCAAAGACTCTGATTCACCGCACTCGGTCTGAGGTGTTTCTGAAGCCCTGGGATGAAAGCTTTCCAGTAACTCTGACGGTCAGCCAAGGTGAGAACCACTAGATGCGGATGGAACTCCAGTGGCATCTCCTACTCTGGAGAATGACGAGGCCTGAATTCATTAGGAGACGTCAGAAAGGAAAACAGAATGGGGGTAAGAAGGTACCCACATTATACAGGGTCTTAGAAGTCAGCGTTAAGGCCTTTTGTCCCAAATGTTAATAGAAGCTATTAGAGACTTCGAAGCAAAGGAGAACCACAACTGACTTTCAGTGCCACGCAATCTCTCAGGCTGCTGTGCAGAGAACAGACTTTGTGGGGTAAGTGTGCAAAGTACAAATACCAATCATGAGGCCTTTTCAGTACTTCCAATGAAAGACAGTGGTGGCCTAGGCCAATCTAGATATATTATAGAGAAAGATAAAAATGTATTTATTAACAGACTGGAACACAGAGGGAAAAAGAGAGCTGTTAAGGGTGACTCCAAAGTCTTTGGCTAAAGCAAGTAGAATGATGGAACTGCCATCTACTGAAATGAGCAAGAATAAAAAACAACAGGGGGTAAAAACAAAAAGTTTGGTAGGAGACATAGTTAAGTTTGAGGTAAGAAACAGCTAATAACATACAAAGGGAAACAGGAAAATATGGTCTCCTGAAAGCTGGATGAAGAAAATTATTCAAAGAAAAATTCATTTATCAAATTCTGCAAGTAAGATGGGGTCTGAGAAGCAGCAGTTAGATTCCACCATGTGGATACCACTGATAACTTTAGACAAGGGTGACGTGAGGGATGAAAGCCTAACTGCAGAAGTTCAGGAAGGGACAGGAGGGGAAAGCAGAGAGGGGGCACAGTCAACTTTCCCAAGAAGCTTTGCTATAAAGTCAAGAGGAGAAACAGAACTGTGGGTAAGTGGAGGGAGAAGTGGGTATGAAAGAGGGTTTTCAAAAGTTCTAGGACAATATTTCAAATGGAAACCCAGGCATGTATGACACCTGGAGACATGTAACACACTTGAATGAAAAGAGTAATCACGCAGAACTACTACCGGTTACTGCATTTTGTCTGTTTCACAATGGAGGCTGTTAAGTAAAAATCCAGTATTAATGAAGTATTCAGAAAAACGGCCCCCCTGCCCTCCTCCCCATTACCTGTTCATGGCCTGTATCTTCAGCCCTTCCTCGATGCTGTGACTGAGTGCTTGCTGATTGTTGTGCTTGTTGATCCTGGCTAACACTCTCTCCTGATGAGCTTCATACTCATCACGACTTGGGTAAATTTTGCTGATGAGTGCATCGAAGTTTGGGTCTGGCCTTAGTGATCTTTTGGAAACTAGCTTTTTCCGACATGTAGGACATTCTTTATTGCTAAATTTAAAAAGAAGGACAAATGTGAACAATAGTAGTATCTCTAGGCTACAGACAAAAATATCTAGCTTTGGGAATAGTTATTATCTATACTCTAATACCTTTACTAAATCACAGAAATTTAAACTAATTAAACTTTCTTTAAAATCTGACTAGTGATAAGCAAGAGTCTGGGAACCTCAGATACTCTATACTACTTGCCCACAGAGAAAAATTTGAATGTTCCCAATAACTTATACATAACCATTTTTGAAACAGCAATCCTTTCTTAATATAAATTTTTCTCTTTCTAATATCCATGACATGCAAAGAAAAACTAACCACCTCTATTATTAATTTATGTTATCAATTCTTTTATTAAAACAACATTCAGCCCTGGCTGGTGTGGCTCAGTGCACTGTCAGCCTGCAAACCACAAGGTCACAGTTCAATTCCCAGTGCGGACACGTGCCTGCCTTGCAGGACAGGTCCCCACCTGGGGATGTGGAAGAGGCAACCAATCACTGTCTCTCTCACACACTGATGTTTCTCCCCCTCTCTTTCTCCTCTTTCTAAAAATAAATAAAATTTAAAAATAAAAACAGCATTCCTAAGGATACTATTTTGTATACTTAAGAAGGAGAAAAACCATGGTTTCATGCTCTGTAATTTCCTCAAAACAATCACTCATCCTTCTAAAGTTTCTAAAACTGTGTGAAATCAAAATAAAAATTCTCCAATAATTGAAGTGCAAACTGCAGAAAAATTCTAATTCTCAAAACGAATACTTCTAGAGACTGTTTCTCAGAAGCCGCAGAGCCTGCCCCAGTGAACCCGAAGCGCTCAGCGTCTCGTTCCAACGTACCCACTCCTGAGGGCCGTGATAATGCAGTCCGCACAGAAGCGGTGCAAACACTCCTTCGTGGTCATGGTGTTCTTCAACATATCCAAACAAATTGGGCACATTAATTCACTGTGAAGACTTCGAGGTGAAACCACAATTTCCAAGCCATCTGTTATTGCCTCCTATAAAAAAGGCAATTTGAAATTCAAATGCTAAATGCTGTATTTTTATTATGGACAAGTTCAATTATACAAAAGTGTTGAAAATGACAAAAATGAAGATCTATGTACCAGTCACCCAGCCACTACCACTGTAAACTCACAGCCAATCTCGTTTTGGCTGTAATATCCCCCGATACCCTTCACTTCCCCCACCACTGCATTATATAGATGCTCTTAATTTAATGCTCAAGATAATACAGTAATGTGTTTAAATTAGCCTGATACAATTTTTAAAAGCATTAAATTTGGAATCAGATGCCTTAGGTTCTACTTCTAACCATATTATCTACTTACATGGCTCTACGCTAAATAACTATTTAACATCGTTTCTTACCCTGCAAAATGAGGAAGTTAGGGCTCAGTAATCCCTAAAAATTCTTCCATCTTAAAAAAAAACACATCGTTTTGCTAATACGGTGGTTCCCCCTCATCTGTGATTTCCCTCTCCAAGCTTTCAGTGACTGCAGTCAACCACGGTCTAAAAATTTAAGTGGAAAATTCCAAAACCAAACAATTCAGAAGTTTTAAATTGTGCACCGTTCTGAGTAGCGTGAGGAAACCTTGCACTGCCCTGCTCCAACCGCCTGGGACGTGAATCCTCCTTTGTCCAGAGTATCCACGTTGTACACGCTGCCCACACCTTGGTGGCTCAGGAGTCCTCCCAGTTATCAGGTCAACTGTCTCTGTGTCACAGTGCTTGTGCTCAGGTAACCCTTACTCGACTTCCTAATGGCCCCAGAGCACAAGAGTAGTAATGCTGGCAATTCAAAAAGACGGAGAAGCCGTACAGTGCTTTATTTAAGTAAAAAAAGGTCAAAGTTCTCTAAGAAAAGAAAATATCATATGCTGAGGTTAGTTAAGATCTACAGTAGGAAGGAATCCTAACCATGCATGTATAGAAAAAACCCAGTACACATAGGGTTCAATGCTATCTCTGGTTTCATGCATCCAGTAGGTAGGTGTCTGGAAAGGTAATCCCCGTGGATAAGAGGGGATTACTGTAAATTACATATTTCTTGCCATCCAGAAAAAAGATCCCAAGTATTCTCTAATTTATATACAGTTTAACTGTATTTCATGTTAAAGTCACTTTTTCAACTCTAAAGTGTCTTGGTCTGTCCGCAGAAGCAATTCCACACAAAGTGGTCAGACTCTCGGGCTAAGCTACAAACTGACTTAAACTACAGTCCATCTCAACTGTGAAAGTATTAGTATTTCTACTCGTCGTGTCGAAAAAACGGTGCAGTGAGACAATGCCTTTGGGGTGCCAATGCACACCTCTCCCGGCTACAGGGAGGTCAGACTCCCACTTCACCCCACCACCACTGTCCACCCACTCTCCCCACTCTCTTCCAGTTTGGCACCGGAAACAAACTACCCAGCTCTAAAGCCACCTATGCTGCCTCCTACAGATTCAGAAAAGAGGTCCAATGGTGACAACTGAAAAGAAAGATGCAAGAAGAAATAAGGTTTCCCATATGTTAATGACACTTCCTGTTTCCGCTGCCTCTTCATCACACTTGTTGTCTCCACAGGGTCAAAGATGGATGACCCCACAAGGAAAGACACAGAAACCATAGACATTGTCCATAAAGAACTCGAGTGAAATATATTTACATTTACAGTACCTACCACTATTATCAAGTTTCTGTTATATTTCAACCTCTCTACATAAAGCACTTTCCATATTTTATTTCGCTTAGTTTAATATGAACTAAAAGTTTCAATTTAGGAATTATAACCTTGGATGAGGAAATAATCGGAGTGTGATGACGACTCAGCTAGTCCTCCTCTTCCTTCTTAGAAAGAACCTGCCTAGCGAAATCCCCACCCTGGACCCACCCAACCACACCCCCTGTGCCTGTACCTGTGCAGGTGTGTGGCACTGTGGAGGGATCTCACAACCAGACTGGGGCCACTACGAACTTCACCAGCTCCGCATGGGTACTCAGCCCTGCTCTGCAACCAGTTTCTCTAACAAACTCATTTTCTTTCACTGCACTGTTGTTCATCTTTCCTTCTATCTGCAGACCTTCGCTGCCTGAACACTCAGTAAATTACCTCGCCTCAAATCTAGTTAAAAAAGAGCGCTCTCAGTGTCTATGAAATCTTTACAAATCATCTTCTTTCGTGCCACGAGGAGAAAGCCTGCCTCTTCCCGTCAAAAGTGCATTCCCTCCCACCTTCTCAAGTGTGTCACTTTTCACTATGCTACGTGCTCACACTCCAGTAACCTCTCCTCCACGTCAGCCTCGAGCAGTGTCTCCAGAGAGCTGCTGCAGAAAGACATGAATAATGTGCCTTGGAGCTGGTTGGGGAGGGTGGGGGGGTGGCCAGGGGAAGGGCTCTCAGTCCCACTGTTTAACACAATAGAACGCAAAACCTCCCAATTCCAGGTTCCCCTCCAGCTTGCACTCCATTTCCCTGCTTGGCTGCAGAGCCAAACTTCGATGCAGAGTTAGCTGACTGTGCATCTCACTCTCCCCTCCTTCCACGGAACAGCAAAATCTACTCAAGCGAATCCCTTGCCCAAGCCACCAACTACATAACTGCTAACTCCAAGGTGCACTTTTGTAATTCTCATCTCAGTCATCTTCTGAGTAGCGCTGAACACAGTAACCGCACCCTCCTCCTTGAAACACTTCCTTAGATTGTGTCCCTCTCTCCCATTTTTCCGTACCTTTGTCTGGCTGTCCCTTCTGTCTCCTTTGCTGGACCCTTGTCCATTACCTGATTTCTGAATGTTGAAGCTCTTCTGCATTGAGTTCTGGGCCCTCTGCTCATCTTTCTCTAGGTGACCTTATCCAGTCACTGTTTTATTATAAATGTACTGACAATCTCTAAAATTTTATATTTACTCTGGACCCCCAGTTGGCTTCTCTGCCTATCTTCTAGGCACCTCAAACTTAAGTTTTCAGTATGCTCACCTCCTTCAAGACCCCTTTCCTTTGCCAGTCTTTCCCCATCTTTTACCTTCTCAAAATAGTCTCTCCTAGTTCCCCAGTTATTTATTACAGCAGTGAGGACATTTCCTTTACCCAATCTCTCAAATGTTTAATTCTATGGATATTTGCTTTTTTAATGTCTATAAACTCTAAGGCAGGGGGTATCCAATCTGTGGCCCACAGGTGACATAGAGCCCAGGGTGGATATGAATGTGGCCCAACACATAATCATAAGCTTACTGAAAACATTATGAGATTTTTTTGTGATTATATGTCACAATATATTTAATGTGTGGCCCCAAAGGGTAGACACCCCAGCTAAGGGCTGTTGCTACAAGTTTTACTCACCACTTCACCTAGTGTGTGGCTTAGGAGCTGGCAGAGTATGCACTCTAATTATTTGTTGAATGAATGAATGAATGAAGTGTCAACCAAATGTACGTAAGTCAGGACTATGCGTAATAAATTTATTATTACTGTCATGTTCTTTCAAGTTTCCTAAAAATGTATGTCAATTTACATAGGTCTCATATTTCCCCTAAGTTATCTTAGTTATATTTATATTACCTGAGGTGTTCGTTGTAATTCATATAAACTGAGTTCCCATGTTTTGCTTAATGGTTGAGTTCCATTCGTCTGCACAGCCTGAGACATTGCTAGGAATAAAAAGAAAAACAGTTTTAGTATCTGAAAGAGAAATAAGCCTAGAAAATAATGTTTAGGAATTATAAATCCTGAGAATAATATAGTAAGAAATTATACACTGGCTCCTTAAAAACGGAAAGTTCAAGAATCTCTCCATTTATAAATATGAGATACTCAAGAGCAAAAGAGACTGTCATTGATCCCTGAATGCCCAAAAGCTGGCATGCAGGAAGTACTTAATTATTACTGAACATATAGAAAACTGTCTTAACCCAAACAATACTCCTTTTTAAAAAATTCATGGTCATTGAACTTAGAACTCAATCAGGAAAATTTCAGGCTCTACATCATGGCCACCTAGTCCAACTTTTACCAAAAATACAAAATCTGCTTTCCAGAACTTTCAGCCACTGGTCACACTGTTCTTCTTAATTAGCCCCACCCTCGGGAAAAACTGGTAACCAGAACCTAAGGTGCTGGGGTATTATCCAGAACCTAGCTCATGGTGGGGTGGCGGGGGGGAATATCTGCCTCCTGCCCATTCTAGCCATCCTGTCCCTACCTACCGGGGGAAGAAGGGGAGGGGGAAAAGTTCAGAACCACTTGTGAAGTGCCCACAGTCCAGAGACATGGGCTCACTGCAAGACTGAGACCTAATGATAGGACCCAGAGCCTTGCCCTCCCCTACACCTCACCACATCACTTAAAGGCCCGCGTAGAGCAGCTCCTTTTGCATGGGACATCATGTCCTGCTATGTAGAAAAAATCAGAAGGCATATGAAAAGGTAACAAACCAAATGTGAAGAGACAAAGCAAATATCAGAACCAGACATGGCAGGGATGCTGGAATTATCAGACCAGGAATTTAGGACAACAATGATTAATATGCTAAGGGCTCTAATGAATACAGGAAACAGCACACAAGAATACATGAACGCTGTAAGCTAAAAGATGGAAATCCTAAAAAGAACCAAAAGAAATGCTGGACATCAAAACCACTGTACCAGACATGAAAAATGCCCTTGATGGGCTTGTCAGTAGCCTGGATCAGGTTAAGGATATGACCTCTGAGCTACAGGATCCACCAATAGATCCCTCAAACACTAAAAAGCGAAAGAACAAAGACTGGGGAAAAAAGAACAGAATATCCAAGGACTAGTAACTAGAAAACATGTAACTTGTATAATGAGAATATTAAGAGGAGCAGAGAGAGGGGAACAGAGTATATATCTGAAACCACAATGACTGAGAATGTCCCCAAATGAATGTTAGATACCAAACCCCATGTCCAGGGAAGCTCAGAAATCACCAAGCAGAATAAATGCCCCCAAACCAATACCTTGACATATCATTTTCAAATTACAGAAATTTAAGATGAAAAAGAAGTCCTGAAAGAAGCCGGAGGAAAAAGGTTATACTTGCGTAAGTAGAAAAAAGTGGATGTGAAGCACAATGTATGTCCCATGCTTCGGACTTCCTTGTTTTTCACTGACTGCAGCTGCCTACACACCTACCCCAGTGTCTTCAATAACTTCATATGCCTTGTGTTTTCTCCTAAAACCACAAACAAACCTACTTTGTAACGAGCCTGCTTTTCAATAAAATTTAAATGAGTGAGGTAAAGCATTTAGAAAGGAAAAAAATGAACCTTATATGATACATAAAGGGAAAAAATTACTGCTCACCAGTGCTGTTCTTACATGACTTAACTGGGGATCTTGAAAGTGGAGTGTGTATGTGTTCTCCTGAATTACACAAAAGCTTCCTAGGGGGATATATACAGAACTTGGTTAGTTTTAGGAGAATTTAATTTCCAGATTCTCAGTTTTCTTGAAGCAATTTACCATATATCGATCTGCCTGAGAGCAGACTTCTTAGCCAGGTAGGTCCCTCTCCTTGCCCTAATCTTTTCATAAGATCACTTATCATTTACTCATTTAAATACTAATTACCTACTGCAGTGTATGCAATACTAGAAGAGCAGCAAACAAAACAAATATGCATACAATAAATTTTAAAAATTTTAAGTGCTATATAAAAGATACTAAAAAAAGAGCTTTGGGTTAGGGAATCAAGAAGAAAAGGAGTGATTAAGACAGGGGCATCAAGGAAGGCCTTTCAAAGAACTAGACATGTTAAAATACGGAAAGGGTCAGTGTGGCTGGTAAGGAAAGGGGAAACTATGTAGGAGGTCACAGAGAGGCCACAATGATGACATTCCCAAGAATCAAACGGAGTTCAAGTAGAAGGGCAAAAGCCGCGCTGAAATGGGTAGAGGAAATCGAAATTGAAATGGTAAGTTCCTTATAAATGAATGAAATGAAATGAAAGTACTACACTGCTAAAATATATGAGATGTGTAATGAGAAATCTCCCTCACAAACATTTGTACACTTCAATTTTTAAATAAGAAAACCATGAAGACTCTAAAAAATAAACCAAGCACTAGAAATTAGAATATACACCTAAAGGGCAAAATGATCACCATATAAAAGCACACATCAAACTGAAACAACATAAAAAACATAAAAAAAAATGCCTTATTCACAAAAGCAAAACTCTGTTAAATTTTTGGAAATTCTTATTTAAAAAGTCAGGAGCAAAACAACACTGCCCTACATCATTTTGCTGAAAGTCCTAAAATGTGCCACAAAATTTTTAAAACAGAGAGAAACACTGGAAAAGGAAATGACAAAGCATCAGCTGCAGACAACATTAACCTAGAAAACCCAGTAGAATCAAATTAAAAACATGTCAAAAAAAAAGCCACAGATTTCCTATAAACCACAAATAACCATTGAGAAATGTATTAAAACGAGGAAAGACATCATAGGCTAATTTAAAAGCTAAGCAATAGACAGGGAGAAAATATTTGTAACATATTATAACCAAAGGCCAATGACCTCTACTGAATCCTCCCCCACGTCAATTTAAAAGACAACTCAATACAGGCAAAATGATGAATGGGTAACTAACAGAAAAATACTAGTGGCCAATAAAACTGAAATGTGCTTGGCTGCACTAATAATCACTACATTGTTCTATTTTTTGTCTGTGATATGGAAAAAAAATTAAAGCGACTGATAATACCCAGTATTAGCACACTGTGCAGGAACAGGAATTCCCAAATCGTTGCTGCGCACTGTGGCATGGTTAATGGGGACGGAGCAATTTGGTATTTAAGGCACAATTACAGTATTTGGCATGAGAAATGTCCTCCTTGACAAGGAGGCTGATTTACTCAAGATTCCGTAGCAGTACTGTGGAAATCTCTGTGCAAGTGCACTCCCCACCTTTTATTATCTGTGATCAACATACACTTAAGAACTTACTGGATGATGTCATTTTATCCATGTTCTTCAGAAGTGTAATAGAAACATCAGTTCCTAGAACTTCAGTACAACGTGTATTGATATTTTAACACAGATACCTTAAACTCTAAAGTAATCCTATTTATCCTTTAAAATTTTCAATAAAAATAGACTTCCAGCCAAGATGGAGGTGTAGGTAGATACACTTGGCCTCCTCACACAACAGAATAAGGCAACAAAAATATCCGGAAGTGCAGAAAATTGAACTGTATGGAAACCTGACAACCAAAAAGTTAGACATTCATCCAGAGCAGTAGGAGGCACAGTGATGGGCATCTGAGGCGGGGAGGACTCCTGGCAAGGAGGTGGCTGGCAGAGTGGGCAGTCCAACACTTCATGGAAATAAACCAGGAGGAACAACTGGGGAGTGAGACAGACCACTGCAACCCGAGGTTCCAGTGCAGGCAAATAAAGCCTCAAACCTCTGACTATAAAAACCTGTGGGGGCTACAGCAGCAGGAGAAACTGCCGGCCTCACAGGAGAGTTCACTGAAGACTCACAGAGTTCCAGAATGTACACAAACCCACCTACCCAGGAATCAGCACTAGAAGGACCCAATTTTGCTTGTGGGGAGTGTGGAAAGTGACTGAAAGCCAGCTCTGAGAGCAGAGCAAGCAGCACTGTTCCCTCTCGGACTCCACCCCCACCTACAGCGCCACAATGCAGCCAAGTGGGCTGCCCTACCCTAGCCAATACCTAAGGCTCCACCCCCTACATATAACAGGTGCATGAAGGCAAAAAAATATGGCCCAAATGACAGAACAGATCAAAACTCCAGAAAAAATACAACTAAGCAATGAAGAGATAGCCAACCTATCAGATGCACATTTCAAAGCACTGGTAATCAGGATGCTCACAGAACTGTTTAAGTATGGTTGCAAAATAGAGGAAGAAGTGATGGCTATGCAAAGGGAAATAAAGGAAAATGTTCAAGGAACCAACAGCGATGGGAAGGAAACCAGGACTCAAATCAACAGTTTGGAGCACAATGAAGAAATAAACAGTCAACCAGAACAGAATGAAGAAACAAGAATTCAGAAAAACTGAGGGGAGGCTTAGGAACCTCTGGGACAACTTTAAACTTTCCAACGTCCAAATCAAAGGGGTGCAGAAAGAAAAGAGAAGAGCAAGAAATTAAAAACTTATTTAAAAAAATAATGAAGGTGAACTTCCCTAGCCTGGCAAAGGAAATAGACTTTCTGGAAGTCCAGGGAGCTCAGAGAGTTGTAAAGAAGTTGGACCCAAGGAAGCACACACCAAGACACATCACAATGACAGTACTCAAGATTAAAGAGGAGAGAATCTTAAAAGCAGCAAGGAAAAGGAGACAGGTACCCAACAAAGGAGTTTCTGTAAGACTATCCGCTGATTTCTCAAAAGAAACCTTGCAGGCAAGAAGGGGCTGAAAAGAAGTGTTCAAAGTCATGAAAGGCAAGGACCTACATCCAAGATGATTCTATCCAGCAAACCTATCATTTAGAATGGAAGGGCAGATAAAGTGCTTCCCTGATAAGGTCAAGTTAAAGAAATTCACCATCACCAAGACCTTATTAAAAGGACTTACTATTATTAAGTCCCTGAAATATTAAAGGGACTTATCTAAGAAAAAGATAATAAAAAATATGAATAGTAAAATGAT